CTAGCGACCAGTGGACATGTTAAGTGCGTAGAGCGGCAAACTTTTGGCGTTTTTTCAAAATTAAAAGTTTTATAAAATATTAACTATAAGCACTCTTGAAATGTCCAACATAATAAGGTTCCAAGTAGTTCTTAAATACGGCCAGAAAAAATAAATATAAATATCGGTGTGACAGAACCCGGAACCGTATTTAAGGGATGTTTTAAAACGGTGCAATACCCTGCGAAAGCTTTTGTATTCGCTGGAGTCTGGTAAATAGATACACTATTTGTATTATTTTTAAGGTATCATTTTTTTTTTACTTAAGTTACAGCCATAAGGTAGTAAAAATGACTTCACGAGAAATGTGATGACGCTTCGTAGTTATCGGATTTTGTTGGTAATCGTTTTGTTTTTGTGTAAAAGCAGATTTCCTATAGTCCGCACAGAGATTTAAAATTCGAATTACATACGCCGTAATAAGTTTGAAAATGCTAATTTTTTTTTCAAAAGGTTTGATAATATAATAAAAATTGAAGCTCTAAGCGGAATGTAAAATTCGATAACTCTACGAGGTAATATCACTTTTCAAAGACACTTTTTGTAAGACATTTTTTTGAATAAAAAAAAATGCACTGGCGACCTTATTGAGTGTAGTGCGACAGGTTCAAGCAGCAGCGGCTATTCATATCTCAGCCAATGCTCAAGTGTACGTGCCAAAAAAAAAGGTAATGGAATTCAACTAAAAAACTTGGGACAAATTAAAATTTGTCCCAAATCTATTCAGACGGATTATTGAATGAAGACAGGACCAGGAGCTACGCAACCGTAATTTGTTTCCACTAGAGCAGAGCGGTTTTGAAACAGGTCATTCCAAGACTGTAATAGAAGCGACCAAAACATCTAAACCCATTATAGTGCTTTTTAATCGCCGATTTCAACCAATGCCGGAATTTAATTTTAAAAGAATTTTCTGGTCTTATAGTCGCTTTGGCCCACGTTTTCAAACCTATCCTGAACTCGGGAACATAATTACCTTAATTTTCAATAGCGAAATAACCATGACTAATTATAAACGGGCACGATTACTTGGTAATACTGCACAGGAAAATTGCCCTAGACTTGGAAAAATATGTATTGTACCGTGTAAGTTTCTCATTACAAGTTATATTTATAACTTCCACGACTGCGTGCAAATGCGCAGTGATAGGAAAAGTTCGTAATTCAAGCAATCATGCCTGTTTATTTAGTCATGGATATAACTGTATAACATCGCAAGAATTATAACTCAAACGATACATGATTAATGGGGAAACAAATATGTTTTTAATGGAAATAAATCGATCCTGATATAATATTACATTTAAAATTGTAAACGGTATACAATACTACTAAAGGATATAAATTTTCTAAAAGGTTCAGTCGTTTCAGCAATCAAGTTAAAGGACTATGTTAGATCCCTTGGAGTGTATTTTAAAGGCAGATTAATATTTGATTGTAAACGTGTTCTCGCTCAGTTAGAGGAGGATTTCTTATTTTTAATCAGGTCTTACCAGAACTGGTCTACCGTCTCTAGTAGTGCCCTCTTTTACTAGGAAGGTTAAGTAACAGTGTTTACAGAGTGATAAACAATAAAAGTGATACGTCCAAACATGTGAAAAACTGCTTTACGTTTATATTCTCATAGTATAAAATATAACAAGACGAGCCCAGTTACAACCAATACTTTTATAATGCTCAACTACACTACACTGTTCCTTCTGTCTTAAGCCGGGTTCCCATGACTCGTCTATTCGCCAAATTTTAGGTATTCGAGGATACTCGCCATATCGTGGGAACGGCTTATTAGTCCACTAGTCAAATATTTGTCTGAATATGCGAGTAGTGGCAATGGCGGCTTACACGTCCATGTTTGGCGAGTAGACGTTTTAATGTTTATCAAATTTTATTTTTTTTATAAAATTAATTTAAAAATATTTTTACCATTTGGTTATAATTTAGCGTAAATACATTATTCATTTTTTCATCTTGTTAATATTATTGTATATTAATTTTGAAAAATTTAAATACAATTAATTATTGGACTAATTGCATCGGACAATTAAAAATAAAAATAAATTAAGATGTATAATAATATATATATATATATATATATATATATATATATATATATATATATAAATATATAAAATATATTAATTGATAAACTATATTATACACATTTAATGAAATAAATAAAGATGACGTAGATGTAAAATACACAAATAAACATATAAACAAATAAATAGTTATTAATACATCAAATTTTTTTAAATTTAATCTACAATATATTATTTATTTATTAAATTAAATATATTTAAATTGTTAAAATTATTCATCTTACATTATTTTCTTTATTATGAAGTTTTCAAAAATTGAGATCATATTGTATAAAAACGATATGGAAAAAAACATTTTAATTTCTTATTAAATTCTATGAGATATTGAGTGGCCCTTGATTAAAAAAAAATCACCCTGTATGGTAAATTAAGTTTATTTAAATCATTTAATTTTAAAATAAAATTATCAGCTCAAATATATATTTAGTTTGTAAAAATATATTCATCAAAAATCATTAGATATACTTAAAATATATTTCACTTGTATTTTTAGGAAAAAATCTAACTGAAAGGAATATCAATGAATATCACTAGTTGGACAAGAAAATAATTAATTCTTTACAATTAATAAAAAAAAACAATGCTGAGAAGCGTGTTCAACTAATACAGATATACAATGTTTACCATTTTCATGTTCCTGCATATATTATCTAGCGTGGAAATGTTTGAGTCGCTATCACAATTTAAGATTTATTATAACTTTGTTTTTCTCAATACTACTCCATGATTGTAGGTCATAGCACTACTATTACATTTCTCAATCATTATATATTATACCTAATATATGAATAAATGCATCTTACTGAAATTTTTTTTTTAATTTTGAAGTGTTTTTATGCAAATTATAAATACTAATAATAATAAAGCCAAATTGCGCACACTTCTAGCTTAAAAGTTATAGCTACTTGAATTTTGAGAATTATCGCTGAGTGAGACACTTTTTTACCATCCAGTCGTAGCGAGCTGTGATGGTCAGCCATCAGCAACACGATTGGAGGGTGTATGACTACTATATTAAGGGTCTCTTGTCATAAATCAAACCCTCATATAAAATGTGTCTTAAGCAAAGGGAATAAAAAGCTAAACCAATATGTCTGGCCCGCCCTTCATAATAGCAAAAAAAAAATAATGTAAAAAATTAGGTCTAAGAAGTTAGATGGACAAAAAACAATTTGTGATAAAAAAATTTGTTTTACCTAACCCAATTGTTTTATTAAATAATTAGTTGTTTTTTTATCGCATTGCTGAGTGCCGCAGCTCACTGCCATTGGATAGTGATGCGTATAGTAACAGAGCAGACGTTTTGCACATCAATAATTCTCAAAATATAAGTAGCTATAGTTTTTAAACAAGAAGTTAATGAAAAAAAAAAAGTACCAAATGGCAAAAAAAAGGTTGAAAAATAAAATGTATTAATACCATAATATAATTATTTAGTATAAATTACTTTTTTTGTGTAAAATTATACATCTTTTATAGATAATAAACATACAAAACCAAAATGATTTATGCCTTCTAGTTCATTGATCCAGTAATCGTATACATTATATTTTATATTTTAAATTTATAATATATTTTTTAAATAAATGTTTACTACCTATTCATATGGCTTTATATCGTGCTGATCCTAAAATGTGTAACATTTTTTTATCTTTTTCAATTTTAGTTTTAATGTAAATAGTATTAATTCATAATAATCAAATATTATTATTACAAGGTCCTATCAAAATCTCTCACACAGCTCAAAACATTTAAGCATAGTATGTAATTTAAGCGTAGTAAACCAGCAGAGCATAACTAGTATAGTTTAAGCCAATCACAATTCAAAATTAGTACATTAAAAAATTCTGGAAATGGAATCAAGGCAGTTGATAATTTCAAACTCATTCAATTATAGACAAATATATTTATGCAAATTTTGGGTTTCTACAAGAATTAAGGAAAAAGTTAGTCGTCAGTATCCACAGTTTACCACCATTTTTTAAAAATTGTTTTTCATAAAGTATCTTTCAAACTACTAGCTGGCTCTAGTGTACTTTATTGGCTTTAGTATCTATTCCAGCTCCTAATTATCCACCAATTAGCTTTAAAGCATTGGACATTGATTTTATTGCTTTAAAATATAATACTTCTTCCAAACCAGTTCATATGTGCTGTATTTATGCAAGTCTTCATGTCTTATTCATCACTACAGCCGCAGGTAACTTGATATCATACACAGTTTCTGCCTTTAAATTTATTTGATCCTTATTTTATATTATATAATAATTTTTACTCTATGAAATCCAAAAATGCAGCTATACGAATGCTTACCATTATTACATGAGTGTGGTGAAATGATTACCTCAATATATTTAACTTAAGTTACCACTAAAAATTTTTTTTTTCAGTTTCCTCATACTAGAACAATTTAGGGGAAATCCATAAAAAAACATGTCTAAAGGTTCCCCCGAGAAATTTTTATTATAATGCTACTGGAACAGTATTTTAAGAATACTTAAAAGGGAAGTTCATTTTGATAAAGCCTTTTTGTTAGAGCTTTGAAAATATACTATGCCATCTATAATATATCAAGAACTCAAGTTGATTCCAAAATTAATTATTACCACATCAGCATCTAAGCTTAAAATACAACCTAGTAAGTTTTTAAAAAAAAAAACTTATGGTTTGGAAAATAATTTGATTACACATTAATTGATCATTGCATTAGATAACAGGGTAAGCAGGTAAAATAAATAAGCACACTTTTGAAACTATCAGACAGGGAGATTTATAGAGATAAGCACTAAAGTTGTAATACATAGTTGATAGTAGACAAATATAGGTAATAAAAGTAATTTAAAAAAAACAATGTTTAATTACCTGCAATGGTATACCGGTCCATGTAGTTGATAAGATTGACGAAACATAATATTATAACGGTAATTTTTTGTTTGCCAGTAATAGTCCGGCTATTGGCTTCATCGTTCATGAGATGTTGTTGAGAATTATTAGGATTATTTGGAGCGGACGGTTCGGCATTCATGATTTGCAATACCGTTTTGTTATTACCGTGACTGATTGCCTGTGCCGGCATCACAACAATTTAACAGCCGACTGTAATCCAGTTATCGTTCAATATTAGCCCGGACGGCTCAAAGGACATACTTGAATGTCAACTACTTGAAGACTAAATAATTGTCGGAACGGTGACTGAAAAAAGCGATCATCGTCTAACACCCATCACAACTCGAAGCAACATAACACTGTATTAGTCAGCCGACGACTGTAGATCGTGAAGTATGCCGTGTGGACGTCGAACGACTGGCCATGCCTGTTTGTTATGGAAACGTGCAACGTCACCTGTGACCAGATCACTTTTTACAGGGAGACCAACATAGACGCGTTAAAGTTGTTTCAAATTTGTAACCGTTGAAACGGTTTTTGTAAAACCATAATAAAATTTTAAAAAATACTATTACCCAACAATAATGAATAGTGTAACCTAACTTTTTTTATACAATTTAAATAATTAATAGACTTATTTATGTATTAATATAAAATGTTTTTTGGAACAATAAAGTGCAATAAATTAGGGGGTCGGACTTATTTTTTGAAGTTATAAGCAAAAACTTCATATTTTGCTTCATTTTTTAAAAAGCTTTTTTATTCAAAACAATTACGTATTTTTTTACGCTTAAAAGAATGGTGCAATCCAAAATTAATTATCATACTTACTTTTCAAGTTAGAAGTAAAAACTTAATTTTCTTATACTTTTTTTAAAACGCGAAAATTTTTCAAAAATTTTAATTTTTTTTCACTTGCTTATAAGATTAGAAGTTTTTGATGAATTCAGAATTGCCCTAGCTTAATTACCTTTTGAGTTATTCGTAAAAAACTGTGGTGGTCGAGGCGTGCGACGAGTCGGTGGCGGACGACTGCGGTGGTAGGCGGCACCATGTAGACGTTTTCGGCGACGCGACGTGATATTAAGTAAACCTATAACTGTATAAAATGACTCCCTACGCTTACCGGCTTGAGGAGCCAACTCGAGCCCCTTGGGACTCTTCGTTGGATGACAGCTCACGCCCCCGAACCCCCAGAGGAAAACATAGCTTGCCTAAAGGACTAAACTAACCTAACCTACCGCTCCGGAAACGTCGGCGACCAAATGAGTCCAAACCATTACCTTAACTTTAAAAAAAAAATACAAATTTTCTAAGCTAATGCAGTGCAGTAATTAAATAAATTGTGCCGCGCACGCGCAAAAACGCCTTTAGTCTTTACAGTTTTGTACGAATAACTCAAAAGATAATTACGCTAGAGTAATTCTAATTTTATCAAAAACTTTTAAATATAATAACAATTGTAATGAAAAAACAAGTTTTTTTTTTGAAAGAGATCAAATTTTTAAGAAAAATTACGAAAATGAAGTTTTTGCTTATAACTTGAAAAGTAGGTAAGTATGATAATTAATTTTGGGTTGCACAATTATTTTAGGCTTTTTCACGAAGTTATTGCACTTTTCAAAAAATGAAGAAAATTAAGTTAACTTCAAAAGTAAGTCCTACCCCTAAAATCTGACTTCACCATCATTTTCAACGTAAAAAAATACATATATTAAAAAAAAAAATTAAATAGCGACTGGGATTACTACAAACTAATCTCTAAACATTAGATTATTCATATTGTATGCAAGTAAATTAACATCACTTATACATTTCTTTATAAAAAAAACAACAATGTATTAATAAGCAAACTGCACAGCGTTTAGGTACCTAAAAGCCCATTTCGTCCTATATACGGGATGTGATTCGCTAATAATGCGACAATTTTTGTGCGAAACAAATTTCTAATATTTTCAAGTACTGATTATTAATATAAAAATGATTTATTCGGATTTTAAAAAATTTAGTTTATTATAGGAAGTAAGATTAAAACGTATGTTAAAACTTGGGTTGATAATTTTGTTTTACTTATAATCTAAAAACTCCTACACTATAATCTAAATATATTGACCTATGTACGCGAGTTGCAACTTCTGTAAAAACAAAAAACACTTAATTAAATAAAAAAAAAGCAAGAAATCATTTTACAAATATATATTTCAAGTTATTACCTATTACAAATATTAATACAATTATACAAAGTTATGACAAAACATCAATAATGACGAACATTAATACAATTACAAATACATAAAGTTGTGACAAAACATCAAGAATTACAAATTTTTCGATAGTCGGACATATAGATTAAATGATAAATCGAACGGAAACAGGAAAGACAGGAAGACAGATGTAATGACGAAGGAATCCTAGGAAGGAGAGTTCCTTTGGTCTAAAATAAGTTTAAATAAAAAAAATGACTTCAGTTATATTATTGAAATATGTCGCTACATCAATTATGCTATCAACAAATTTAACTCCTGGCGTTTATGCCAAAACTTATAAAGCAAAAATCAGCCATTTCTAATCTAGTAGTCGCTTAAATCATTTTATTGTTGATAAAGCTGATTTTTCTGAATTGTTTTATATCAAAAGGTCATTTTAGCCAAAAGCGTCGCTTACGCCCTTTGCCGATTAAGGCTCGATGACGATGATATTATAAAAAGTAAGTTCTTGTATAATTTTCCCTTATTAATTGATCGACAACTATGCTTATTTTATTAAAAAAATATAATTTTTGTTCCAAATTGGGACTAAAGAACTAAAAATGAACGATTTTTAAAAAAGTGACCAGTTTCCACTCTCGAGTTTATTACATTGAAATCATTTGGTTAGTTTTAAACCGAATCCCTATAAAAAGATTAAAATTTTTTTAAAAAAAATATTTATAACAAAACCGCGAACTGCTTTACTATTCCTAGCAATAAAAAATTTAGCATATAATTTTGGTACACTTTTTTTTTTGACAAAAAACTGTTATCATATAATTCAAAACGTGAAATATATAAACTGTGAAAACATAAACAGTATATGATGAAAACATTTAGTTTTACACAAATATATTATACATTTGATGCGTTTCGTACTTACTTAATTGTGTATGGTTTTCAGTGCTGTCTGCTTTAAAAATTATTAAATAATAATAGCAATTGATTTTAAATAATTACATACTACTTCTAAGATATTTAAAAATTATTATTCGAAAATGACCTTCTGCACGCAAGCAACAGTTACCGGTAATGTGAAAAATAAGTAAAAACTTATGTATTATATTTATTATAATATTTATATATTTATTATATACCTCTAAAAGTATATAATAAGTAGATGTTACGATACCGATGGGCGATGAGTCTCAGTGTACCCTATAAAGGCAGGCAACTTTTTAAAGTTTGTAAGTTCTTCTAAATGATTGAAATTACTTCAAACTTTATTTTTGTCTTATTTTAATACAGACTAAAAAATATTTGGACACAACAAATTTTTTTTTCAATAAAAAAAAAAATCTGGGACTGAAATGGTTAACTGCATACATACGTCGGTTTCGATAATATAAATCAGTTACATGTTTAAAATTTGCTATTTATTTATATTAGTAACTCAAATACAAGGGGACCATCAAACCCCGCCACCGGATATGGCCTTGCAACTTGCATACTATATATCTATTACTATATAATAGAATATGCGTTATAACTATATTTACGGATTTACTTACGTATAATATAAAACTATATAATTGAACATCACTTCATAGGTTTTCTACACCATTTTTAAAATCTGTTTAAAAAAAAATGTTTTTTCCTTTATATACGATATCATAAATTCAACCGCATGAAAAAATGTTCATTTATTAATTTTAATATTAAATTGTTTAATTCTAGAATTAACGTAGAACAATGGAGAACAGGCGTATAAAACCAAAATCGCACTGCCCTGGTTGTGGAAAAGATTTTGTATCTGTAGATGGTCATTTATCGAAAGCATCCGGCCCCTGTGCAGCCCTAAGAGAGCAAAGGCTAATCGATGCAGCTCCCGGTCTTACATTGCAGTTAAATTTAACAGACCAAAACGTATCAATCACGAATACAGTTGTCCACACAAACGATGACGGTAGTATACGAAACGAGATTATCCCGCCGGATAACCATCAACCTCTTACTAACACCGCTGACGAGCAAGCTTTGCGGTTTGAGGCTAATAATTTCGCGACTAGATTCAACGCTTTGTTAGCCGGCGATTTAACAAACCAGTCACAAAACGACCTAGACAATGTTGTCTCGGACTTCTCGTTTCTCGCAAATTAACGTCTCCCAGGTCCCCAACATCCCGCAGTCGCCTTCTATCGGAAGCGCAAGCAGGGACATAAGAACAACATAGACTATTCAACTGTTCAACTATTTTATCAGCAGGGATAATGCAATTGTGACAAAATAATTTCTGTTTCCATGTTTATCAGGGCTGAAAGCTCTTAAAAGAGGAACAAGTGCCCAAATGTGATTAAAAAAAAAAAAAACTAACTTTTTTTTTAAACAAAAAGGTTTCATTCTATAACATTATAAGCTTTTCATTTATTAGAAGATGTTTTAAGAGGCCTCTACACCTCTGTATTTTAGATAAAAAACAACGCATTCTAATTGAATCGTTTCATGCAAAAAGGGCCTTAGTCCTTAACTTAAAACTTTTGGAAAAATGAAAAAAACGTTTGATATGTTTCAAAATGCATAAACATATAAGGGCTTCATCAAAGGTTAAATATATTTAAACAGTAAAATTACATTCTGTAAAACAATATTATTATTTTCAAATGCAGTCCAGATTAATAGCATTTAAATATAGTGAACTTAGACCCTTTTTACAAAAATCAATAATTTTATGTATTTGATTTATTTCAAACATTTTAGTTCATGTCATTAAAATAATAAAAACAACAATTTTATTAACTTTAAAAACAACAAAGTAGACCATTAATTCAAAAAATAGCAATAAAATATTAATTTTAAATTAATAAATATTATAAAAATTGAATAATGTTTTAATATTATATAATGATGTATACTTTTACTTACTGAACAACAAATCCTTATTCATACATAATTATAACTTACTATTTCGTTGAAGTTTGTTATTTTTTTTTTGTTTTTATTTATATTTCAACGTTTAGAAACAGTTGAAGCCTCAAAAACGTTAATTTAACTTGACCTATCCACTTCTAAATGCAAAAAACCCATACTGTGTTCAAAATAAAAAGCTACCTCGGCGGCTATCTAAAAAGCACCGGACACTCGCCTTATAACCAACTAACCTCTAGACATTCAAATTTAATTTAAACCATTTTTTTACTTTAATCGTTAAGCAGCACTGGACACTCGCTTCTTTAGCAGATCTGTTTCTTTTTCAACAAGTATCTAGACTTAGGTGGACGAGGCGCCTAATTTCATTATTTAGTCCGTGACTGAAGCCCTTTTAACAAAAATTTCATATTTAAGATGCTTGTTTACAATGGGTTCTAGTAATGGGAATAATACCGTTTTAATATGAATCGATGCGTCTAAGTAGAGTGATAACGAATCTGTAATAATCACGTTTTTAATAAAATGGTGACTTTAGGCCCTTTTTGCATGAAACGATTCAATTTTAACCGTAATGTGGAACGCGTGATCAGACAATAGTTTTAAAAACAGATATAGATTAAAAAATATCGGCTTGATAATTGTTTTAATGTTATTATTAACATCAAAATTTATTATTTTACATAAACTTACCAAACTTCTTTACTTATTCCTTAATTTATATATTATATTTAATATTCAAATTCCAGTCTTCGTTTAGAATTTATTATAATACAAATAACATAGCCCATGCAGAGTTCTACATCTCGACAACAACCGTATGTATTTGCATTAGATTTCAAAAAGAATACACGACTAAAATACTCTAGAATTGAGCGTAGACAGAATGCCGACATCCAACCGTAAATAATTATAAATAAAAAGGCCATACATTTAATGGAGGAGGGATCCAAGGTTTTGCTGGGACTTAGCTCTTCAGTTCTTTACAAATGTGTTGTGTATATGATTTATTATATAGTAGGGTTCTTGTATAATTTTCCATTATTAATTGATTGGCAACTATGCTTATTATATTAAAAAAGTATAATTTTTGTTCCAAATTGGGATGAAAGATGACTAAAAGTGAACGATTTTTAAAAAAATGACCAGTTTCCACTCTCGAGTTTTAAAGAAAGTATTGCATTGAAAAAATTTGGTTGGTTTTAAAACAAAACTCCTATTAATAGATAACAATTTTTCAATTTAAAAAAAAAAAAATTTATAACAAAACCGCAAACCGCTTTACTATTCCTAGCAATAAAAAATATAGTATATAATTTTGGTACATTTTTTTTTGATAAAAAATTGTTATCAAATAATTCAAAAAGTGTAGGTATACTAAGAATATATAATTTTCATTGTAAACTTATCTTAAAATTAGCATTAATTAATGCCAACTATAATTGATAATAGCACGGTGAATTTAAGCAAAAATAAATAAATAAAATGTCATAAAAAAACCATCTGTTTTATTAATGTTATTTTAAACTATAACAGTTTGTATACAAATATTCAACAAACTTTCTAAAATATATCTACTGTCTTGTTACCAGTCTAACATTTCATTTGGTTGACTTAGTAGTACTAAAAACAAATTACAGCATATTTAATTTTCAGTAGCCTTTAAATACATAACAGTTAGTATAAAAAATATTGCTTTTTAAAAAAATCTTAGCCTGATAATGTGTTATTAATTTTGTACATAGCATGCTTAAATTCTACTAGGAATTATTTTATATTACTTTTTATATGAGCCCTTTACACAAAAATTATAACATTTTACTAAAAAAAAATATATAATAAAAGCTTTTTAAATTTAAATTTTTAAGACAACAAAATAAATCAGAAAAAATAACACTTAAAAATAAAATAAAAGTTTCTTGGCTTTTGTTCAAGGAGCTCATGATATCAGTTCTTTTTCAATGTTACGCAATAAATCAGAAAAAAAAATCAGACTAGATAAACGACACTACACAAAATATGGAAAGTTCATAAGTGTATGAATTCTAGTAACAAAACAGAAGAAAATATTAACTAACAAAAAAAAACAATTAAAAAATAAAAATGAGCATCAATAATGACTACTTAAGTTGTCTCATCACATTCAAAATTCTGAAAGTTTAAGATCAACTTACTACGTGTTTTGAAAGTACTCAACTTGCACAATCTTGTTGCTCTGATAGTACATTGACAGAATCTAAAGTTTCTGAACGTTTTTCTACTTCTGCCTTAAAGTTTTCCAAATCTTGCTGACTAGAATAAAAAAGTAACATGTTAAACATCACAGAAAATATAAAATGAGTATAAATAAAAATTGAACGTGGCTTACCTAATCTGTACGTAAAGAATTCCATTAATGACATTGAGCATATCGAGTACACTACCCATGGATGGAGGGTGTATTTGAATGGGAGGTAAGGTGGCCCCAGATTTCCCCGTATAGATTTCGTTCATTTTTTTCTGCAATACTACTGCCTGATGAGTTAAATGTTTTAGACAATCTGATGATTCTTGTGTTTTCTCATGTTTTTCACCAAACTAAACAATTTGATTGGAATTATGGATTTTAGTGAAACATATTAAACATAATGAATAATTATTATTATACTTGTTGTTTGTAGATTGCATAAGTTTCTCTTTCGTTACTTAATGCAGACCGAAAATCGCCCATACAACTCTGAGTCCGTGCAACTAAATGATAACTAACCGCCACTTTTAATGATTTAGGGCCATAAAATTTAATATTTAACGCTAAAGCTTTCTCTAAAAATCTTAATGAAAGATCATATTCTTGAACGGCATGCAAAATCAGACTGATGTTGCTCTAAAACATATAAATATAAAAAAAGCAATTTAAAAGATAAAGACAAGGTTAGGTTAGGCTAATAATAAATTACTTACATCTAATAAAGCTATTTCTGGATGGTTTTCACCACAAATTAATACGGCTAAATAACGAGCTCGATACAATAACTTTAGGGCAGTAGTGATTTGATTATTTGCATAACAGTATAGAGCTAAATGGATCTGAAATGTGTTAAATGGATGTAGTAAGATATTATATCATCAATAAGGTGATATTAACATTGAACTTCTTACATATTCAGTAATTGTGTATGGGTGATCAATTCCATTTACTCGTTCAGACATAAAAACAGCTTTTTGCTGGAATGCCATAGCTTCACTATAATCGCCCATTATGTAACTCAATCTAGCCAACATTCTTAAGCACTGGGCAATTTCAGGATGCATCGCTCCATAAACGTTATTCAACAGCGTAAGAGATTCCATAATTAAATCATACCCTTCTTTCAAAAGACCTTGTTGAATCTTAGTTTGACCAGTAGTGTAGAAATGAAATGCGTCAGTTGCCTGAAAACATAACGTGATAAAAAGTAGAGTACTAGTAAATGATGTGAAATAAATAATTTATTATTTATTTACTCTTGGATTGATATGCTTGACAACTGGGAACATATTGATGATATCTTCTTCGAAAAACGTAAACCTATTTTTCGCATCAAAGGAATATTCACGTAATAATATCTGTGTACCAGTTTTTAAACAAAATGACCTATAAATAATTAAATAACTATGATAAAATAAAATACAAATATTGCTAACGTGTATATTGCTAATGTTTGTAAATACGTGTTAAGAATTAAAATATTATAACATATTTTTTTATTACCTTAGCAATGATATTTTCTGAATAGAGTAGTGTTCACAAATAGATTCAACTGTTTCTGACACTAGTTCCCAAGCATAGTAAGATTTAAGTTCTGTTCGAATTTGTGTCCACAATGTTTGACGTGTCAAATTAGCCCATTCTTTATTGTCAACAGTAAATAATCGATTCAGTCGACCCTTTCGTTTGTTACGCTTTTTAGTTGGTTTTACATCATCTAATGTATTTTGAGGATGTGGGGATGAGCAGGAGGACACAAAGCAGTTCAAAAAATGACTTACAGCATTAGCTAAACTCATAAGTTCAGCAGACTACAAACAATTAATAAGAATATGAGTGGTTAAAAATTACATTAAAAAAAAAAAAACATACTTGTATGTAAGAATTAAATATGTGCTTAGCAGCTCTAGTGATTAATTCTGTGACAGTTATGCTATATAAGTATTCAAGACGTTTAATTTTTGATAATTTTTCTGCTATTTTTCCCAAATAGCGAATATTTATGCCTCTTGTATGTAAATTCTCAGACAACATTTGTCCATCCATGGGTGCAGATGAATGATCCATACAGTCTCTTATCTATCATATGAAAGAAAATTTTTTTTTTTAAATTAATTTTAAAATATTGTTAATTCACAGTAATATTTCTGTTTTACTATATACAAATCAAAGTGCTTAAATATATTTTTTACAAATTTGTTGGAACATTCTTCATAAGACAACTATCGACAAAAAAAGCTATCTTATGCTATTATACTGAACTTGTAAGGCTCAGCAAAAAATAATGTAAAGAATGACACAATATATGAACTAACTAAAATACCATCAGCCTAAATTGCAAAAGATGCAAGTACAAATTGGTTAATTTTTCATAGAAGAAAATAACGTTTAGTAATCATTCATAATAGTGAACTTTAACTAGGAAATTACTATTCATTTCAAGGAAGATACAAGCATGAAATTAAAGTTTTAACTTTACAAAACTATGTGTGTTTTCTATGTTTAAAATAAATAAATAATCCAAAATTAAAAAAAACTAGTGGGATTAGGGGAAAAAACAAGGAATTACCATCTCATGAATTATCTCGCAACACACACACTCAAAACAAAAAATCATATTACAAAAATATAATCTTAGCTCTTAGGTAAATGAAAATTAACTTACAAATAATGGGATCTGCGACAACAATAAATATTCAGCAGCATCAACAACTAATTTTTTTTCTAGTTGAAATTGGACAGAATTTAAATCAAAATGTTTTACACCGGGTGAAAAAACATCTGGATTGAATCTTATATCAAATTCTGTATCTTTAAGAGAACCAACTTTAAGAGCGGCTTTTTTGACAACTTCCTTTGTACTATTATCATCATCTATAATAATAATAATTTAATGTATGTACTACAAATATAAAATAAACATTAATAAATATTAATAACTTTTTTAAAACAATAAAGTTTAGTTTTTTTTATAAGTTTTGTATGATATCTAGGTGGATTGATGCAGTTACCATATATAGCCTACTTGAATTTTGCTATAACAAATATTTTACGATAATTACATAACTTGTTAACGACAATATTTTTGTAGTTGAGGAATTATTTAATTGTAAGTAAATAAACAGACACAAAAATTAAGAAAAATAGTTTCAAATCTAAAAAAATTATACTTACTATTTTTAACAGCTGTCTCAGTAATTGTCTCCAAAACTTTTTTTTTTGCATCTAAAGTTTCTTCACTAATTATTTCGTCACTAGATTTATCAACATCTTTAGTATCTTGAATTTCATTCTCAATAGTTTTCTCAGCTATTTGATTGACTATTCCTTTGATCTGTTAATATGTATATTATTAATTATAATAATAGTAAAATTCATAGTTACAATTATAAAAAAAAAATACACTATTAGTTACAGCTAAATGTAATATATTTTTACATAATACATTTTGCAACACAAACCTGATTATTAGTTTCAGAATTATTATCAGTGCTTTTTTGATTTTTCCATAAATTTAAATGTTGTAAATGGAATGCTGCATATTTAATGAACATCATATAGCGTGTCCTAAAAGTTTAGATACAATTAAACAGAATTTTTAAATATAAATGTTTTTAACTTACTCAATGAAAGAGTCAATCAGTTCCTGTCTTAGACAACATAGTTTATGTCTATGCTGAATAGGAAATCCCAAAGATTTGACTTCCTTACTTAATATATCTTCGTCAACTATGAAATAAAAGTAATAAGCTACATTATACATTCTTAAAATGAATAAATAATAACCTTACGTATTAGAAAATTGACATCTGGGGGGAAAGTTCGTAGAAGATCTAAAATATAATAACGACTGTCATTTCCAATTATTCCTTTACACTCTACGGAGGAACACAATTCAACTACTTCTTTTTTTTCACTTATTACTTTATGTGGCATTATTTTTAACTGTTGTGCTGCTTGACTGAGCTAAATGTACATAAAAGCTCTTAATTAGTGTTTAAATTACATACCTACATATTTTAAAACATTTTGATTCTGTAAATAATGTTTAACATAATTTTAAAATTGTATAGTAATAAATAATATACCAGCTCTATATATTTGGGATTTGTAGTAACAGTTTTACCAAAATCTACTGATCCATATACAACTGATTGTTCTTGTTCTCTTTCTAATATTCCAGGTATTATAGACTGAGCTGTAACTCTATATCCTCTATAATCAATAACTACAGTGCCTAATGTATACAGTCCAGGCAAATCGACAGCACTGTATACTCGGACACCTTGTAAATCATTTCGCTAAAACAAATACAAATTAAAGTTTATTAAAAATTGAATTATATATGACACATTTATTAAACAATCAAGTACGTACAGGTGCAACAAATGCAGCTGCGTCTCCACCTAGTTCTTTATAATGATCTCTTACATCGAAACCTAATGAAAAAAATATATTGTTCCAGATAAACATTTGCATTTTTGCTTCTTCTCCAGGATTTATGGCCATAACATTGCCATCTATAACAGCCATTGCACCGCGTGTAGCAGCAGCTACAAAATCACCATGTACCTGGTGACAAAAGAGAATACTTCTTTATTTTTAAATATATAACCAAATAACCACTATACACAAATACAAATACTCAACAAAATACATTAATTCCAAAAATGCTACTTGGTCTTACTTTAAAAATAGCTCTTTCTCTTAATAAGCGCTCAGGCAAATTTTTGCGTGGAAGTTCTCTTGTTGTTTGTAATTCTTCATTCCAATCTCGGGTTTGACCAGGTATATGTTCCTCATAGCCCAATTTTGATGAAAACGCTTTATTTAAAAATATTTCGATCTTAGTTAAAAATAATAACAACCACATTTGCCTAACAAAACTACACTACAACTCTTAAATAAATAGCAAGTTCAGTTGTGCAAAAATGTAAATTCCATTAAAATCAATACACGTGTATGTTAAGTTGGGTGTCCATTAGGTTGGTGAAATTTGGAGTGGCTCAATTTTACCTCACGCTTACTGATTTAGTGGACACCCAGCATTGAACTACAACAATAAGTATATTTTAGCAATTATGTAGTAATATTGTTCAAAAAATAAAAAAAGGTATAAAATTTAACTACTAGTAGAAATGTGCTTGTTTTGCACTATTTTCTCTTAAATAATTAGAACAAATATTCTATTATCAGCAATTAAGTCCAATTAATCTTTTATCAAGTTATACAAATAAAATAAAACTAACTGTCTTCAGCCCGGATTGCATCTAAAGTATGTTCAAGTTGAGGAGAAGCCCAGCTATAAACCTGGTAAGGTGTAGCAACTCTTTCAAAAGGATGACGAGCGGTTCTTTTTTTTTGAAGTATTGCAAAATTCCGTTTAAAGGCAGCACTAACTTGGCTGAGTAATTCAATTAAAGAATGGCACAAATGATTTGGCATTGCTGGTTTGGGATCAAACTCTTCATTGGTAGATCTATTAAAAAAGTTTCCACATATAGATAAATTAAATTATACTACTATAAATAATCATTACTTACTGATTAATGAAAAATCCTTTAGTACAAGCAGTTATGTGAAAGTGTTTATCCTCTAGTGTAATAACGTACAAATACATTAAATCGCCATGCATTTTACGAAAACCAGGAGGAGGATTCCAAGCTGATGTAGTAAGAACCTACATTATAAAAAAAGAAGAATATAACATGACAAAATAAATAAGTTTGTCAGCAACATGAATCATCAATTATGGTTTAATGTAATAGCTAATTTTTTCTTATAAAAAATATATGGACATATTAGGGTAACATAAATTAGTGTGTCTGTTACATGAGAAAAGAAGTAGCGATTTTGCTTTTTTACAAGTTTCTGCAATACCTATTTAGTTTGTTCAGGAATATAATGTGTTACGGCATAAAATGATTATAATTACCTTAATACATTGAGGGCCTTTTAGATCTTTAGAAGTAGGATGCAATGGAAGCAATGGCCGATCTTTACTATTAGGCATAATATAATCAGGAGGAGTACAATCTACACTATCTGAGCGAGTTTTTTTCTTTTCTGCATAATGTACAAAAAAACAATTTTAAAATTAATATAGTTCAAGTATAAAATGAGCATACCTAATATATCACCTTGAGTAACAACATTTAAAAACGATAGGGAGTTGCAATCAACACCATTATAAGCATCGGCCATTTCCAACGACTTTAATATATCTCTAACGTGACGTACATGAATTCTAGCTTCACGCATAGTGTAAGGTTCTTCCACCACCTATATAAAACCAAAACAACAAAAAAAAAATTGAATTTTTAGAAATAATAAAAACTTTATAATACTTCTACTTCTCAATAACTTAGTCTATTTAACACTATTGAAGAAAAATTAAAATGACAAGCTGGATAAACCTAAGATATTTAAACCATAAAGAGGCTCCTATTTTAAATCATTTTAGAATAACCTACACTTAATTATTACACCAACATCATAACGTCAAAGTGGAATGACTAACACGAAAAACTTGCAACACTAAGCTAACCATAAAATATAAATCAAACTAACAATTATTATGCAGTCACATCATTACTCTCAAGTCATCAAAACACTTAACAATAATCATTTTATAAAATAAATCAGTAATCTTGATTATATTATTAATCATTCATCAGCAAACTGTAATAATGATATGATTAATCATTATATTTTTGTTATATATACCTATATATGATATGTAAATATTCGAAAACAATGTTATTAAGTTATTGCTAGTTAAAAAATAAAAGTAATTTGTTACTACAATTATGATTAAAAGATTAATGTAATCATTAAATTAAAATTTGTCAACATTGACCTCTAGGAAGCCCTAGACATAATGAAACTATCTAATTTATTTATAATCAATGTGTGGAATCAATGTAAATGGTAATAAACATGATACTATAGGTTTCAGGTGTGATTCCTATTTGGAAAGCAAATATTGACTGTTCCTACCTCACAGAAACCCTGTTTAGTTGGAGTAAATTACAAATTCAAATCCACAAATAAATATTTACACTCTACACACGTATGAGTGCTAATTTTATCTATACAAATAAAATATATGTAAATATTTAATATTTAAAATAATATAAAAAGTAAGAACTAAACCATACCTTAATGATAGAACCTTCTTTAAGGCCATTGATAGTTTTTAATTCAGAAAAATTATCCAATGTTATTCCATTTAATTGTAATGAAAAACAGGTTCTATGACACGTGTCCTCTCTATCCATAAGAAGTTGATGAATCTCCTGAACAAGTTCCATACTTGATACCTATGAAAATTTAAAATCATAAATGAGTATACACTACACTATTAAAATAATTTATTACATTTGCCAATAAAATAAATGATAAAACTAACTTGTATTTCAAAAGCTTCAGTTCCAGGACATATAATTTTTACATTAAATCCAAGGTCTTGTATAAATATTACTTCGGTATCTTGTTTTTTATCACTTTCTGTACTCTCTTCAGAACTATCTTCACTAGGAGAATTACTATTCCCTTTTGATTCTTCAACATTTTGATTGTTAGCTTGATCTTTCTTGCCAATATTTTTACTACTCGTTTTCCCTTCTTTGAGGGTTCCATTATTGTTAACTGCATCTACATTATTAATTAATGTATTGTTCATCTCAACATCTAAAGTATTAGTTTCATTAACAATGCAATTTTCTTTTTTTAACTTTATAGCTGTTGTTTTGCCATCGCAAACCATATTCACAGAACCTAAATTAAAAATAATGTTTAACCAAGAATTTAATCACAAGAGCTATGCCCTAATAATGTAATTAACAAGATTTAAAGGTTTCATAATAAATTGTGGAACTGGTTGTGGAGTTACAAACTTATGCAATAAACTTAAATGTTGTAAGTTTAAAGTAAATTTGTTTATAAATTTTAATGAAATTAAATAACTACCACAATCTCACTTCCTATTGTTATAGATGGCAATTTGAAAATTTTGCAGCAGACCGGGTATCTAACCACCGGGTAATCTTTCACTCCTCGAGTGATTGCTTTACTATTAGGCTATACGTTTCCGCACCTCATTAACTATTTCTAATATATTTTTAAAATTATGGAAACAATACTATTAATGTTCAAAATACATTGATATAGTTAATTTTTTTTTTTTTAATGTTATTTTTTTGTTTATATTATGACCATTCTATGTAATGCTTAAGATTTAAAATAAAAAATGTCAAGTGTCTGCTTAACTAGATGATTTTTAACGCTCAAGATTGGGCATCTTAACGGTCTATTATCAGTATCAACCTCTGCATCTTATACTGCTGCAAACCCATTTTACAGCGCTGGCAGAGTATACTGATATCAAACAGAGTCCATACTCATACTGGGAATCGAAGTGCTTTATTATATTGTCTATAGATTTTTAAGAAAATTGTATATGTCATGCTTGTCTTAAAATTTTCAATGAAAAAGGGTAATAAAGAAAAAGTTTCCACCTTTATAATGAAAAGGGTTTATATTATTTTGGTTTTTCAAGGTATATAGATAGTACTTAAGCTTAAGAATATATCATAGAAAACGATAACTAATTTATCTATTTTTAGAAGAAATTATTGAACGCCAAAATTTTAAGTTAAAATATATATAAAATTTTTTTAGTGTTTTTCTTTTTTTCTGATATGTAAAGGGTAGATTATTAAAATGTTTGATACAATAATATTCTCTTTAAGTACATTTTCGGATCTTTAAGAATTGCTACATGAAGAAATCAGGTCAGCTGTTTGAAGATATAGGGGCTCCATACAAAAAATTAAAATACTTCCCTCTTACCAAGGCAACGAAGCTAAAAAATATATTCAATACTGTTATGAAGGGTGTTCATCTGATGTAAGACACTAATTTTTTCAGAAAATATGAATATATTGAAAATTATTTTTTTCTATACATGTAGGTACATATTTTACTATATTTTTCAATACAAAGAAACTTTTTTAACCTCATCCTTCATATGTAATAAGACTACCAACTTAAGTTTTTCAAATGCAAACATTTTTTGAAGTCGATAACTGGGTAGAACATTTTTTTTAAATTGTTACAATTTTTAATAATGAGTTTGTTACTCATGACATAATTTAATTTAATTTTTAATTGAAGATCAAGATTTGTTTGATTTTTGAAGACAGTAGGTCAGCGAGTTCCACATTAAATAATAATATTGATCCCATCAATAACACTGTCATTGATAACTAGACATAAATAACACTCGTTACACGTTTTTTAAAAATATTATGTGGATAGGCGATTCTTTCCCTACCTGAGGATAATGATAGAGGTTCTTATCTATAACCATCTATATTATATATACCTATTCAAAAACAGTGAAGGCTACTAGTCTTAATATTAATAAAAGGAAATGAACAATGGACAACAGTTTGGAGAGAAATGAAAATCGTTACTAAGTCATAGAGTAAACAACCAGATTGATGAAAGTTAAACATTCAAACGTTTACATTTTTTTAAAATTTATAATTTAAATATTTATGAAATTAAAAACATGTTTCATTTGAGAAAACAAAGTTCATATTTATTTTACGTGTAAGGGATGAAGATAATTTTTTTTTAAGAATTGAGAAATATAGTAAAATATGTACCTTCAAGAATAGGAAATGAATAATTTACAAAATATTCGTATTTTCTAAGAAAATTAGTGTCTTATATTAGATGAATAACACTGTCTATCTTTTTTAATAAATGTATGCAAAAATTATACTTTATTTTAATGATATCTTGTAAAGAGCCTTAGTATTCTAGATTACCCATTTTATAGTTTTCTACGATTTTGCATTTAAGGGTTTAATATACATGCATATAAATATTAAAAGGACTACAGTTTTTACTGCAAAACAATAAATCAAAATCGGCTTATATTTATTTACGCTTTGATGATTTTGTTTTCTTAGAGTAATTTCACACTCTAGTTATGGATATAACAAGAAACTAAATATATATTATTAGTTATTTTTAAATATGAAGCCGATGTTTTTTTTTTATCAAACTGCTAATTACATCTATAATAACCTAGGTACCTAATAATAAAAAAAAATTAATTAACTTCTTAGATTAAAAATGTAAAGAAAAAATCGATTGGTGTAATTCATGACATATTCATTTTTACAAAGTATACATAAAATTGAATATATTTCTACCATTTAATTGTTTATCGGTTGAATTCGTCAAAGTCCCCTCATTGACTCCCAGTGTCATTGTAAATAGCTTCAGTTTTTCACTTAAAAGTTAAAAAAACTCGCAGGCTTTGTAAATATTTGAATTATAAAAGCTTATAACAAACTTATTAATAAAATAACATAACTAATAACATTTTAAACATAAACATTGAACAATTAATGAGAAAAAAATTTAATTTTCATAACGTGACTGCAAAATACGAAAACATCGTGATGGGCTTAAGGCTTAAAGCGAGCGAGATGGAAAAATAAATTATGTATATAGTATGTAGAAGGGGGTCAGGCCGGGCCGGTGCTTAGTAATTTCCACCGCCCCAGTGTGGCCAATTAGGAATTACGACTTTTATCAAAATTCCCACTTACCACGACCAAAGTACAGCTGATACTAGGCATTAATAATTGATCAATTTTTAAACACGACCCATCTATTCTGTATTCTATGCTAAGATCTTCTAAGGCCGTAGCCCGTGATCACTGATAGATCAATTGATACGTAGAAACTAGACATTAAAATATTATAATGGGAAAAAACTGTTCTGCGATCTGTTATCATAATCTGTATATTTAGGTCTGTACTCTGTAATCAATTTTAATTAATTAATGAAATTTTTTACAAGCAAATAGCATTTTTACATATTTTTAAAATGAATACAAAAATTATCAACATTTTAAAGCTATCAAACAAAATTAAACAGCCATCAAATGTGCGTACAGCTACTACTTCGTCTACTGGAGCTTTATTACCTGAACCACAAAAAATTCCGTTTGGTCTATTAGGAATTATTTTTACTGTTGTCCCTGGATTATTAATTGGTGCTACAATTAGCAAGTACATGGCCAATTTTCTAGAGGAAAATGAATTATTTGTACCTTCAGATGATGATGACGATGAAGATTAAAGATAATATCAAACAAAAAATAAAAAACTAGTAAGTGAATACTAACAACTTACAATCGAAATTATAATGACAACAAGATTTTTTTTTTTGCTTTTATAATATTAATTGTTAAATTTTTTTAAATAGTAAATGCAATTTATACTAATTTATTCAACTACAGAATAGTTAATCTACGATGTTATTCATTGCTTAAGATGTTACATTATTTCATATTCTCTGTATTTTAATTTTATTTTAATGGATTTTATGGATAGTTAGTTTGTGATAATAGTATAATTTCTATTTTTTTTAAATTATGTAATTAGTTATTCAGTAGTTAGTATCTAGAATAATTTAATTTTTAATGTCTGTGAAAATTAGGTGTGGGACATCAACATTTGAATTTTTACAAAAAAACACTATTCTAGTCATACAAACGTCTTTTAATTGCTCATTTTAAATTGATTTCTTACATATGTATCAAAATTTAATTATATATGCTAAATACGTTAATGAAAATCAAAACTAAAAAATAAAATTGTAAAATTTTATCAAATTATTCCTTTCAATATTGTTTTGAAACAAGTTTTAGTATTGTATTCAGTTAAGTCACTATTTATTATATTATTAAATACTCCATTATTAACGAGACTCAAAAACGGTATTATCTATAAAAATAAAAATAAATGCAATTTTTTATGTCCTACTTCTAATACGTAAATGTATTAATATATTATATTTAAATCCTAGTATAATTTTTAATTTTGTATAATAATAATATTACAAATAAAATAATGTGTTGCTTCAGTAATATTACAAATGATCAATCATATATACATTTTATTACATAAATGTGTACACACTGATTGTATGATATAAAAATTGACTTATAATTTTAACAAATAGATCCAAATACAAATTCAGATGCATTTTTTGGATAACCGACTTCAGTTCTATTATTAAATCTGTTGTATTTCCAATACTGATTTCCTTTAAAGAAATATATTTCTCCTGAAAATTTTTTAAAAAATATATTTAAGCATAATATATATTAGGACTACACATATTTGTAAAAATGTAACATGGATAGCTAAATATAACTCTATATTTATAAAGCTATAATTCTTTGGTGAGTGGTCATAATCAGATAGATATACTTAAGCAAAAAAGAAATGGCAAATACTTTGATTCAGTAAAAAACAGCCTGATTTCAAACACATAAAATATAATTTTTTCTAAAATTGGACTTCACTGGTTATGGTTGCTCGCTGAAGAATTATACTACTATGTGATTAAGTTAAAGATTCAATATGTCCTTTGATAAATTAGTAGTACGTACCTGACTTCCATGTGAGAACATCATCTATTGGCGTTTTTACTCCTCTGAAATGTTCTTTAATATATCTGTGTATTTGTAACAACTTTTTGTTTTGATCATCATATATCCAAAAATATTCTCCACTAAAATATTATAATGACAGTAATGTTAATAATTCATTTTTACATGTCATAAATTTATATCAGTTACAAAAATTATCCTGAACAGAATTATATTTTTAAAAGTATTAGTTGACCACTAACCTAAATAAATATGTCAGTGGTGGTGTCCCATAGACCATAACTGCATCAACCTTTTTTATAAAATAAGGAAATTTGTAGTCCATTATGGATCTTGGGCTATCTTCAATTAAATGATTTCCATTAAAAACGTAATATTTGTTACCTATAAATTAAAAAAATATATAAATTTAATATATATATAAAAAATGTAATTAACATAAATTAGTTAAAAATTGTTAATTTATAGTTTATATTCATTAATATTGAATATATTTTAATTGAACTCTCGTACATAATTCAACTTGGCACAAGTTGTAAATCTATTAATGTAATGAAGTGGGAAAGGAATTAAAGACTTTCAGTTTTCTTTTTATTATTTATGACGAGAAATTCTCAACCGCTGTTTGTAATGAACAAAATTTACATTTCTTACTTTAACCAAAAAAGTATTATTTATTCCATAATAATATATAATATATTTGTATAAATAGCAAAACCCCGTTTTGTATATAAATTTAATAAAAATAAATCAAAAAAACCATTGTTTACTGAGTTATCTATTCACTTGATGAATTAATTATTAATTAATAAAAATGTTATTTACAAAAATATTTAGGTACTTTAATAAAAATACGTGTTTTGGTGACAATGTTGCCGTCTTCAGGGCTAAAGACACATGTATACAACAACTTTGAAATATTTAATATCCCCTAATTATAACCTAGAGATGAAATTATTTTCTTACCACTAAACATAACAATATTTGAATCCGGTCTTTCATACGCTGCGTCGATTCTTATATTATTTGCATCATTCTCGGTGAACAAATTAAAAAATGTCAACAATTTAACTGGATATCGAGGTAGTATCATTCCTGGCTCTCTTAGTCTCCATAACCACTAAAAAATTATTTAAAAACCATTTTTAATATATAGTATTAATTGGTACTAATATACCTACACAATTAGAAGTATTAATGCTACAAAATGACATTATTTTTTATTTTTAACATTGTAATTTGTAATATAGAAAAATGTTAAAATGTATGGCTTAGCCACTGGAGTTTGAGCCACACTCTAAGATGAACCACACTATCTTTTTACTGAGGGTAAAGTTATAGGCAATTTTACACAAAATCCTAATCCTTATTACTAAAATCATAATTCTTGTTTGCTAAAACTATAATAAGTATTTGTTAATACAGTAATAGTAAAAGATATTTTATTGATAATTATTATTATTATTTGACAGACTAATCACCTCTATGAGAGAAATTATCATATGTTTTTCCATAATCCATTAAACCTATAGTGGTATTTAAAATAGTGATGGCTAGTAGACAATAATAATTAAATTATGAATTTAAAAATAATAAGTTTAACACAGTTTTGTTGGAAATAAAATTAATAAAAAACAAGAAATATTATAATAATTATTTAATGTTATTTATGTATACTATTTGTTTTAAATATCTTATTTTGAAAATCTTTTCCCAACAAAACAGCAAAAGCTTATCATCTTCTAAATGCTATATTATTGATGTCTACGTTAATTATTGATTTTGTAGTAAAATTTACCCTAACATTTTTTATTGTGGCTTTTCTTTACTGTAGGGTGCTGTCTTTGAATTTCGTCAGTTATCAAAGCTCACAAGTAAAATTACAATCATTTTAATGTTTAAATTAAAAGTATTTTTTGTGTTTGAACAAATCATATGTTTTTATTCATTTTAAACTTACATCTTTTTTGAATACAAATAACTGACCACGAAAACATGAAATGGCGTCAAAATTTCCTTTGCAATCAGAAGTTCTGTCTCGAGTAGGAAATATTGGCTTTGGAGTTGTAATTGATTCTGGAGTGACAACATCATCATCAGTACAACTTTCTTCACTAAAAGAAGTCCAGTGTACATGTGGTTTGTTTGGTAAAACAGATATTGGTCGCCTGGTAGACTTTAAACCATCACGATCCTCATACATTGACTTCTTCACTAGAATGTAATAATATAATAAATGATCACAACATTTTTAATAACATGATAAATTGGGTTTATACAGATTTAAATATTATAGTATTTTACAAAAGCAAGTGCCATTGATTTGTAGTTAAAGTCTTAAATTTGATTGAATCTATAGAAAAATAAGTAATTATTAGATTTATTATAATATTACCATAAAGAGAATACATTCCCATTATGTCATCGTATCCAATTTCTTGGGGAGTTGGTCCTTTATAGTATGGGTTCATTATAGAATCACTTTCTGACGAGTGCCCTAATCCTAGGCTATGGCCCATTTCGTGGATAGCGACAGAATAAAAATTCACACCTTCATCAACATATTATATAACATTCAAATGTCAAAATAAGCCTTATCGATATTAATGTTTATGAATAAATATATCAACATTAAACATATATACAAATTTGTCAGCTGTAGTTGATGCTCTTTAAAAACATAGACTTTTAATACATTAAATAATATACAATTAAATACCCTCATTAATATTATTATCAATATTGCTTAAAGTCCAATTTTCACTGCTGTCGAAATGTATGTCTCCTCCCAGCGAACCATAGTCGGTAGGATAGTATGCGTGCGCCAGCACATTTCCTGGGCCATCAAAAGGAAATCTGACATAATATCAACAAATGTCAAATATATATTGTTATGTTTAAAGGTTCCTTAACTTTCTTCTAGGTCTATGGCTCCCTTTTATATTCCTCATTTCGTATTTAATGTATTTATTTTAATTTTAATACTTGATTATTTGTAAAACAAATCCCTATAGTATAATAATATGCATAGTAAAGTGATAGCATTTTCCTGCCCTTTCTCTTCAAAAATTTCCCTGCTAAAGAGCTTTTTTTGTTAATATTGTGGTATTGTTATTTGTTAGCAATTGAATATAACTTACTGATCTCCGTGGTAATCTTCACTAAACGATATAATAATGTCAGCTTTATTATTTTGTGTTTCAGAAAAATTAAGACGACTATATGGACCCCACATTTGGAACGCTCTTTGTATTTCATCTTTAACACCCTCCCTAGATAGTTTTGGTGTCACATTTGATATACTAAACAAATAATATCTGTATCTTTAAGTTAGCTGTTAACTTATAAATAAAAAATATAGATATGAAATTGTTCGGTATTACTAATATGTTAAAAACTGTTTGTTCCAACCACTCGACGAAGCAGCAAATCGTTTACTTCTAACATAATTATGGTCTAGGGATCTTGACACATCTGTTACACCACATCTTTTGGATTTGATCAACTAAAATAGTAATGCAATAACCATAAACTATAAAGAATACTTTGACTATAGTTTTGAAAATTAATTTAACTTAATAATGTTAATAATGACCTAATAATAATCTAATAAGATGATCTAATATGATCTAATAAGACTTAATAATGACCTTAAGAGTGTCACTGTTAATGTTTCCAGTTTCTTCTAAACCTCCAAATTTTTGTACCAGTTTTAAAGCGGATATTAAGGAGTCTGACGTGCTTAATGCTTGTGGTCCATTTTGATCCAAATAACCATATTTTTGCATAAACTCAAGCTACAAAAAGGTGATAAGTTTAATAATAACTAATAAGTATCATAATTTAGTAGATAATTGCATTTTATATTTATTTACAGTCTCTTGGTTGATATTATCACTTCGATTTATTGGCAAACAATTTATTCTATTAACAGATAAGTAAAATACTATGTAAAATATCTTTAAAAACATTATTTTTATTTTAGTTTATATTATACACTAAAATATTAATAAGTATACTTATTAATATAACTGAACATCATCTAGATCCCATTATAACAATACTAAACTGAATAAAATAAATAAGATCACTTTTTGTTTTTAATATTTTAATATATTATTAATTCTAAAGTTCATTGATTTTTTAACAACGTAAATGACCTTTGAGCCCTTTTAGGTAATCTGAAAAAAATCTACAATACAAATTCTCAATATCCTATCAATAGGAGTTAATTAGTGATCTAACATGGGAAATCCAGCAATATTCATAATATAAAAACTATCACAATATTATTTTCAGATGCCAATATAATATAGATACTACATCTATTATATTTTTAATACTGAACTGTGAACCGTGAAAAAATTTAATACAACATAACATAACATAATTATACCCATTATTATAACCCATAGTGATTTAATAACCTCTAAAAAAATACTTTAGTTGGACTAATTGTATATTAATAAAAAACTTATTTAAAATTATATTGGGTTTTTTTAATCTGTAATAAATTATAATAAACTGTAAGAAATTTTGCTAACCACTTCATAACTTAGATATATTATTTATTAGAATTACATTAATGGGGTCGTGGCTTTATTAAGGAGCAAAGTATAAGAACGTAATATTTGACAAAAAAATCGTTTTACTTATTGATATAATATAATTAACTAGTTTTCAGAACAACTTTTACAAGCTTTAGGATATAAATGCATAATTTATTTTGACTGTACAATATTTTTGATGAGATAGCTATTTAAATAGTGAAGCACGGCTTTACGGAAAAACGCAACTGGTTTAAAAATATGGTAACATAAGTATTATTTTCATAATTTAAATTGCTACATTTTTTCAAAAACACATGTTATATGGTTATAATAAATCTATCTTCACTATAACTTTAAGACCTGAAGGCCATAAACTATACTTAAAAAACAAAATAATGAAAAATATTTAACTCCTCTAAGGAAAAATGTTAATGTTATTTTCTTGATTTTACAATGTATATAGTACAGTAGTATTATATCAAAATAATATACCAAATGAGTTTGTAGCTAAATTGACAACTGGCTTAAGTAGTGATCATTTAATTATTAAATGGGACTCACTTTTTCAAAAGGTTACATAAAATAATATGTTTCCTAGTATTTAAAGCAATATTATTCTAAATAATTATACTAGTTGTGAAATAAAAAAAAAAATGTTTTATCAAAGTATAATATATAAAAAAAACTAATACAATTATTAAACATATATAAATTTTAAATTATTAATGATAAACATATTGTAATAGAAAGTTATTAATTTATACATAGGTATTTAATTAAAATGAACATTATCTTGCATTTATCTAGTCATACATATATTTTTTTTTAATTTACTAACATATTTACTATATTTTAATACAAAACTATTTAACAAATTACAAATATGAATTACCAAGGAAGTTTTTTCCCTTGATAATCGTACAGTCCTCCGTTATGCGACTCATTGACTTCTGATAAAAATTTGCAGATTCCAGCTACAGACTGATCAACTGTGAGAGGAGCATTAGATCCACCCATTGATGTTTTTACCCATCCAGGATGAAGATTCACAGCTAGGACACCATCACTTTTAAGATCTATACTTAATGATTTTGTTGCAGCATTCAAAGCAATCTGAAATAATAATAATTATTACTTAGGAATTCAAACACAATAATCCAAATAAAATTATTTAATAAAAAATGATATTGATTCTAATTAAATTAAAATTGTCTATCGTTTAGTTAAGGATAAATCTATTAACTGAAAGATAGTTGTAAGTACCAAGTATATGGTTCCAATTCATAAAATTTTACTTTAAAGGAAAGAGTAAACAGAGAAAATTTCAGTTTTATTTGGAGAGCAAATTCCTAAAAAAGAAAAGACATATACTTAATAAAAAAAAAATTGTCTTGTAATAAATATAAAAAACTTATTTCAACAATTGGTGAATGTTTCCAAAATACCTTGCTTGTTCTGTATGGGTAAAATCCTCCTTGGTCGTTTAAAGTAATAGAGCTCATGATTGAACTGATATTAAGAATAACAGCTTTAGACATGCCAACAGAGTTCTCACTTGTCTTAGAAGCAGTTTTTAGCAGTGGAACAAATGCCTAAAAAAATATATATATATAGATGAACATAAAGTAAATTATAATTACTAATAGTATCATATTACTTGTGTAAGCATAATGGGACCAATAGTGTTAATTTTAAAATGATTTAAAAGATCGTCTGATTTGACTAAACCGATTCTAGTAAATTTTGATGATATACCAGCATTATTGATTAATACATTTAATCCTTTATCTTTAACAATAGTTGAAACTTGAGATGCCAAATTAAAAAATGATCCATTGTCAATCAAATCTGCAAATTGAGTTCATAAGAATATAAATGTTAAAATGTTTAATTAAAATTAAATTTAAAAATATTAGATTTTTAAGTAATGATTTTGATTATATCATGTAAAATAATTTCTTTAAAACCGTTATAGAAACTACCAAAGTTTATTTAAAGGCGCTTTGCCTTTAAATAAACTTTGGTAGTTTCCACCGAATGCCAAATAGTACTACATATAAATCATCATTATAGGTAGGTATACAAAAGCAAAATAACTTTTTACCATAGCAGGGGTTAAAATAATTGCTAAAGGCTATGTAATTTTTTTGTTCACAGTGAGGGTCAATGAGGATTTTCCAGATTAACATACGTTTTGTTTATAAACTTGCCTAATCTTCACGTTCCACATAAAAAAATTGAAATACATTGTTTTATGAAAGGATAATTGAGAACACTACTACTACTGCTACTACTAAAAGGATAATATACATATATATAGTATAGTACATACACTAATATAGCAACAGAGTAATTCCGAAAAACACGAAATAAAATTGTTTTTGGAAAAAAATTGTGATTTATTGCAGTTGAGTAGCTGCATACTCTGTGCACATGTGCTTATGATTGTAATATCAAATATTATAATGTAGTAAAATAATTTTACCTGCTTCATAGACGTGAAGTTTAGAATTTGCTGTTAATTCCATGAGTTCCTAAAAACAAGTAATAATACATTTTCAATAACAAGGTGCACATAAAAATAAATTTTCTGAATCTAATTTAACAGACAAATATAAATCATAGAAACAAAAAAAATAAATGTTTTTTGAAAATATTAAAAGTAAACCTTTTTTTGACTAGAGTTATAAAATTAAACTCCTAATAATAGCATAATTATTAAATTATTATATTTTAGAAGCTGATAGCCCCTATTCCTGACCACATATTGCACAGTCACCACTTTGTATTGTTGTCATGACATAGTTATAACTTCAAAGATTATAAACTATAATAATTAAAAATGCACTTAATATCAAATAGTCATATAATAAAAATAAATAAAAATAATAACTAGTAATTATTTTTAACTATAAACATATTTTCAGTTTAGAAGTAGGTAGATATTATGTATATCAATTGTTATTAAAAATAATATAATTAATATATATACACACTATTAGAAAGACTAAACACATATTATTCATGAAGTATGTTTTAAAATTATAGAGCATATTCTACTCAGTATATATCTGGGCCCTGAGGGTGCAAATTTTAGGTATTTAAATAATTGGAATAACGCCATAGGAACATGATCCTCATGATTTGGGGTATTCAATCACATAGTAGGTATTTATTATTTATTAGTTGAGAAAACCCGAACACGAAAACCTAATGATACTAGGCGGCCACAGCTATAGGCGTACTTAGGGGTGGCTAAAGAGGAATTAGCCCCCCCCCAAACCCAATTGGCCTTTTTATTTCAGTAAAATTTTTATTTAATGTTCTATTGCCTAAATAAGTATAAAACAATTTTTTTTCAAATGTGCCTTTTTTATATATATTTTTAATACTTAGGTTTTTTAGACTAGTTGCATAACGTTTGATTGTGGTTTATGTGTCTGGCGGCAAGACCTATTGGGACGGTGGGGTGAAGGATTATTATTGTCATTGAAGACTACTTTTCCATAGCTAAGTATAAACAAATACAAAATAAAAACATTATATTATATATATATATATATATATATATATATATATATATATATATATATAAAACTTATTGCAGATATTATAAAAATTGTTGAAAACCCGTGGTAAAATGAAATGTTTTTTATTTTTTTTATGTTAAAACATTTTGGGGTATATGCCATGTTAAAAAATATAACCAATTCATTGCCTATTCTACTGACAAATAGTACAGATAGTGTTTTTTATACATTAAAAATATATCGGTTTGTTTTGGCAAGTGGAGCTTGTTACATACGTAAGTTGAATTATAATTACTATAGTAAATTAAAACACAACAATTTTACAGTAGGTATTATTTTAAAGAATAAATGTTTAAGATAACTCTTAGAAGTCAAATTTTAACCTAAATATTTAATTCATCAATTAAGTATAGTGAAACCAAAAACTGGTTTGTTATGTAATAATTTGTGTTATTTGCTTTTTAATAATAGATAGATATTAATAGATATTAGTTCAAAGACATCTTTGTGTGATATTTAAATCAAATATCACATTTTTCGTTGTTTAAATCTTTTCTCAGCTGACAATTATCACTAATAACAATATAAAATGTTTTTTTTTTATAATAGAGAACTATAAATTAATATTATCAGATAAAACAAGAAAAGAAAAAAAGGGACGATAATTGTGGGTGGAAAAAAATTTCATAATAGTACACGCCTCACTTTGCCATTGACCATAAGGGGAACGGAACGGGCTATTAAATAAAAGACAAATATTTGATAAAAAGTGGTCTAGAAGCCTTTAAAAAAAAATTAAACATTCCAACTAATTTTAAGGCGTGCAAATATTATTTTTTTCTAGTTATATAATTTTTTATATACGTTAAGTGGACAATTTACGAAAAATAAAGATATTGTAGGTTACATTAGTGTCTAAATATTGTCTGGGACTAAAGCCCCCCCAAAAATCAACCCCTAAGTCCGCCTATGGCCACAGCTGTAGTAGATGATGGCACTTGACAGAACTCGGATCTAGAACAATATTTTTTTAAATTTAATATATTCCCCCAACTAAAATATTTCTTCCATGAAAAAAGGCGGTACTTCTTGCTGTTTACAGATAAGGCAAACGAGAAAGCACGTCTACCGAGTTACGAGTATCGGTCTTATGTCATTACTCATTAGTCATTACTCCATAGTCGAGAGTTTTGTGTTGGTGTACTAAAAAACACTACACAGAAAACAGCAAATCAACGATTAGCAACCAGTTAACAGTTATTTCATAAATCGTTTTTTTTTTTTAATTATTACAAACTTATTATTATAATACGAAAATATAAGTAGTATTTATTTATTAATTTAAAAATCAACGTCAACGGAAATTTTTGACAACTCACGATGGCTCCGGTCGAACCCAGTGAGTATAAAAAGCTAGTAATAGTAGGTACCTTTGCTTTCCCCTTGTCTCTGCATGTCGCAAACACGTATTCTACTTGTGGTTGCTGGTTGGCTAGCAAATTTTTCACCAGACCCAAGCCTATTCCTCGATTAGCTCCTGTTATTAATATAGAACACATTTTTACGAATCGCATATAATAAGTTGTGAATATTGTAACAGTAATGAGTTATGACTTTATTTTTGATTTCGTGGAAGAAGCAACTTAATAAATGTGACTTGTGTTATAAAGAACAAAGCAATGAAACCACTATTAACCATGTTACGTAACGTTTACATCAAGGAATCAAGGAAAATATAATAAATGTATTTTTCAATTTTGCGATTTCACTTGCGAGGACTGATAACCTTATCAAATATCACATTTATTTATCAACTATCATTGTCAATTCACCGTGAGATTACATGATGATAGCATTACATAATATAATTTATAAAATAATTGGGTATTTAATTTAATTTTTAAATAAACACAATTTTCTTAGTTAAAAATAATATAATTTAGAAGATGCGTTTTAAATTTTTGTCTTCTATTAACATTATACACACACAATATGTACGTTTTTGTAAGGATTCATTAAGGATCAACTGTGCAAGAAGAATGAGTTTGTGTAATTTATAATCGTTTTTTACACTTGTTTATTATTTTATTATTATTTACTTATTATTTTTTTTTTTTCAGACGGACAGTACGATTTTGACCTTTTGGTCTTGGGTGGAGGCTCAGGGGGTTTAGCCTGTGCTAAAGAAGCAACAAATTTTGGTAAGAAAGTAGTAGTTCTAGACTTTGTCCTTCCGACACAAAGAGGTACAACCTGGGGAATTGGTGGTACTTGTGTCAATGTAGGTTGCATTCCAAAAAAACTCATGCATCAAGCTGCTCTTCTTGGAGAATGTATTCATGTAAGTTTTAAGTATAAGCAAAATTGAGTATGATACTTTTGAATGTTTGAACTAAAAATCTTATAATAGTTATAATAAAACCTAAATAATTTAATTATTTTGTAGGATGCTCAAAGCTATGGTTGGGAAATACAAGGACCTATATCTTTTAAATGGGATTCATTAGTCGAAGCTGTGCAAAATCATATTAAATCTGTCAACTGGGTCACTCGTGTGCAATTGAGAGACAAGTAAATATTCTTTAATGTAACTAGCAAAATTTTAAATAATATACCCTTGTATTATATTAATATTTACAACTCCTAAAATCTATCTGAGTTCTTTGGACTTACTGACTTTGTGGAGTTGGCTTGTTCATGATGTCAGCATTCTGCTCTATCTTGGAAATAAACATCCAACAAAAACAATATCTTGTTGAACTTTGTGTTTTGGTCTTTTGAGAAATTGGGATTTTTTACGAGTCTGATCCTATTTAATCAATTAGATTGCCTCTATATATTATTGTTTACATTTCTGGCTGGTTGAATAATTCCTTTAAAAGTAATATTAACTAAGCTTATTCTTGTACTGCTTTATTTAAAGCTATATATACTGATTCACTTGTGCTGGCCAGGCACACATTGAGTCTCAGGCAACGTAGCGTTCCTAAGTGAGATTTTCTGAGATCTACCGGTTACAAGTGCATATTGAAGGACAGAGTAAGGCTAAAAGTACTGCGTCTATGTTGGCCTGCATGTAGTTGTGTTCACAATTTCAGTTTACTGCTCTAAGCCGACTGCGTCTCGATATGTGCCTATCATTAAATACTGGTGACTGCGTGAACTTCGTACACTGGCCCTAATCCTAACAAAATAAATAACCCAGATGTTGTCCTTTGTGTATCCAAGTCACCTGGATAGTTTACATCACTGTATTCAATCAACTTATTTTTTTCTTTAGAACTAAAAAGTCAACCAAAATTAATTGTTTTCTTTAAATATTATAAAATATATTTCACTATTGTCCAATACTGTTCTTCTAGATTTTGTACTTATATTGACTGAAAAAGTATATTGTTTTGTCATTTGACTGTAGTATAATAAAATTAGAACACAACCCAACTGCTTTGCGATAGAATACTCCATGAGCATAGTTAGTAGTTTCTTGCTTACCATCCAATACATGGTATTTGAACTGAATTTCTTTCAGCATTATTAAACTTCATTGATATACGTTGACAATATAACTTTTGGTCTTAAATTATTATTCCATGTGTTTTTCGCTCATCCAATTTTTCCTAGAAATTCATTCAATTCACCTTAAAAAATGTGGAAATTTTATTCTATATAGGTATCTCAGTAGTTTGAAATTTGGGTCCATAAATTGTTGGACTAATAGGTTTATACAGAAGCGTAACAAATAATAAAAGGTTTGAATAATTGAAAAAAATCAATGTTTATTATTAATATGTGTAGTGTGTACATATAAGTATGAATGGTGAATATTTTCGAATCATCATTAAATACTCTATGTACACAGATTATTAAATACTATATCATCTTACAAAATACATATAATATGGTGACTTGTTTAATATTCCAACAAAACATAATAAACTAATTATATATTTTAAGAGTTGCATATTTGTACTATTAGTTAATTAATTAGGGGTTAGCTAACTTGTCTATTCTTACATAAAGATGAATTTATAATTTTGATCAGAAGAACATTATTTAAAAAATATTTATTCATCATAAAAAAAAAAATAGGTATTTGTTGTACTAAAAATATAAATTTTGAGAACTTGCTTATTTAATGTAATGTTATATCATTTTTCCAAATAGAAAAATTGAATATGTTAATGGTCATGGAGTATTTGAAGATAATCATACAGTTATTGCTAAAATGAAAAATGGAAAAGAACGGCGATTAACAGCAAAGGATATTGTTATAGCAGTTGGAGGACGTCCACGATACCCTGATTTTCCTGGTTGTAAAGAATTTTGTATTACAAGTGATGATATTTTCTCATTAACTAATCCGCCTGGTGATACCTTAGTGATTGGTGCTGGATGTAAGTATTGTCAATCATGAATTTTATGACTTTAATTAACATTATTAAATAATATTACTATTACTTACAGATATTGGTTTAGAATGTGCTGGATTTTTGAAAGGTTTAGGTTATCATTCTACTGTAATGGTACGCTCTATGGTTTTAAGAGGATTTGATAGGGATATGGTTAATTTAATTCAAGCTGAAATGGAGGATAAAGGTGTAAAATTCCTTATAGGAAAAGTACCTACAAAAGTAACCAAACAGTCCAATGGTAAATTACTAGTAGAATGGAAAGGAGATGAAGTAATCATTTTATTTTATTAATAAATAATATGAACAAGAATATATGTATATCAGTTATAACTAGTAAAATAATATTATGTAAAAAAGATATTAATTAATATAAGTAATATTAATGACTATACTAATAAAATAGTATACATATAATAATTAATGAATTAAGATAAATAAAAAGTACTTAAAGGCAATTAAACCAAACAAAAACAATATTTCATTATGATAAAATAAAACTATCTATTATTATTACATAACAAATATAAGAACTTTTTGTCGGTATTTCACTTCACAAAGACATGTCAAACTACTCTCTGACGCTCATCACTTTTCTACAGACTATCTTAAATCCCCACATTTGAGTTGGTCTAATCAGGGGCGTAGCTAGACATTTTTTTTTTGGGGTAGGCCCACTATAAACCATTGATAAACAATTACTAATAATTAATTTTTTTTTTTCTATATATATTTAGAAAATTTTGGGTAGGTCCAGGCCTACCAACTGGCTACGCCCCTGGGTCTAATGTATACATTTTATCTTCTAATTTATCTTTTGTCTTATTTTCTAGTTCTTAAATTTATGCTTATAAAAATTGTATTATAGAATGGCCAGGCTGAATTTGACACAGTTCTTGTAGCTACTGGACGTAGACCATTATCTGAGGAATTAAACCCAACTCTTGCTGGACTTCAGGTTCATCCCGAATCCGGAAAATTTGTAGTAAATTATGAACAAACAAATGTTCCAAATATATATGCTGTTGGTGATGTAATTCATGTAAGTATTTATTGTTAAATTTTGTTGTCAATTAATATTGATTAGGTATAAATTAATTAGGGAAAACCTGAATTAACTCCTGTTGCCATTCAAGCCGGAAAATTACTAGCTGCTAGACTTTATAACGGAAGTAAAGAACAAATGGATTATGATAATATTGCGACAACAGTATTTTCACCTCTTGAATATGGTTGTGTTGGACTTACTGAAGATGAAGCTATTGCAAGATTTACTGAATCTAAAATTGAGGTAATTAAATTTAGAATGGTGTATCGTTGATTCATAACATACTCATAATGAATATACATACAAGATGTAAAATATGTAATTGGTATAGGTTATAGACAAAAAACATTATTAAATAAATTAAGTTATTAACTAATAAAGAAGAATTTGAATAGTTTTGTTAGTACTTGTATGTTTAAAGTTCACGTATGTTGTCCTGCATTGAATCAGTATTCCGTTCAATACATATTAAAAAAAAAAATAGCTTACTTTTTAAAATTTTAAAAAAATTTGAGGAAAAAAACAGTTTTTAAAAAATGTTTTAGATTTTCTTAGTTATAGTTTTGAAACCAACAGTAAAATACATTTTGCGTTGTGGGTAAAATATATATTTTATTATTTAACTTTACAATTTATTTATTGTATGCTTTTTTCAGGTCTATCATGCCTATTATAAACCTACAGAATTTTTCATTCCTCAAAAAAATGTTAAACATTGTTATTTAAAAGTCATTGCACTACTTGAGGCACCACAAAAAGTATTAGGTATGCATTTTATAGGACCCCAAGCAGGTGAAGTTATTCAAGGCTATGCTGCAGCTATAAAGTAAGTTAAAAATAAGGTTTTTTTTATAACTTATATAAATTCTAAAAATATGTTATTCCTTCAGAGCTGGATTAACTTTTGAACACTTAAAAGATACAGTTGGTATACATCCTACAATATCAGAAGAATTTACAAGAGTCGCTATTACAAAACGATCAGGTGAAGACCCAACTCCACAAAGTTGTTGTAGTTGAATTTTTTATTTAATACTTGCAAATAATTATATTATGCCAATCTTATTCCTGTGGTAACGGTAACACATACATTAATATTATACATAAATAGTATACAAATATTATGTATAAATAGTATACAACAATAATTTATAATCATATATTTTTGCATAATTATTATACTCATATTTTTAAAATGTATCACTAAATATTTTGTTTTGTACTAGATAGTTATTTCTCTAGATATTGATATCGATGGTGGAAAGGCTTGTCATAAACAACATAAATTTGCATTAGTACATTAAGTGCTAGTGTTCTTATAGTTTTTTTACAGCTGTTTTTATTTTTTGAACATTTTCATTTTGGTTAAGTTATGTTCATGAGTCATGACCATTGGAGTTTAAAAATAGGTTAGGAAAAAATGATGAGGATTTTGCAATTTGGAGATCTTGGCATAAGAGATAGTTACTTTAAATTAAAACTTCTATAAAAATAACTGCTGCTTACGATAGCTGCAACAAAAATTAAGTATTCCCATTTAATGGGTCGTTACTTAAATTATGAGAATGTCAGAATTCTCTATAAGTAATTTAAACACTATTCAAACTAATGAATTGACACTTCAAAAACTATTTAAGCCTCGAAAATTTCCTTAAATATTTCAATTTAACTCCTAATGAGGAGTGTTAGAAAAGAGGAAAACATGCAGTATAGCGGACAATTTTTATTTGGGTCAGCCGATTCTCGGGTTTGAGGATTACCATTTATGTAGAAACGACGATGGCAGCATTAAGAAACTCATATGTTCTGGAGGTTCAATACCAATCTTTATGCTCCAATGCCATTTTTGTCTGAAAAAAATGAATTATCAAAATCCATGTTTATGAACTCTAGAAATATTCAGAACTGAGAAGCCAATCTATCTGACAACAGATTTAAAAGCATTTTTTAACAACATTCGTTAATATGGCGGCATAGGTAGTTAAATATAAACATTTACAACATATTGCATTAAATTATAATTGTCCAGTATTTTATAGAAATCAAGATTGTTTATTACAAAATAAAAGTCGATATTATTTTGAGTTTTCCTTTTAAAATGCAAATTATTAGTGATTAGATTATCATTTATTATTATAATTTGAACAAGAACAATGATAATGTATATTAATATATATATATATATATATATATATATATATATATATATACAACATATATTATTTTATAATCAATATAGACTTAATATATTATATATTAAGTATATTATAATATAGTAACAAAAGTTGTTTTTCATTTAAAAATCGTTTTATTTTATAATTTACGAAAACTTGCTTGCATTCACCAAGCAATATGGGTTATAGGTACATAGCCTAAACAAAAGGTCGTTTCTAGCTAAAAAAACTATTTAATTTTAATTATTAGTGCTTAATTTGTTTTTTTACAGCTGTATTTATTTGTTGAACATTTTCATTTTGGACCTAAAGTAAATTTAAATTTGGTAAAATGTTATGAAATACCTTTCCATCATCGAAATGGTTCCTTACAATTTGTATTACTTTGTTATTTTCATTATCATTCTCACTATCATTTTGTTACTAAAGTAAGTCTAAACCATAAATGTTTAAGAACATACCATTACTTTATTCTCATGATTTATCCATACTATGCTATAAATATTGTTCTATTCACTCTTGTTTTATAAGATAGATGAAATGCAAGATCAGATAATAAAAAACGTCTAATTGATCAAAGTTAAGGCGGGAACTTGTTGTTGCATAGTATCTAAATTATCCAAATAAAGTTCTTAGAACTTACTATTATTACTTTATTTTATTTTATACTAGCAAATACAGTTATGAATGGACGTACATATTTACAATAAAAAAACATTTAGTAACTCTCACACATAAAATTTAATTATAACTAAACATATAAATAAATATTAAAAACACATTAGCACACACACTATAACCTAAAAAAAACTTAACCTTTCAATGCCCAATTTTGTAAATGTTTTATATAGATTAAGTTACTAAGATTTTGGGATAAAAGTATCTATATCTATAAATATGACCTAATTACATCCTTTATGTAAAAATGTCATTAATAACTACAGGACGCAACTTAAATTAATTGTATTTTACTTACAAAATAAAATGATGTAATTAATATGTAGCATTTTTGCTACAGTGGGCACTGAAGAGTCAAGCAACACTTGTGGCTACATATAAAAATAATGAAATAATAAGATAAAACCCTTAACCTCAATAAATAATGCACTAGCGTATTTTAGTAGCAATACTATCTCATTATCAGCGCTCACAACTGACTTGGAATATGTTTTCAGTCTTTTGTGAGCGTTGGGGGTTATATTGAATTGCTACCAAAATATGCGTATATATTTATGTGATAAAGGTTTTTTTTTTAAATATTTTATTATTACTATAAACACCAAAAATGCAATACATTTACAATGCAGTTCATTTTCTCATAATTGGTAATAATTTGTAAATCAAAATTAAACAATCTTTTCCACATCCATTGAATAATAACTAATAAGAAAGTAATAGTAATAACAAATATATATATATATATACTTAAGCATATAAATAAAACAAATATAAACTTGTAGAAATACATTATTTTTTTACATTTTTTTTATTGATGACAAGCTTATTTTTATTCTTGAGCTCTTTTAGCTTTTATCCAATCATCAATTTGATTTTTTAATTCAACATTTGACTGAACCATATTCATAGTTAGTGGAGACCGAGTAAAGGGATCAGTTTGTTCATTTAAAAAGTGTCTAAAAATTTTAAGCACAAAATAAAAGTTATTAAAGTCGAGCATTGGTATTGTAATATTATCTTGCCTTAAAATCGTTGATCTGTCTACATTCACTTTACTGGATGGTAAAATGACGGGGTCTGTCATAAGCGTTGACATTATTGGGTCTAAAAAGTTGTCAGGAACTTCAGACAATAATAACTCATCGTCATTGCTTTGTTGAATAGCATGCTTTGAAACTTTAGTTGCAATGTTGGCCATTCCAGAAATAAGAGATGTTCCTCCAATTCTTGCTGCAAATTCAATAAACTATATTTTATATAAGAATACGAGTACATATTTTAAAATCACAAAATTCCCATAATTTACACTTTGTTAGTTACTTGACATTATAAATAAAAATAGTTTGTACCTATACTTGAGTAAATGAAGAAGTTAAAAAATAAGTCTACTTCACACAAATTTAACCGACTACTACTCAGACGATTTTAGGTCACACATAAATAAACTTTGAGTAGTAATGGATCAATTTACTTATAGAATAGTGAAAACTTAAAAAATTAAATTGTTATAAAAGAATACAAATAATGTATGTATCCATGTAAATATACTAACAAGTGAATTTAGATTTGTAATACAATACATATTATTGGTCACTCATGATCCAAAATTCATCAGTCTGAACTACTTAAACTAAAATGTTATCAAAAAACCTTACAATTTGTAGTTTTTTTTTAAAAAAGTATTTTAGATTGATAAATTTTAACCTAAAACATCCTCGGCTTGTTTGAATAGATTAAGGTTATATGATCGGCCATCTTTAGAAATAGCTAAACAAAATTCTTCACCATATTCACTTTCTCCTAAGTTTATATACATTGTACAAATATTCAAAACTATTTCTGCTGGTTCAAATTTGTACTCTTTCATGTCTTTCACCTATTAACAATTACATTAATAATCAATCAAGCAATTAATTTATCAGTATTATATGTAAATTGTATCATTGTACAAATATTTAAACAGCTTTGCCCTTACTTTAAAGTTTTTTTTCTTAGGACCAACTAAATGACACAAAAAATAGTTCAACATAGCTGCTACTCTATCAACCATTGTTGGGTGACAAAATATTGACTTAATTTCTGAAGTTAAGTATTTTAATGCATTTATGGTCTCATTCCCAAGTATATTATCAAACCTAAAAATGTTTTTTTTTAGATTATTATTATATAAAATAAATGATAAAAATTATTTATTTTAAATCAAATTTTACCTAGCAATCATTCCAATATGTTGAAAATGGGCCATATTTTGGTGTCTTTCTCTTTGTGACAATTGATTCCATTCACCTGAATCACTGTATCACCAACACATTAAGTATTCATGTAAAATAATATATATTTATTTAATATTATTTGATAACTAATGATAATTTCATAAATTCAATTGTATAATAAATATTAAGCGTATTGATTAAGTACCATTACAAAAGTTCACTTTCAATATATTGAATTAAGATCCATACTTTTCATTAAGTGATATGAAGTTTGTCTATTTCTATTCACTATTCAATTTGTTTTTCAATAAAACAACATTTTTAATTTAAAAAAAGAAAACTAAGAGTTTATCAAATTATTATTTTTAATTTTACATAAATTTATTATTGATTTTGGAAAAAACCATAAAAATACACTTAATATAGCTTTTATATGGTATACATGTTTTAATTGATTCTTTGTATGGACTCGCCAAGTCAAATACAATATCTGATTAAATGAGACAAAGAAAATACAAATTTGAAAGAAAATATAGTAAATTAGCAAAATTGTAGATACGTTTATTTAATGTTAAAAAAAAAGTTTTAATTTACTTTTTATTCTTGTTACAAATTTTTTTTAATTTTCCATAATTTTACTTAACTTTTAACTAAAATCTTTTTGTTTAAATTTATGATAAAACAAATTTATCAACTTCTTGCTTTCTTAAAATAACATATTTAAACAAGGATACATATTAGTGTATTTCAGGTAGGTTTAGAATAATGTTATGACATACAAATTTCTCAAAAATTTGAAGTCAAATTTTTTTTTTTATTAACGAAAAAGAAAGAGAAAATTTGCACGTTAACTTTAAGTAATTAGGATCATAAAACTTTTTAAAAAAACAGTACCTATTAAAACTAATAATTATAGATATATACATACAGTGCAGTTTGCATTTGTTTCAAAAGAGCCATATTGGTCAGAGCCTCATCTAATAAAAATACAGCATCATTCAATAACAAATTAATGAATCTCAAAAATAATGGAGGGTTTGTAGCTTCCATGTTATTTTCTGCATCACGAGCTAGCGACCTATAAATAATTAATCACAGAGTGAAATACATACAATTGATACATAATTAAAATGTTTTTAAATTTATTGTTTGATTTCTACATAAAAACATAAACCTACATCAAAACTCAAAAAGTTAACAACTCAATAGAAATAAAACAAGGCAGACCATTCATTTGCTTAAAAAAATAATTTTCTATTTGAAGACATTCTTGTTTATATTTTTTGACAATATTATAAGGTTTTTAAATTTTTAAATTTTTTGGTATTTTCTAGAGGGTTATCAACTTTTGAAACTTGTAATAGTTTTATTAACAATTTAGTTAAAGAATAATTTATTAAGACTGTTGGCTGGCCAATAACCATTTTTTAATTATTTCTTTTAAAATTATTAGTTTAAAAGTCAGGAAAGGGAAGTGCAAAATACAAAGTTGTCATTAGTTTCCAGCAAAATAAATAAGTTACTTTTAAGTTGAATATCATATACAGTATATAGTTTAAGTAATTAAAAAAAAAAAAAAAAAATTGATATCTGTTTTATGGTTTATGTATCTACAATAAAATATTTTATTGTGTCAAATTACTTAAAAACTTCTCTATGTTCTTTTAATTTCCATAAATAATCCATAACAATGTACATTGGTCGACGATAGTTAAATTTCTGTTCAAATTCCACACTTTGTCCAGTCATTTCAATACCAACAAATACATCCAATAATGCATAGACAATCTAAAATATTAAAACTATCAATAATAATACTATATTTTTATAGTAAATTTTAAAATACTAACTTGTTTACGATGAGGATGATTTAAAAATAAGTTTTGTCTGTAAAATGATCCTATTGAGTTTGTAACAGCAGTATCTTCATCTGAATGAGGTAGTAAACAGTCTAAACATTCAGCTAAGCGGGCTCTTAAATGTGGATTTCTAACCCTAGTATTAGATATCATAAACACTAGTATAGCATTTAAAAGTTCACTGACTAGTTCAAAACCAGGTTCCTCCAATGAGCGTGAATGAAAACGACGTACCAACATTAAGTAGCGCCAAATATTTTCCATTACAAACTCGGGAATGCATCTATAAAACGTTTTTAATTAATTTCATAGTATTAAGTAGTTTATATTACTCATACTTCAAAGTAGGAGGAACAATGTTAGTTAACGGAAACTCAATAGTTCTGAATTTTTCTGGACAATAAGATTGCAAATTATTTGATTGAAAATCTTTATCTACGTCGCAAACAACTTGAACAAGCCATACACATGTTGCTTTCTGAAATTGACTTAGAAGATGTAAAGTTGATGGTTCTAGAAGAGCAGCTTTCATAGATAAATATCTAATAGAAGTAATATTTAGTTAGTAAAAAAAAATATATATATATAACTTATTATACTTAGTCATTTCAGTTTCCATTCGATCATTGATAAGCTTCATTACTTCTGAGGTTGCAGATCCAGACTGTTGAGCATCTACGAATGTTTGTTGCATTCTTGCAAGTTCTTGATTAATATTAGTCATTTTTTCTTGTATTTGAGCAAACCCTATTTCTAATGATTTATGTGTCATAAAAAAACATTCAGTTATAAAATTAAATTGTCCTTTAGCCACGGGTCTTTTTTCAATTTGGTTTGAGTCTTCAGAGTCTGTAGGTAATAACATAGTGCTTTCATTAAGTTTAAAAAAATGTATTCCACGTTCTTGACTTTCATCGTAATTTTGGACCTAAAAAAAATAAATATTTTAAATTAATTATTTTTAATATATAATAATATTTATACCAACTTTGGCTGCACAGTAAGTTGGGTCAATTTTTAACAACTTTGTGTTGTTTTTGTTGGATATAAAAGGCTGACAAAGTCTTAGAAGAACAGCACTCAAATTTATAGCAAAACCATCAGAGATAAATTCTAACATTGACGTTTCAACATTCCACAATTTACAGCGACCCGAGTTTTTTTCCAAACAATTTCCAAACCATGACAATGTTTTATGTTTAACTTGAGGGCCAGCTTTCAACAGATTTAAACATATTTTATGTATTTGTTGATGCAGTGTCTCCATACCATTCCATATATTTCCCTCTAATGGACCAGATAACTAAAAAAATTAGACACATATAATCAAAGGGGATTGGAATTTGGATATTATTCCTGTCTTTTCACAAACACCACAAGAATTAAGATATACATTTGTCATTTTGTTCATTGATCCAATTGATATATTAATGTACTATAAGGAATGTATAAACATATCTGCATTTGTCATTAAGTTAATTGAGATTAGTTTTTACTTTTTCAATTTCAAATTAGGAAACTCTAAAATATGAAATTAAAATAAATAAATCTGCTATTTATTCCTTATCGCATCAGTCAATCAATTGGCTTAACAGACAAAAAATATGTCTAAATTCCTATGTATCACGTGAGTAGAACAGAGGCAAGAATAATCGGTATACAAGAAAAATAACTACAAATTATTAGAGATAGTTAAAACAAAATAATAGATTTTAAATAACAATTTTTTTTAAGAATATTGAGATAAAATATATATTTACAGGTTGTTTTTTTACTAAGACCTAAGGGCCAAAATAACTAGCAGCTATGTGCTTAAATACACCAAATCATTATATCCTATTAGCCATATATTAAGAGTTAATTTAGTACTTTATTTGTATAAATAAAATATACGAACCTCTTCCATAGGTTTTTGAAAAAATTCAAATTGTACTCCTGCTGACTTTGGTAAAACAGATAAAGAAAAAAGAGAGCCAAGAATTGTGTCTGTATAATGATAACCACTAGCTTCATTAGGCACATAACAGTGGTCAATCAATACCTTAAATATATGTTAATATAAAACATTTAAATAAATTCCTAAAAACATAACTAAACAAATATTTCAAAAACTGTTCATAATAAAATACAATTTTAGTTTAACTTACTTGAGCTAATAGTGTTAAAGAAGAAAATACTTGTAAAACTGCCAATTCACAATTTGGTAGAAATATAATAGTAGATTTTTTTATGTTTTCCTTAATTTTATCCAAAACTGGTTGGTATGCTGATTTTAACTGCGCTTCTTTATCATCTTCATCCAATATAATACAATGATTCACAGAAGTAAAGAAGTTTGTATAGTCTTCAAATGATGCCATGTTATTATGAAAAATCCCTAAAATCTAAAATTGAGTATACTTTAATATAAATAAACAAAAAGTACTTTTACATACAATATTTTTTACATAAAAAAGTAAAACTACCTATGATCTGTTCGCCAAGAGAATATGGTTGCACAGAAACATAAAACACATTATTCTGTCTGTGCAGGTGCATACAATAGTAACGCATTTTTCTTTCTGCCCTAACATATTCTTTTTGCGAAACAGAGTATAGATTATAAAAATATACCTGTGAATGTATATCTTGCAAACCATGAAGATCTGGTTGTTTAAGAGCTGTAGATACATTATTAGAAATAAAACCGCTAATTTTTGTATAAATACTTTTTTCAATAGATGGATACCGATTTTCTTGCTTGGCAAATTGTAATTCCAAAAAGCATTTAAATAAATAAATTATACACTCCTTTTGAACAGTGTGTACATTCACAGAAACATCGCGCTTTTTCTTTAATAAAAATGACTCTGGATCAGGTAATAATATTCTTTCAAAAATAGCCTGTTCAAGCATGACCAATTTTGATTCATTTGCAACATTATTTTTTAATATTTCGGTTAAATCTGGTAAGTAAATAATTGAAGTATCGTACTCCTTATCAAAATTGGGTTTTAAAGCAAAATGAAAAATGTTCTCAACAAGTTTATCAAGTGCTTCATCAACACTATTTTCGACATCATTCATTTTGGAATTGGATATATTTTCATCTGAAGTCGAAAGTATTTGGTCAGTATTATTTTTTTGAAAAATAGAAAATTCGTTTCCTCCAGACATTTTAGCACTATTATTCAAGACATATGAGCAAAAAAAACATTATTTAATAGCGTCTTAATAAAACATTAAGAGTAGTAAACTGATTAAACTCCTTAAAAATTACACATCCAGTAATTTGAATAAATATTATTATTTTAGTAAATTAACATCTGACGTATTAGACCGTGATTTGACAATTGAGACAAACTATTGACGAAATGCGATAACATAGAAAAGCTGATAATAAATCGTTACCATTTATATAATGTTATGATCTAAGTTACCAATGACCTATTAACTCCTAAACATTGGGTAAAAATATGGTTACTGGCCCACAAGAGTACAAGGATTCTCATGGAACTTTACCGTTCAAATTGCACAAGTTAATTTTTTCTTCCACGAAATTTCTCACATTGCCGTTTACTCTCCCGGCATGTCAGAATAATATTCCAAAGTCCAAATAACAAATTGTTATGTTGTTTAAATTAGATATTAATACCACGATAAATACTTTTACTTGTCATGAGAGGCAGTTGCAGGTCAATAAAATCACAGATTATACGAAAATAAAATCATAGAATAAATGCGATTTTAGTCTATTCTGTGGTCAAACATATTTTTACTCTAAGGGTCTATTTTGTGGTCAAACTGCAAAAAAACGAATCATTGGAATGCTTGCGATTAGGAAAAGGTTCCTTTGTGACTAAATAAACGTATTCTAACAAACTTAAAAAAATAATAAATATAATATACTTAGCAAATGTATTGCTAATAGATAAATTTATTTAGTAATGGAACATGCTTAAATCCTAATAGTTAATACTATATCTAGTACCGTCTACCAAATACCGTGTCAAGTTTTTATCTTAGTTCGTGTTTTGTTCAGGGAATAGTATCAGTAGTGGTAACATACATACGTTATCACTACAACCACATCCAGAAGAACGGAATTTTACAAAGATAATATAACCAGACGCCATATTGATTTTAATCACAAATTGAAAGCTGACTTTTTTTTATATTACTTCTAGAATCTAGTGTAAATTTATATCGTTTATTTATCTAAAATGAGTTTCTTTGAAATGCTAATAGAACGATACATTTCATTTCGTTTGTATAGAAGTAATTAGTGATTGAATAATATTTGGATTTTGTTCCCGATGAATTTTATACAATAGTGCATTCAATTATTTACTTCACGTATCATCTTTGGTATCTTAATCACTTGCCATCTGGAACGGGTATACTATATTTCTTAATATTAATTGTTAAATAGTACCTATTCTATTTTACCTTACTTTTGATGAATAAAATTTGTTTATTAAATATTTTAAATATAAAAAAATACTGTAAATTAATATAAATTACATTTTGAAAAGAATAGATAATTTTATTTATAAATTACAGCAATTATGTTTAACTTATGAAGTCGATAAAAGTAATCTATAAGTATTTAAAATCATAATTTTTCCTAGAAATCCACCAGTTACCATAATCATAATTGTAGTAAGAAGTTTGGCAAAAAGCTACTTTGTTTTAGAGCATCATTCAATATATTGCTTTTTTATTGCTGTTGACTCACAAAAACTTTTAATGTGCTAAACTTCATTTTTTTGGAAACAAAAAATATTTTACAAAAATCAAATTTCTAATAAAACATGCTTTAAATTTATAAAACTATAAAACATCTTATTTTAAAAAGATGTGAATAAAGTATTTATCAATGTTTTGCCACTTAAGAAATACCACATACATTTTATAGGTAACACATAAGAGGTTTTATATTTATTTTTCATATATTTTAGATTGAAGTTAGCATATAGGGGATTTTAACATATTATAGCTTACTTTTTTTAAACCACAAAATTCTAAATATGGCACAGGCGTTTTTTTTGTCATCGACATTATGTAGCACATTAATCTTATAAAATATGTGTAACCAACACCTTGTATATCATGTAATATTTTAATAGTACAAAAAAATATTTGACTACTTATTTTAACATTATTATTTTATTTATATTTATAAAATTTGTTTGTCTTATAATCTTAAATTCCAACAACTCACTCTAACATCTACAAATTAGGTTTTTATTTGTTTATTTTAATTGCTCGTATTAAGAGCCCTAACAACTTAAGCTGTCGTTTATTGTAAAACTTAATTATATAACCAATTTCATTGAATAGCCCCACATAAAAGAAAAATAATTGTTCGACAAACCAGACTAGTTGGTAAATTGTTTACTAGTTACTAGACCTAACAGTCTAGTTAGGTTTTGTTTGTTTTCTTGTTTCATAAATATTTCAAAAACAAATTAAATTTTTGGTGGATTTTTTTGTGTGTTAACAACATTTAATTTTATTGATTACCATAAGAAAAAATGTCTATTTTACCTATTTTTGAACCTGCTGTATTATTTCCTTGCTTTGGTTCTGGTTATGCTACAGATAATTTGAAAGTTGTTATATTAACTAATGGTTGCCATTAAGCCAGATTTTTACACGAAACTACCAGTTTTTCACCACATGGTGCCATGTTCCCATATAGTTCTAAAACCCTGACCGAGCCGTAAAAAATCAGTTCTGAAAATGAGTCCCGATTTCTATTGTGTGGGTACCTCAAATTAAATTGTCCGAAACAAAATAATTTTATCAAATCTATTGGAATACTAATCTGATCAGTGTATACAGCAATGTTTTAGATAAATAATAAAAATAATAACTATGCTCACTGTGTAAGTAAATATACATATTCATTAGCTTACGCTGTATACAATAGTGTAGTTATTTTGTATAAAAAATGTATAAATATTACATACATTCATCACCAAAATATATAACAAAATAAAAAAAAAATTGTAATACTTAATTTGTAATATCTATAATATAACTTGTCATATTTTAGTATATAATATAATATATAAAAACAAAATCCAGGAGTTGTTGGATAAAAGTAATAATATATTTAGAATAATGTCCGCGGTTTTTTAATTATAAACAAATGATAACCCTCATGTGCTCGTGTATGGACAATTACACCATCTTTCTTTTAAAAAAAAAAGCGCCACATCAAAATATGTAAAGTCAGCATTCCGATGCAGTTTAAAGCAGTACAAAAGCATCGCAAGCAATGTAGTAACCTTAATAAACGCGAGCGCTTGAAGGTTAATATCAAGCAAAATAATAGAGAATAAAACAAATTTTTATGTAAAACAAATACAGGTTAGATCAGCACAATTTAAAGTATAATTGGATGTAAAAGAATGAAAAACAGATAAAATGTTAAGAAAACATGTATTTACAATACTTTATTTTAAAATGGTTTCAGTTTGAGAAGTCATTCATAGTAGAATTTAAGTGAGACTAATACATTTTCATCAACATTTTTGTCATACAGACATGAAAATGGTGCTGTCTCAAAGACAACGTGAAGAATTGTAAGTGTAATTTTATATTATTTACATTTTAGTGTAGATGAATTAAACCGTTAAGAATTTAATCCCTATTTATTAAGCAGTGCCGTATAAGCAATTTAAGCATAGGCACAATTCAAATTTTTAACTCGGGGGGGGGGGGCTGGCATTTTTAAAAATATATACATATATATACTCTATTTAGAATAAGAACAGGTTTCGGCGGCCGACTTGTGCGCATGGGCGTGGCTTCACTCGGCCGCCGAAGCCTGTTCTTATTCTGAATAGAATATAAGTTAATATATTTTTATATTTTAAAATGTTATGCATAACCTAATTTTTTTGGTGGGGCTATGTCTAGCATTGGGGGGGCTAAGCTCACCCTAGCCCCCTCGTATTTGCGCCTATGAATTTAAGACAAACTTTAAATTCAAAGCTAAAACTTGAATATTTATAGGTTTGACCATCACAACTTCCTTGGCAACATTGAAAGTTATTTTTAGTCAGAGTTTCAAATCTGAAGTTACTAATTTTGTTTAAGTCAAACTGTTTTCTATTAAACTAGATTACCAGCTGATTATATTCTTTTAACTCTGGGAGTTAACCAATTCGTATTACATTAAATCAGTTTTGCATGTAAACCTATTAATTATTTAATGATTCAATTTCACCTGAACACAAATTCTTTTCAAAAATATTTAATTGAGCTAAACTTTTTAATGTTTGCAACTATTTATTCTTCAATTATAATACTTGTGAACTTATTGACTTAATTTTTAGTTAAGCTAGCTTGAATATAAATTTAGTAAATGAGATATAATGCATATTAAATAATTTTAATCTTTTATTATTTTTTTCAAATAAAACTACCTTCTAGTTTCTATTTTAAAAAATTCTCAAATAATGAGCTACATATTTTAATTTCACGCTTTTCTTACATTAAAATTTTGTGTTCTGCTTTTTATGATTATGAATTAACACCATAGTGATATATAAAATATTTCATATCAATGTATATTTCAAATAAGTGTTAATGATATTTTTCAGGAACAAAGCTATAGCTGATTACTTAAGTAGTAATAGTTATTACAATGCACTGGAAGGTTTGAAGAAAGATGCTGATATGCCCGGAGAGGTAGAAAATAAATATGGTGGTTTACTAGAAAAAAAATGGACTTCTGTAATTAGATTGCAAAAAAAAGTAAGCTATGTGAGCAATGTAATTTAGTTAACCATGATCGTTTATATCATTTGTATCATTGTACATATGATATTTATAATCATTGCATACAGTTGTATACATTATATACTAATATGTAATATATCGTTGTTTAAAGTGCAACAGTGCGTATCTCAACATTTGACAAAATGGGTATATTGTCAATATTGATAAATTGAGCTGATGCCAACAATTTAAGTAAGACAGAAAATTTCTGTCAGATTAATGGTTACACTGATATTGATAAAAATGTTAACGTGTTATGTTAAAAAATGTGTGTTTTGCTTCTCCTGTAAACCTTCAAAAGCTGAGATACGCACTACTGTTTCACTTTAAACGGTGATATGCAATACAAACATAAAAGTCTATTAATTAAACCCAAGAGGTAATAAGTATAGATTACTACTATAGTTATTCAACTAATCATTAGTTTTTAACCTAAAAATACGTTATTAATAAATGCTCTTTAAAAATTTACACCTTAATACAATTTTTAAGGTAAGCGAATTAGAATCAAAACTTTCCGAGTATGAAAAAGAAATTAACTCTGGTGCTCCTAAAAGAGCATTACGCTCACCAAGTGACTGGATTCCAAGAGCTCCAGAAACTCATTATTTGACTGGACATAGAGAAACAGTAGTAAAAGTTATATTTCATCCAGTTTTTAATATTCTTGTATCAGCAAGTGAAGATGCTACAATAAAAAGTTGGGACTATGAGACTGGTGAATATGAAAGAACTCTGAAAGGTCATACAGAAGCTATACAAGATGTTGCTTTTGACGAGAGTGGTAAATTGCTAGGTTGGTATTCTATGTAATTCCACGAGTACTATTATAAAATGCATACTTATATATATTTAATGGACATAATTTGAAACATTTTAGTGTCTTGTAGTGCTGATATGAGTATTAAGTTATGGGATTTTAGTCAGACTTACGAATGCATTCGTACCATGCAAGGCCACGAACACAGTGTGTCGGGAGTTTGTTTCCTTAAAGGTGGAGATTTTATAGTTTCTTCATCAAGAGATAAAACAATTAAAATGTGGGAAGTTAATACAGGGTATGATATTTTAAATCTTTTGTTCATTAAAAAATGTTCATACATTTTTTAATTATACATTATTGTTTTTAAAATATTAAATTTTAGATACTGTGTTAAAACATTCACTGGGCATCGTGAATGGGTTAGAAAAGTGAAAGTTTCTCCGTGTGGCCAACTGTTAGCTTCTTGTTCCAATGATCACACTGTTAAAGTTTGGGTAATTGCAGCTACTCAATGTAAAGTGAGTAGAAATGCAAAAATTGTAACATTGAATTGTAATACTTTTGTATTAATTAATACTGAGTTATAATTATTTTTTCATAATTAGGCAGATTTACGAGGCCATGAACATGTAGTAGAATGCATTGCATGGGCACCTGCTGCAGCGTCATCGACAATTAATGAAGGCGCTGGGGTTGATAAAAAGAAAAATGGTTATGAAGGACCTTTTATTATATCTGGTTCACGAGATAAAACCATTAAGGCAAGTAACAGTATAAAACTAAAAATAAATAACTGCTTGTGTTTTAATATCTAATTAATTTAGATGTGGGATGTGGCTTCACGTTCATGTCTGTTTACTATGGTTGGACATGACAATTGGGTACGTAGTTTAGTGTTTCATCCTGGTGGTAAATATGTGATATCTGCTAGTGACGACAAAACACTTAGAATTTGGGATTTGGCAAACAAACGAAATATGAAAACTTTATTGGCCCATAGTCATTTTTGTACCACAGTTGGTAAGTACTGTAAATCTGTTTAATATCATTACACAGGCAAGATTTAAAATATGTTTACATGTAATTTTTAATTAACTATAAATAATTTTTCTTTGTAGATTTCCATCGATCGCAACCATTTGTAATAACAGGTAGTGTGGATAAAACAATTAAAGTTTGGGACTGTCGCTGATAGTACAAAGTCCCGACAATTCGTGTTGTTAAAATATGCTCTGCTTTGCTAAATTTAAAAAATATCTCCACTACATTAACACAAATTAAGATTTTAATTTCTAGTCTATCATAGAAGTGTAGGTATATTATTGCCCAGCTTTTATTTATGTGAAAATAGCATTGCTTTTTAAATTTTTTTATATAGATAATATATATATATATAAAGAAATAACTAGTTCTTTATATTTTAGGTATGTGTATTTTTTATTTTTCCTCCCAATATACTAGTACATAAAAAAACAATAGGTTTTAAATATAATTTTATGTTATTTTATTTATGTGCATATTTAGCTTTCTCGTTTGATGACGATGTATCATTTTGTTTAAATACTTTTACTTATTTTAATTAAGCGTTTTAAATTATTAGAATTATTTTTTGTATTATGTCTGAATTAAAAATAATAACCATATTCAGTATGTAATTGTTTTTATGTATTAAAATATTTTCTATCAATTTATTTCTTTAAAAGATGGAATATTAATTGGTTTTATTTACTAGTTTTAAACTTGAACTATAGCTTTAAAAAGTATTCCATTTTACTTTATTACATGTACTATATTTTGTTTATAAGATATTTTTCTATAAAATAATTTTCTATTTTATGCATTGAAACGTTTGAATGTGATTTATTATAATATTATGACTGCTGAATAATTTTGTCTGAAATAATTAATAAAGAAATTCAAGTTTTTTAAAATAAAGTAACACATGATTCAAAACAGAACAAGTGATATTATGAATTTATAATTTAACGTATATTTTATTTTATTAAATAAACAAATTGTTAATCAATAGATATCCTGTAAATTCTGCCCATAATGTTATAATAGTATACAATAACAATTTACCCAAGTTAAAATGTGTTTTACTTTTTGTTAACAATAATTTCTTAACAGTTTGAATATATTATTTTAATATATTTGTAATAATATATAGTAATACTTATTATGTACGTTTGTATTTTATTGTTTCAAATTAATAAAAATAAAAAAATATTTTTGGGGCAGAATTTATTAATCATTTTTTAAAATAACTAAATAAATGAATAAAATTGTTCCAAATGACTAAGAAATGAATACTTTTTTTTATAGTTATCATTAAAAAAATATGATTAATTATCATACAGGGTGCAGTAGTCAAACCTGAATATTTGAAAAAATAAAGAAAAATAGAATAAGTAATTTTTTTAAATTTTTTGCCCAACAAGTACAAAGTAAAAAAGTGGAAATTAATGTTACAAATTTGAAAACTTCATTTTTTCTAATCACTTATACCAAGTTCTGTGTTGTGACGCCTGGCTAACTTTCGGGGACTTCTCCCTACTGCTTGTTGCACCAGCTCTACATTTTCTGGGGTCCGGCTGGTTTTTTCAGTATCGCCTCTTTCGAGTCTTGCTAGCTGTAGTTTCAAAATTTTTCACCTACAGGTGGATGGTACCACGAGAAGGCACAGAATCGCGAGGAGATAAACCAAACTGTCTGCGAAAAGCTCGTTGAGCGCCTACGAAACTATTATTACTTTTTTAATACGCTTTTACCGCGAACGCACGCTGTTCACTTGACCAACGTCTATGTTAAATTCCGGGTGTCTGGAAGCAGTAGGTGCAGTTCCACTCTCTACCACTTAAAACCACGCCCACGAAAATCGTCGGGTTCAACTGCCATACCCTGTATTAAGGGGGGAGTAGGGTAGTCAAATTTTTTTTTTTTTTTTGTTAACTGAATGCATAATATCTCAAGAATATTGTGTCAAAATTTCAAGTCGATCGGAACAAAATTGACGACGTTATGAGTTGTCGGAATTTTATAGCTGCCCGGCCCGAGCGCACTATCGTTAACTTTAAAGCGTTTTTCCCACAACTCACGTTTTCAAAGTCGGTGACCACCATAACTTCAAAACTACTGCACCGATCCTTTTGAAATTTTGAACACTATTTCAGTACATAACTAACGAGGTAACGCTGGAGAGTTTTTTTTCAAATTTGTTAATAGTTTTTATTTTACAATAACAAATTAGCCGATTTTTTTCGCAAAAATCGCGTTTTTCCCTTCAAAGTGTTCCCAAAAAGTGAAAAATTGAAATTTCAAAAAACCCTCCCAGCGTTACCTGAGGAAAGCAATTATCTAACGAAAGAACTTGATTTTTTTAATTTCGGATGATCCAGCATCGAGTTATGAGGGGCACCGCAATTCTACTTTTTTCCGAGACGCTTCCGAATAATTGCCGCCATTACCGTATTTTTTAATATTTCTACATGCAAATATTACACAATATTCTTCGAATGTTATACTTTAATGTACCATTAGTTTTAATAAACAGATTTTAACTGTGTCGTCAAAAAAAATTCACAAAAATTTGCCGTTATTTGCACGAATTAACCATACCCCCCCCCCCTTAAAAATCATCGAGAGATGCTTAGCAGTTCCTCAATGCACTCCTGTTGTAACAGTGTCTTAATTATTAACTATCTTTTGGCAGTAAATTGTATACTTAACGTTTAGCATATATAATATTCTTTTTTTTATGCTTACCTAGTCCTTTTCTACTAAATTGTGAGGACATGTAATTACATATTTCTAATACCTTATACATGTTATTAGCAGGTACATTCATTTCTTGGCATATAATTAAAAAATTGGAATTCCTGTGTAAGTATATTTTTAATCAAACAAATTAAAATAAGGATCAATAGTTCCGATTTGGCTGAGCTTCTCCATTTGTATGGGATAAGTCAAAGAATAAAAAAGTTGCTGTTTTTTTTTAGTGCATAAATGCTTTTATATTTTACATTTTTCTAGAGCTAAAAGTCCTCTGATCTGCTAATCATTTAAAATTAATTAATTCAATTTTCTGAATAGAAATAAAAACAATTCAGTTGCATATTTATTATTAGCAAAAAACAATCAAAGTTGAGGTAATATATACATAGTTATTTAAATTCGGGTTGGAACTGAAATTTGAATTTGACAATTTTTTTTTTAATCCAAATAAATAATAAAGCTATTGTTACAAATCTGCTTATAAACAAATACTTATATTTATGATGTATATTTAAAACAATTATTTTATTATTTAACTTGGATAAAAAATACAAATATTCCATGGATATCCCTACCATTAATCTACATACAACATATTATACCAATGATTAGAAAAGTGGTAATACCTGCAGTTTACTAGAAGCCACCCTAAAAAAGTATTTAGCAGATAGAGCTTAAAAATTGAACCATCAAAACCTATTTATTTTTACAACTTATAAATCACATAACAATTAATTCATTTTTTTGTTACATTCACATGATCATTATACAGCAAACAAATGTTAAAAGAGATAACATTAATGAAAAGTTAGGTATGTAAATTTATAGATGTTATAGCATTAATTAAGAATATAAAACATCTTAGAGAAATTATAGTAATATAAACTATACACAAATAGTATTTATTAACATACTGCAGTTTAGTATAATTTGTTTTATATAATATACAAAGTAGGACAATAAACACAATTATTGGATGTAAAAAATAATACAATTTTAACCGTGTATTATAATAGCTAAACATTTTAAGCTAAAATGTACAAATGGGCAAACAATTCAATACAAAAATTTTATATTTGTTATATCAAAAACACCATTAATAAAAACGTATTTATTCCCTTTAATAAATTGATTATTGTATGATATTTCAATATAATTCAGTACCGTAATCATATTTATAAAATGTTAACAAATTTTAAATATTTTATAGTATATTAATCGTTATTATATAAAACAAAATTATTTCTGAATGGAAAAAAATGTACTTGAATCAAATAATTTAGGGGGGATGATTTCAACAACAAAAATGACTAGATTGTTTATACACGTTTAAATATAAATAGTTTATTAAAAAAAAACAAACCTTGAATAAATTGTAAATTATCTTAAAATATTGGTTCTTTAACTGGCAGTAAAAAATATTTATATAATTTTTTGAACAAGATAATAATAAATTTATAAAAAAAAGTAGTTAATTTTTTTGCTTCACAATTAAATGGTTAAACATTCTATATCATTTTGGCCAGTGATTCTCAAATTAATTATACACACAGTATATACCACATAGCTATTTGATTTTAGATGGATACTAAAAGTACATAGAAAACTGTAAATCGGACTTGATAAGTTAAATTTTGATAAGGTTTTGAATTTAATTTTAAAACCAAAAAAAACTGATATACGCTTAGAATTAAAAAAAAAGGACACACTTACCAGAAATTATGTCTAAGTATATAATTTAGAACTAACCTATTGTTGGTTCTTCACATAGCTATAGTTGCTAAAAGCACAGTTATATCATCAGGTTTCCCACCTAAAAAAATAAATATAATATTAAGTAATACCAAGATTTTAATAAAAAAAAAAAGTAGGGACAAGATGTGGAATAGATTGATTTTCTTAGCTTTGATGGGGAGCAATATTAATATTTACAATGATGTGTGGTTTTTTTTTTTTGTGTAACACAATAACTCTTTTTCCTTTAGTTTGATTTACTCGAGTAGCAGCTCTATAGATCCGAAATTGTATGCAATTAGTACTTGGTTATGTTAAAAGTAGAAAAAGTCAATCTTTCATCCTCAAAACCAGGAACAACCGAATAAAAATCTGACCAGTTTTTCAGTTGTCAAATTTGATATGCTGTATCTTCGCGAAAATTGTTAGAATCAATTCAAAATTTGTATAGAACATTAATTAGTGATTTTTTCACAATCAAAGGCTTTAATGCGATTTTGGAAATAGTATGAACCCAGCATAGATTAACCCAACTTAGTCCAAACCAAGCACAGTTCAAATAATTTTTAGTTTATTTTATAATAATGTCCTAAATTGGCTTTTATAATTATTACATATCTTTATGCTTTTATTTTATTTTCAATTTAAGTACTAAAGAGCAGACAGTGTGAAATAGTAGAGCATATGGACAAGAGGTTTAGTATTTACACAAGGTTTGGTAAGGGGAAGCATCAGCAATGATTCAAAAACAAAGGTAACATGTCAATTATTATTAAATAGTACAAAACCAGAAATCCAAAAGGAAAAATTTACAAAAGTCAACTGGATTAGATGACCTATGCACTCAGAAACTATGTCACTTTGGTTAAAATATGGACCATAGAAGACAATAAAAAATACCGAAAAGTAATGTTTATGGGCCATGACCTTTTCGAAAAACTACTAGCTAGCCACTCAAACTGGCTGGTTTTTAGGTCTGAGAAAAAATGCACAAGTCACATACATACTAAACTTGATGCAAAATTTTGATAAAGGACTAGAAACAAATAAGATAAGTGTGCTTTGTAGACTTATCCTTAGCTTACAGTTTTATTAAGGACTTACCAACAGTATTGATGCCATTCGCTTGAGCAGCACGTGCAAATGGTGATAAGAAAGATCTATCAAAAGCTAAAATTCTAGCCATCCAAGCAATTGTATTTGCTGCACACTGTAATTTAGTAGGGTCACGAACACCTTCAACTCGACTTAATTCTTTAAGCAACAAATGATCAGGAACATTGTCAAAAACTCCATCAGTTGCTAAAAGAATGACATCTCCATTTTCCACAGCAAAATCTGATATATCAGCCGAGTCTGGGCTGTCGCTGAGAACTTGGCCACTATGTGTAGGAGGTGGTACTGACAACTGATAGGGCGTGTTAAAATAGTGCTGCTGTTCTTCAGAACGATGCACAACATGGCCTCCACGTACAACCATAAAGCCACTATCACCAATATTAGCTGTGTATATACTGCAAGTTTCTTTGTTTAGTACAACAACACAAGCAGTACTACTTCCTACAAATAGATTGAAATACAATAACTATATAAGTGATTGTATAATTTGTACATTCAAAAATCCTAAGATATTTTCTTTAACAGTTAATTTAAAAAATAATTAAATTAATTAGAATTTAGGTGTGCAAACATAACATTGTACAATGTTTTTGAAATAAAAGGTTAAAATTTAACTTACCTAAAATTGGTTGTTTGTTTTCAAGTAATTCATAATAACTTTGTGCTAAAAGTTTATTGGGCTCATTAGGTATTATTTTTCCTAAAGATACAAGTCTTTCACATGTTGTCATGAGAAAACTTGAAAATTCACCGGGATCTATACCATAGTGTCGCCATCCACCAACACCGTCAGCAACTCCTGTTAAACAGAAACATTAATTTCTAATTAAACTTTATTACATGAATTTAATCTGAAAATCTGAAATAATTAGTTTGTAATCCAGTTAACTAGTAAAATAGGTATAGTTATTATCATAAAAAAAAGATTATTTATTTATATATATTTCTAAGGGTTTAATAACAATAAATGTATTATTATTATTATATATATTAATTATTGACTAATATTATGTCTGTCATATTATTTATGGTTTATTAGTGAAATACTAGCTACCTAGCCATTGACTGAATTTTACAATACAAATTAAATTATGTATAGGTATGGTCTGTAATTACTCGTCCTACATCCACTAAAAGTGCTTTAAGTCTAATTGAATGAATAATAAGTAATTTAGGGCAATATGAATAAAATAATTGATCCTATATTTTTATTTATTTTATTACTAATTATTTTTTTTATCATTCAAGTCGATAAAACATCCAAAAACCTAGTCTAGAATTACACTTAATTTATGTAGAGTTCATACTTGTTTTAAGCATAACATAAGTAATATTAACATAACATTAACATGTATATTAAACCAACTTTAATAATTTCAAGCAAAACTAAATTCAAGTCAAACAATAAATTCTTATCATTCTATACGTTATTAAGATATAAATTTTTAAAAGTCAAATTTTTGGAATACAATTAAGTACTAACCTAAAACATCAGTAGCTTTTCCTTTAGCAGAGAACCAAGCGTCATCGCCAAATTTTCCTTTAACTGGTGAGTGTTTGCGAGATGATTCTTTGGGAAATCCACAAACTGCATATAGGAATGAAGGTTCGCGTTTTTTGTTTGCGTGTTCAGAATTTGAAGGGGATAAATTTGTGAACCCATTCCATAATGCACGCGAGATGAGTCTACCCGTAGTTACTATTTGCTGCATAATTTTATACTTAAGTCGTCATTATAATCATGGAATTGACGACATAGAGGATATTGCACCACATTATTTAATAAAAATACAAAAAAAAGTAACTAAACATTATTAGTTAACTAACTAAACAATTTCAAAAATTCTAAAGTGCATTGTTTTACTTAATGAACTATTCAAAAAAATTGAAAACTCGCGATCGATTAAAATATATAATATTTTGGTCGCGATCATAGTTTTTGATTTGCAAATTGCATATCGCCATTCGGTCATAATCACGAAATCTTTTTGTCTTATCAACTTTTTTTTATCGTTATCGCGTAGATTAAAGAAATTGATATTTTTTCACAAAATAGCAACACTGTAATTTATTTTAAACCCACAAATGCGACAATTTAAAACACCTCTACGAAGTACAATAGCTTTTATTAAGACGCATTACATAATAAATAAGCAACTTTTTAATAAATATTAACTCTTGATGACAATGTAGTTTATAATATTTATGTTATGTTGTTATCAAATAAACCGACGTTATAAAATGTATGGTGAATTATATGCTTCACACTGTTACCCATAATAATAATAATAATATATGTCATATATATGTTTATAAATATATATGTCTGAAATTTTATAATCTTCTAAAATCAATTTTCAATTAGATAATCCACTCTCTGGGTAGCACCTGTGTATTCTTAATTCGTTCCTTAAAGAGTTCAAAGTTAAAATTTGTAAACTCATATTAAAAGCATATGACATCTGTTTTGATATTTCATTTTTTTAAAACTTTTTAACACACATAGGCTCTTATTTTTGTATTACATTACATTCTATAATGTTGAAATTGTTTTTAGTTATTTATTTAATTCTATTAAAAAAATTACTATTTTTGACTGCTTAAAACAATTATAATGTTAGAAATTAGTTTTTTCACAATCTAAAGTAGGTATATTTATTTTATTAATTACCTATATTAGTTATTTTACAACTAATTATATATTTATGTTATGCCTTTAAAAGTTTATAATTAAAAAAAAAAATATGATTAAAATGAAATATTAATAATTTGGTCTTAACAGTAAAAAATATTAAACAGTTAAAACAGTAAAACTTTTATTTTTATATGTTATCTATTATAATTATATGTAAAAATGATTTTTTTTTTAAATTTTTTGCCTAATTAATATATTTATATACTAAGAATAAATAAAAAATCAAGATTAAAATATTGTCAAAATGAGTAGCATAAATATGTTAATATGTCTCATAGATAAAATAAACATATTTAATAAATAGATAAAAAAAAGTTTTTGAAGAACACAGTTAAGTACAGAGTTCCATATTAAATTATTCTGGAGTTTTTTTATGAACATTCCATCCATGAAAACATTTAGTAAAACGACGCGATTCCTTGTTTTTCAATGCCAACATTAATTTCCGTGGTTTTTCTGGCTGCTTAGCTCTTAAATGTTGTATATACACCTGAAAAATTGTTTACATTTTATTTAAATAAAAATCGACCACGACTTTATTAGTAGAGCAAAAAATAAATTTGTATTTTCGTTAACATATTTTTATTCTTAAAAAAATATTTGGTAGTTTGATAATATTTTTTCCTTTTATGTAAGTATATAACACTTGGATAGGAAAATGTCATGAGTACACTTTTCTTAATTTAAAGTATAAAGTAACAATAGCCAATGTGAATTAATAAAACATAATACAAATAACCAGACAATTGTTCCTCAAAACTCAAAAGAGACTACATAAATTAATGAAAATTTATGTTCAATAATTTTTGGAAGTAGGATGGGAATGAGGAAGAATAGCAATCAGTGGGTATGGTCTTTGCCATATTTTCAAAATGTTGATAGAAAATAATAATAATAATCTCAGTCTGTTCAGCTATACCTCCCTTGATCCCTCTCTTCTTTTAAACTCCATTTTCCCTCCGTTATCGTCCTCCTAATTTTCTTTCTTTCTAAAGCTGGATTTCTTATTTAATTGTTCTTTTCACATATTTTATTAGTTGTTAAATTTGTTTTTATTTTATATTGATTAGTAATTGTTGTGCTGTAATATTGTTAAAACAAAAGTACATTAATTTAAAAAAACTAATAAAAATAATTTGTTTCTAGATCAAACTGTAAATCATGATATCACTATAGTACCACTTTTTAATTCTTGAAGAAAATGTGTAGACATTATTTAAATTTATAAATAAAAAAATTATAATCTTAAGTTTGATGTTTTGTAGTCTTATCTAAACTGAAAGAACTCCTAGATAAAAAATTAAAAAATACTACTGTTTATTGTTCACTTAACTAACCTGCGCAGATTTATAAGCAAGTTTTATTTCAACTTCACTGCTTCTTGCACCAATCCACATGAATACCTGTTCACCATTATCCAAAATCATGATATCATCATCTGCTAAATCATCCTGAAATTATAATAATAATATTAAATAACTTGATTGTTTTTAATTTAGATTTTTAATAAAAGATAAAAAATCAATACACTTAAAGATTTTGTTTATTCTAAAAAAATATATATATATATATATATATATACATACTTGACAAAAGTCTGAACATTTTTCTGATATAGTAAAATACCCTTTTTCATTAGAACATCGAAAGAGTCTAGTGTAATTCATATAGTCAGCGTCACACTCATATGGTTTTTCTCCTCCTAACGCTACCCAAAAAAAGTTATTGGGTTCTTCCCCTTCATTGAGAACTTGAAGACTTGTCCATGCCTAACAGTATAATGCATTAAAAAAAAAACATGATAAAACACCTATTTTAGAAACTTACGTCATTAAACATCTCATCAGCAATTCCTTCAGCAAGTTTAATATCTTCTGGGTCAGCTTTAGAGCCTATCCATAAATAAACAATTCCATTTGTGTCTTCTTGATCAAACTGTACTCTTACGATATAACTGTATCAAAATAAAAATAACAATATCAGAGGTAAAATTTACCAAAAATATTTAAAATTTAAGTAATTAATAATTAAAAAAAAATGCTTACCAAAAGGCTGAATTTAAATTTCTGGCATCAGGTTTAATCTCAATAAGTCGGGAATATAGTGCACTACCATTAGATCTCAAATGATAGAGTTCAACAGGAGATGGCTTTTCTTTTCTTTTGCCAGAATGGATTACAAATCTTCTTTTGAAATGTGATAAAAACTTAATATTTTCTTGTTGCTGATGAGTTCGAACTACTTCCAATTTTTCTCCTAACATGGCTTTAAATTGTTTTTCTAAACTAATAAAAATAAAACAAATATTAATTTACAAATTTGAATTACATAAGAATAATACAATTTACAGCGACCACAATAGACCAACTTTTTATGAATGTGTTATATAGTTAAAAACTAAATGACTAGAGAAGTGAAGTGGATTAAGATTATTTACTCTTTCAACTTATGTTATAATCTATGATTATATACTAATTAAGGTGTAAGCACTGTTATTTTTAAACAAGACCAATTAAAAACAATTGTCATAAGCAAATAGATTTGAAATTTTTTTAATTCTTAGCTTTATCCATTTAGGGTAAACCGTACAATTTGGATACAAACCATCTTACATAAAAATAATGGCGTTTGTATGCTTTTTACTTATCATTTTCTTTATATTTATCTTTTATATGTTATTTTGGAATACTCCCCCATACAAATTATGGCTGCCCACTTTCACTTCCTATTTCCAATATTATTAATTATAAATTATATGAAATGGTACTTTGGGTAAAGGAGTGACTGAGTGGGTAAGTGTTTGGCACTCACTGTTACAGGATCGACAGTCGGTCATTGGCGCTCTGTTTGCCAGACGAAAAATCGTCTGGTAAACTGGAGCTGTCATCTCCTCTTTGGACGGACTGACGACCCACCCCAAACAGCGAATTCGTCTAGAAACCATCATCTCATGATGGCAGCGTTGGGCCTTCAAGGCCTATTAAGCTTGCATGATGAAGAAATGGTACTTACCTAAATGTAAATGTTAACCAACCCATATTTGAAGCTTCACGGCCTTGCCAAAAATAAACAACACATTGGAAATCTTCTTCTGGTTGATTATCCGTAGTATCATCAATACCATCTTCATCATCAACTGGCACCCAATAGCGACACAAGAATACATAACAATCTTTGCTATAAAAATGACCTAACTCATCTTCTGGTAACCGAACAAATTTTTTCCCTTCTAAAACAAATGATTCCATCTGATCAAGATCGTCATTCCAATCTTGCATCAATTGCATCGCTTCAGTGAATAACATCGATGGCTGTCGGGGAGTAAATAGGGCAGCTAAATCATGCTGAAAAAGTTGATAATTAAAATTATAAATCGTTTAAGTAATACATAGTAATAAATATGTCTATATTTTATTTTTTTAGTTTGTGTTACAGGCCTCACTGTGAGTGCAACATTTTTTTAAAATCCAAAAAACTATGGAAATTAGATCATCATATCTGTACACACAGACACACAATTTGCTAACCTTCCTTTCTTAGATAGTAATAGACTTTCTAGCAATACTTTGAAATGTTTTACAATAATACAGTTTTGGTAAAATACATTAGCTGCCATTGATTTCATAAATCCTGCCATATGAAGCAATTCAATAATAATTAACAAATTTAAAATTGTTTAATTACTTTTGTCTCTTGTTTCATTGCCCATTTAGTTAAATCAGCACCGGTTTTTTGTACAGATTCAGCAGTACGAGTAAAATCTACTGCAATTACTTCCTCCCATCCAACAAACCGAATCTTAAATATTTGAGGCTCAGTACCTTCTTGAATTCTAATAGTTAGTGCGAAATCTGGACGCTCAATCATAGAAAATAACTCTTGTGACAACTTAACAGCAGCTGCTCTTACCAATCTGGTTGATTTCTTACCAAACCTACATTATAAATGGTTATTATAATACAAAATAACAATGGATAATATTTTAAATAAACATTTTAAGTTTATACTTACCAAACATATAAATCAATAGAACAGTCTAAAATATAAACATTTTTTGAACTCAAAAGTGAATGTTCTAAGTTGTTGTGAAAAATTTCAACTTGAGGCAACTCCAAGTAGCCCATACCTAATTTTACTTGGTAAAGACGTGGACGGGGTGGTTCAAAATTATCTGATACATGAGCCTACAAAAAAATAAATTATAACCACTATATCTATATAATATTTTTTTTCTTTATACATACATTATAAAATTTGATACCTTGACTGTATAGGGTTTTAAAGTTATTTAACAATATTTATAATATTTAATTATCAACAAAGTGTTGAGGGTAGTTTTTTAAATTTGTAAAAAAATGTAAATTATGAATAACCTTTTAAATTTTACTGAAAATAAGAGATAATTTTCTTTAGCTCAAATCGTTTAGAAGTGTAATTGTGTTAAAATTACCTACTTTAATTTTTTCTATACAAATATAAAATATTAAACTAGTCCTATAAGTTAAATATTTTGTTCTTATGCAAGAAAAAAAAAATTATACTACACCAAACTTACTTGTACATCTGTAGCAGAGTTAAAGTCATCATCCATTTCTAATAAATCCCGAAATGCTTTGCTTTCCTCACCATACTCCTCAAGAATGATTTCAGCAGTGTTTTTTCTTTCATTTTTATTGATTTTTTCTGCTAAAAGCCTGTTAAATATTTATAAGTCTAAATGATTTTACAGATCTTATTTTAAATTAAAATTATGTTATATGCATACATAATTAAACCATAAACTAATAAGTGATTTAGTTTTTGATATTCAACTATATCTAAAATTTTGAGACAATTAATTAAATTGACTTAAATTAATCATGTTTATTTAATACTTAATATTTTAAAAATATTTAGTTTTAGTTAGTTAGTAACTAAACTGTAACTATAAAAAATATTAATAAAAGCATTGTACCAAATGATGATATTGTGCTTAAAAATGTGTTTTTAGGATTAGGTTTGTTCTAGTGCAATAACATTAAAGGTAGTTTATTATTTGAAAGTTCGCCATTTATGTTCCTTTACCAAACAATTAATTGTGTTGAGTAGTATTGCATGTGATTTAAAAACCTGAGCTTGATTAACTGTATTATTCAAATTGATTAAAATAAAGGCATAAAAAGAACTGGGTTTTTATTGTTCTTTACTAAAATAAACCCTAAACCTATAATCATATTTTATACTATACCATTTTTTAAAAATGTCTTTTTCATAATATCTCGAACAATTAAATACTATTAAGAAATAACTCACCTGGCTTTTGATTTAAGTGTATTTTTTGCTTTAGGGCCTTGCCATAAGAAAATAGTAAGTCCGGAATCTAAAACAAATACATAATTGATGTCCAATGATGAATAACACAACTTGACGGGTTCTAAATGGACAGATGTGCCATGTGCATGTACTCTGAACATGCGAGTAGCATAAGTCTAAAACATTTATCATATATTATAATATTTATCGTAATTTATATTGCATAATTAAGTAAGTCATAAGAATTTTTTAAATATACATACAATATCTTCAACTGTATAAAATCCACTCGTTGTTCGTCCACCATCTATATAAACTAATGGTGAATCAAATAATGATATAAATTCATCAGACTCTTCACCCAATTCTTCACGAATAGTTCTGCACTCAGCACCCAAAAAATTTCTTAAATTCACAGCATGTATAGCAGCACATGCTCTTTTATCAAGCTGAAATATAATCAAAATTAGTTTTCTAAAAATGTAGAAATAACCAAGAAAAAAAATTTGGAATATAATGATGAGTAGCAATAATATAAATAAATAAATTATCAAAACTATTTAAAAAAACCTTCACCACAATATTACAAACTTTTACAATACCTATACACATATTTTGATAACAATGTTATTATCTTTAGTACTCAGCGGACACTGAGTAGTTCATACGTTGGCAACATTGTTATCTAAATACATACCAGGTGATTCTATTAATGCCCTACACTAGTTAACTTTTTAAATAATGGCAATTTTGTAGTGTTTCTTTTTTACAAATTATTGTTTATACTATATTACTGTATGAGACAACAATTACATTTTTATCTTTTTTAGTATAATCTAGAGCTTTATCAACTTTTGAAACTTAAATAGTAACGTACATATATTTTAACCTTTTTAAATTAACAATAATTTGCTGAAAATGTTGACTGGTCGATAACCAGTAGTAGTTATTACATTTTAAAATTTAGGACGGGAGGAAGAGTGGAGAGTAGTTATTTTTATCTGTGCGCTATTTCTCAACCGCACACCACCTCCTGTCCTAAATTTTAAACTTAAATAACTTTAAAAATAATTTTTCAAAACTGGTTATCGACCAGTCAACATTTTCAGCAAATTATTCTTAATTTTAAAAGTTAAAAATATATACACGTTACTATTTAAGTTTCAAAAGTTGATTATTGTCTCATACAGTAATATAGTATAAACAATAATAGTTTTATAAAGAAACACTACAAAATTTACATTATTTTAAGAGTTAACTAGTGTAGGGCGTTAAAAGAATCAGCCGGTATACACATTATAGTAAATGTGGTATTTTAAATTAAAGTGTAATTTTATAGATAATTTGAAATTTATAAATTTATTATAGCTATTAATTAATTAAAGCAGAACAATACTAAACTGAAGCATTGTCACCAATCCAAAAATATATTTTCCAATATAAGTTATCTGAATTTTCGTTAATAATAGTATGTAGAACAATATAACAATCTCCTCGATATAATTTTCCATGGGCCACTTCATCAACCATGTTAGGCAAAAAGTTTTCTATCTCCCAAACACTAAGACCAGGCAATCTTCCAGTGCCTTCTTCAAATAGTTCTCCATAGTCAACTGCTGGTTTTTCCAATGATTCATCCCATCTTTTAGGCCTGAAATATTTTTAGAAATGGTTATACATATAACTTACTAGTAAGTTCAATTTTAACAATGGGGTTCAAAAACATTTGTGAAACTCTGTTCATAAAATAACTAAATTCTGCAACTGATAGTAAATTAAAATAGGACGGGATAATTTTATATTATTTACATCAAGTTATGAAACTCTGAACTTTAGTTTTACCATTGTTCTTTAGTGAACTACTTAGTAGTAAAAATACAAAATAAACACAAGACTGTAAAACACATCAAATTTTAATGTTTGGTGTGAACAATATTTTATTAAACCAGATTTCATGTATTTACAATAAAATGTGATTTTAAGAACAAATTAAAATTGAGCAGGACATTTGTGGAGGAAAGAAGATTCATTGATTAAGTTAATACAATATAGTGATCCTATATGGAACCACCATTAGGGCGCCCGTGTCCAAGATGGGAAGATCAGGTTAGAAATTAAGTAAGAATAAGAGGTCCAAATACAGATTGGAGGGAAATTGCTCTAGAGAAAAGTGGAACAAGCTTTGTTTGTCAGTGTGATCATCAAGGCCAAACTACATAGACTAAAAGAAGATAAGGAACATTTTAAGTAGTCTACACTCTACCTATATAGCAAGGTGAAAATAAAGAAGTAGTGATAATAAGAATGATAAAACAAAATGTCAAGATAATAGGAAAGTACCCAATATTTATATAAACAAAAAATATTGTAGTTGTAATTACTTACTTTAGAGATTCAACTTTTATTGAATCATTAAAACTTTCATTATTTTTGTCATTTGCTATGTCTTGCATACCCTAAAAAATAACTTGGTTAACAATGTTTTTTTAAATTACATTTTATTAATAATATTTTAAAGATATTAATGACTTAATTTCTATTTAAGATATAATTAAGCATTATATTGTACATGATTCGTAATGCCAAGTAACTTTTATTAATGAACATTTAAATATTAAATTTCTATAAGTTACTAAGTGTTATTAAGTGTTACTAATTGTTTATGCTACCAAATAGAATAAACTGAAATGTATGTAAACTTTTTTCCGGTTAGATATTCTATCAATAAAGTTACAGTAAACAGAAAAAATAAATTACAACTTCAAAAGAACAAACTATGTCCAACATTTTTTTTAACATTTGATTGCTTAGTTTCTTGGGGGGACTTGTGTAGTGCTGTGGTTATGCAGCTGTCTAAAACGCATATGATGAACACAAAAAAAAAAATTCTCACGGTATTTAGAGACTACAAGTGCCGTCGTCCGATTAAACTACACCGTTTTCTCTACTAGACACCATCTCTACTGGGAATGATGTCCACATAAATGTCTCCTAACTTACAGAGATAGTTAGTACACTGCTACCAACACAAAGTGAAAAAGTGTTACTTAAAATTATAGGGTCGTCGCAACAAATCAACCTTCAAAATCAAGGACAACAGTAAAAAAAAAAGTATTGTCAATAATTAACCTTCAGAATTTTGGCTTGTTTCTCTTCTTCGTGGTCTCTTTTACTTCTACGTAGCCGCAATTTTCTTGCAATTGGATCACGATTCACTGCTAAAAAATTGAATAATACATAATATTACATAACACGTGTAAATTACTAAAATTATTATTACAAAGCTTAAAATTGAGTGAAATATCAAATTTTTTTCCAAATGAAAAATAATTATTGTAATATTTAAAAATTATAATATTTTCTTTAAATACCAGTTTTAAGCTTTGTATCTATATACAATAAACTATAAACGTGATTATACTTTGTGTAGGCTGCACTGAATTAGGAACAACAGCTCCTGCAAGCCTTAACTGATTTTGAAGAGAAAAATCAATATTGTAAAATTGTAATCCTTCAGTAGCCAAACTAGTAGGTTTTGGTGGCATTATCAAATCTGGGTTATTATTTAAATCTAATACTTCAATATCTTTTAATAAGTGAATTGTATCAGGTAAAGTAATTAATTTATTTGAACCCAGCAAAAGTTTTTTTAAATTACCACACCTAAAAGCAATAAATATTTAATAAACAATTTGTTAAAAAGTGTACACAATGATTTTTACGACATTTACCGACAAAGGCCTTCGGGTATCATTTCCAAAATGTTTCCACATGCAGAAAAAACTTCTAAAGCAGAAAGTTTGCCAATGCCGGATGGAATCCCATCAAAATTTAATTTATTGTAATTAATATATAATCTTTTAAGATTTGATAATTTACATAATGATGATGGAAGTGATGTTAATTCATTATCAGAAAGTTGTAATACTTCAAGTTCTTGCCACACTTCTATAAAAATTCAAAATTATTGGTTTAAGATATAACACAATTGATTTTTTCCTATGTACCTAATGCCAGTGACAGTTCTGTAATAACATTTGAAGATAAATTTAATCTTTTTAAATTTATTAATGTATAAAGAGCATCTGGAACTTTAGGTAATTGATTGCAACTTAAATCTAAATCTGTAAGAGCAGTCAATGATTCAAGACTTGGTGGCATATTAGTCAAATTTCGATGTGTGTTCCTCATATGAAGCATAGTCAAGTTCTTCATTGATGGCAATTGCCTACAAATAAATACATATATAAATTAAAATGATCCCCCAACTCAAGCATTACTTACAGGGGATGATTTTCAAAATTGTATAATATTACTTTTGTATTATTGTCTTTATTCAAAATACATACACTTAATCTTACAATTTAAGTGCAATATTACAGCTTTTAAATTTTTGAGATAGAGACTTTAAAATAAATCTTTATTACTAAAAATTGTATTATAACAATTGAATGAGTTGAAGATTTGAAGAATTTAACAAGTGTTTTGAAAACTTTTGAAATTTTTTTAAGCTTCAAAAAACTTAACACCTAATATAATAATATTATAGGAAATAAAATTGTTTACATTACCTTAATTGAAAGTGATCTAGTGGATTATTATTTAATATCAATGTTTGTAAATTTGTCAATCTTCGCATTTGCGGAGGCAAAGTCTGCAAATCATTATTACTTAAATCTAATGACAATAAGTCAGTTAGATGAACAAATAACTGATTTGGAATAGAACTGATCCTAAAAATATTTAAAAAAAATTATTAATATTGATAGCATACATAATTGACATACTAGAGAAATCATTACAAATACACATATATTATAATTATTTTTTTAAAAAATGTATATTTATTAAATATATTAGGGTGGTCTTTATAATAGTAATTTGTGAAATTCAACGTTGAATACCTATCAATTAACTCCAAATGATAAAAAAAAAATTCTCTAACTTTTTTTAGATTTTCATTTCATCTCCTAAAGGCTTCAAAAATAATAGTTGTACCTCTCGCTTCGTGTATACAATTATTATTTTTTAAATTGTTATTCATGGCTTGTGTAAATAAGTTACAACCAATTTGTAGTCCTTGGACGTATATCATTGAACATTGTGGGATATTTTAATTGTGAAAGCTCAGCTATAGAGAAACAGTAGGACCATAAACTATAAAATATAAATAATTTTATGGAAGGTAAATGTGTTTATAATTGTGTAATTTAATTAAAACTAATTAAATTTAATTATTACTAAAAATGTTTTAAAAATCAATCCAACAACCTTATTTATATATAACCTTTAGATTTTGTGAGGATACTAGAATTATATCATAATTATAACTAAAAATAATTAAATATTTTCTTAATGAAAAGAGTTATTTTTAAATATTAAATGAATGAATTTCAATATTACCTGTTATGAGATAAGTTGAGCACTAATAAACAAGAAGATGACTCTAGTCCCTCGGGGATCCTTGTTAAACGATTATGACTTAAATCTAAAGTAGTCAATTCAGTTGAGCTGTCATTGTTACAAAAAAGTTCTGGGGGTATTCCAGAACTTTTAATACAATTGTGACGAGCAATTAATGTTCGCAAAGAACATAAATCTGTGAGTTCTCCATGTAGTTTTTCTATATTATTGTGGGCAATTGATAAATGTTCCTAAAATATAATACATTTTGATCAATAATGAACTAAAATTAATACTAAGTCATGACTTTTAATTACCAATTTTCCAAGTTTTCCAATTTCCAAAGGAATTTCATGTAATTTAACTCTATTTAAGTTAAGCCATTGAACACTAGACATTGACTTTACAGCACAAGGGAACTTGCATTTCTATAACCAAACAAAAATTATAAGCTTCATATCTATAACTAAATATTTATAACTCAATATTTGTTTTAATTGTAATACAAAAAAAATTAATCAAACAATTCTCATTGGCGATTAATTTCAAATACATTTTACACATGTGAACTATTTGATTGACAAAAGTAAATGGAAAATAATAATTTACAATAATAGTGTATTACAAAGTAAATTTACCTCAAAATCGTTATTACTGAAATCTATTCCACGAACAAAAGGTAGAACACCAGTATTGGCCATTATTATATATTTGTGAGTTAAATTCAGGGATGTATCATTTTACGATGGTTAATGTAATACACAAATAAGCCAGTATAATTACAAAATTATATCTAAAAACATTATTATACATTTATAAACTAAGTATATCAAGTTAAATATTATTTTAACTACCTCTTACATTAATATTAACTTATTTCGCACAGTAAATATAAACAATCAAAACAAATTTAAGTTTAATTGCAGCTTAAAAAACAGAATACATACACCATACACGAGTCATAATTAGTAAGACGAAAACTATCCGATGACATACTAGGTACACTTATTTTCTAAAGCGATTACTGTTGCAAAGTAAATACTATAAACTATTTAAATACACCTATCTGATAGTAATTAGTGTGATATCATTATTCATTATATTATGGCTTATCATTAAGTCAAGCTGTAATCACAGAATAAACAGAAGGGAAACTTATGGTTTATCAAAATGATCAGACATATTGAGAAATAGTCAGTGACGCCAGAACGCAAATATTTCCTTTTTTTCATTTGTCTATGATTCATGGCTACACTGTTAATTTATTAAATGTCCTACACCAACCACAGATAATATATATATATATATATAATATATTATATGTATATAATATATTTATTATTTATATATATAGGTTGCATTCGTCTTTAATATTAACGAATGCGGAATGTTCAAGAAACTGACTACTGTCTACTATACTCAAAGTTTAACTCTAACAGAGTTGTAAAAGATCGGTTATATTTTTTAAATATTATATTATAAATATAAATATATTATAAAGTTTTCTAAGATGGGTATAGTTTGAAAGTATTCTCGTCAGGGGATATATTTTTAATATTTTTTTGAAAGCGACATAAGTGCTGCCTGGTGCGACCAGGCAACGTTTGGCTAGACGATATTGACTTTAACCATCTGAAAGCCTTTATAATTTGTTATTTTATACTCCGACGATTCAAACTGTATCTTCGATTACCGGTCGGTAACCATTGCGGTCCATACGTAAAATCGTTGTAATTTGTTTTAAATAATAAATTGCTAGTTGCACACAAATGTAAATTGTATTACACACTATACTCTATACTATAGAATCTATAGTTTATAGTGCATTTTGGTGCTATGTAACATTGTAACTTGTAATGTATTAGCTAAAATGCTCACACCACGTGTATATAGTACATAGTACTACAGTGTTCCATGACTAAAGACTAAAAAGTAAAGAAACATACATGAATTTTAGATCACGAGCTATTTCTATATATTATTGTATCTGCGCCACCAAGTAGAATCTATATTGTGCTATGCATACTTTCCTTAGTTACAGAAGATGTTATAGTGAGAAATTAGCATATTAATCTCCTTTTTCCAAATATGGGAGAAAATACTCCGCAGATTTATCTAGCGTTTATGCCTGTTAGTCATAACTTGTATTACTGTATTCATGGCTAAATAAACCTTATAGTTGTCTATGAAATAACTTAGTCATGACTGTATCAAGTGCTTCACAGGACACGGGTAGATTTATTATGAATATTATAACATTAGAACATCATAAATGCTCTAGCGTAAGGAAAATAAATATTCGAATTGTTTGTGTTCATATTTTATTATATTTTAAAATTTAAGTTCAGTCAAGTTATTCTCTTTTCTACAAGTTCATTAAAATTGACTTTACTATAACTATGTATTAGGTTTTTAATGCACCAAACTTATAAGAGTTTCGCTCGTGCATATTATGTTCCAAAGTTAACTCTTAAATAAAAATTCCAATAAAAAATATTTAATTTATTTAATGATTAATAATGCAAATTCAAACCACTAACATTAAAATAGAAAATTTGGTATTTTAAAAAACAAAGGAATAAGACAAATTTAAATATTTTTAAAAATGAAAGATTGTGTTTACAAATATTTCATAAAACACTTTTACCTGCAATTTTTTAGTAAAAAACGCACAAATTATTTTAAATTTAGGTCTTTGGAAACAACGGTATTATTTTCCAGTTACGAGTAATTTAAACACTGAAAATATTGTTCATTTTTTTTCATACAAAATTGATTTAAAAAAAAATTACTTAGGTTAATCATAAGAACCATATATATATTATATGTGTACACATTTTTTTTGGGGGGAGGGGATCTTGTATGTAAAATTTATCATAATGGTTAATATGTATTTCTAATTTCATGTATTTTTATTTGTCTTCACCGTAGTATCATGGGCAAAACTCAAACTAAAAACCAAAATTAATTTATACAATCTTTTACTTAAATCTATATGAAATTACGGAATCCAACTCTGGCCTCTGGGGTTCTACCAAAAAGACTAATATTCAAAAAATACAAGTGGTTTAATCGAAAATTCTCCGCCTTAAAACAAATACCCCTACATACGTTTCTAACGACATTCTTCACACAATAAAATAATAATAAAAACCCTTAACCATAAAAATTATATACTCTCCGCGAATACGTCGTATTTCGGCAACAATGTTGTCATCTTACAATTAAATAAATACGACGTTTTCGCGGAGAGTATATAATTTTTATGGTTAAGGGTTTTTATTATTATTTTATTACATATAACCATAAGTTTTTTCTAGATTCTTCACACAAACCTGCTACACATACGGCATAGCTTATGTTAAAGAAGTAGCAAAACAACAAAACAAAAAAATCACACACACATCTTAAACACCCTCTAATTTTGAAACTATCTACAAACTCACTTCCGGGCAACCCCACAAGGAGAATTAAACGGAAGTTGCCTAGAGACTTTTTAGCTGAGGAGTAAGCTGGTTAGCATAGCACACATATACATAAAAATTATAATTAATAATTAATATTGTTATAGTTTATTTTTCATAAACAAACGACTCCCGCCGAAGTGCTGTCGCTGGACATAAGACTGTTCCTTCAATAAAACCTTAATCATAATTCATAGCCCATAGGTTATATGAAAACAGATTGTTCACTAATCACTCGAGATGTATTCAAATAATGAGCTTCTAATGACTCCACCGAAACCAGTGTGACTATGTTAGACAAAATTATAGAATATTTTATTTACCATATTAAATTTAAATTGTTTAATAAATAATAGTTTTTTTTTTTTAAATTTTACAGTTCGCCTATATTTTACATAGCCTTATGCCCTTATATACTCTACAGAATGATTTTTGATTTACTCTGTACATTATGATATAGTATATTATGGCAGATGGATAGCTAATGCGTAAAGTGTAAACTACAGCCGCGTGGTTTCAAAGTATTTTCATCATTAAGACACACACCTACTAAGTTGACATTATAATTAAATTATAATTTTTAATCATTAGTTTTAATAGTTGATAATATAGAAATAGAAATAATAGAGTAATCAGATAAAAAGAACAATTTGTATAGGTGGAGATGGCCTATGGGATATGGCATAGGCTAAATGGGTAGAAACTAGAAACCTATACACATTCGCCAATTATAATAAGGAGGAGCTACGTTTTAAAATGTACACTTTTTTATTTTTAAATGTGGTCACCTATAGTCTATAGGTGGCATAACCGATGTATGTAATGGCATAACCGATTTTGACACAGACTAAGTCGCGGGTAACAGTTAAGTAACAGTATATAATAAAATATTATACATATATTATACGACGCACAAATAAAATTATCATTTTTTTTTTTAAATATGACTTTTTACATCTGGGTTTAATGTTTATAGTGGACTTATAAATTATATAAGGCTGTGTAAAATATAGGCGAACTGTAAAATTAAAAAAAAACTATTAGCTATATTTTATTAAAAATTGTAAATTTAATATAGTAAATAAAATATTCTATAATTTTGTCTCGACTAACATGGTCACATTGGTTTCGGCGGAGTCATTGACTTCTCGAGTGAAAAATCTGTTTTTATAAAATATATGGTTTGAGTGGGGTCACCAAGGTTGTCACCTTATCTTCTCTACAGCCGTGGGTTGGATCATCCACCTTGGTATGGATATTATATACCTTCGGGTCGTATAATGTAAAAATTCAAGGTTATTAACTGATAAGCTCTCATTTAATTTTCTTGGCCAAAAACTTCCATTTCCATTGTAAAATGTTGACAATTGTTAAGAGTTAACTGTGCCCTGTGGGGTATTTTGATTTGTATATCTAATAACCATAATATACTGTATTATTTCTATTTCATTAATGTTGTATGGTAATTGGTGCCCCGTGTGCAATGCCCATAACAATTCATAATAATTATTATTTATAAAATCATAAAATTTAATTTTTTTATTATAACTATGTATACTCTTTAATTTTTTACTATCTATCTCAAATAGCCTGTGAATTTGTTCAATGTCTAGTTATTGTTTATACTTGGTACGCTATAAATATTAGGTACTACGCATGGGAAATAGGAATACAATGAGAATTAGCAACTTCCTGCCACTGACCTACTGTATTTAATTTACGGGGTTCACTGTGATAATCCATTATACTAAACCCAAGAACCAAAACGACATGAAATATATCTTATATTTTCTACGTTTAAGTTAATAACTACTAGTTAACGTTACCGTGTCTATATTTAACACTTTTAATTGTAACCTTAACAATTTATCGCGTTTGTTATACAATTCATTTTGCTGCATATTAGGTAGAAGTCAATTCAACTAATTAATAAATCAACATATGTAAGTTTTTATATCGTTAACATTTAAAATAAATAAACATAAATTCTTTAAACAAACTATATGCCATACAAATATATTACAAATAATTTGTTTTTGTTATTTAAAAGTATTCAAAACTTTTTTTTATCATTATAAATAATACCTAATGGTTAACACTTATCTAAAAATACAAAAAGTTTTATGTAAAACTAAAATTTTTAAAACTTGTTTTTTTTTTAATTTAACATAGATATTAATTGTTAATTTTGTAGTACGGCAAAGACAAATTTTGAGATTCATCGATTGTATGAACTATATTAAGTATTTAATTTATAAACCGGACATTTTTAACATGATATTATTATACTTATAAAACTACTAATTCTATAATAATTCTGAATTTAGGAAAAAAATAGAATAAGAATTTTAGTTTACTTTATTTTAAATAAATTTTAGAAAGTTATTGAATAGTACAAAACCCTTTGAAAAGACCAAAAACAGTGTGTTTAATAACTAGGTGATTAAAATTATTATCAATATTTACTATAGAAAATAAATTTGTATTGATTAAATTTTTGGTTTATAGATTATTATAATAAAAAAAATTGTAAATTCTTTTATAAGCTAATGTAAATTTAAATATATTCTAATTGCTAAACCTATACTTGTTAAAAATTTTGTTAACTAGGTCTCATTGTAGAGCAGTTTACTGAAATAACTTGGGTTACATAGATTATTATTAATTTGAAACGTAATGATATCGGGAAAAATTACTAGGTTTAGTAGGTACTAGTATAACCAGTACTGCTGTATCTAATAATACTTTTTCAAATTAAATTTTTTATCTTAAAATAAATCTTAACCTAACAAAAAAAGAAATGATATACACAAATTAATTAAGAATGTATTTTTTTTTATTACTTGATTATTAATAAATAGTAAATAACACATATATGAGATTCTCCTCCCAGTCGTTTGCAAATATGGGGGAAGGGTTTGTCGTATTAGCTCCACTAGTCTTAATAATACTACTTTTTAGTAATTGATGTAACACAGGTAAACTGATTAACAATAAAGTATTATTATAAAATAATTATAGTATATACTTTTGTTTGATAATAATCATTGTTATTCACAACATATTTATATGAAGACATTTATTAGGTTAATTTACCAATACTAAATAACAGTTAGTGCAGAGTTTAATTTATTTTCAACCTACAATATAATTTATACTTAATCAATTTTCTTTGGCTTAACATATTTTATTAATATTGTTCTTTAACTTTTGTATGTACGTTAAAGGTTTTTAATCTTATTACAAGATGGATTTTGTTAAAAATGGACTTTTATTTTCAAAAAATACTATCAATACTATGTTTGGGAATACTGAACCTTGGCAAATAGCCTCAATAACAGCTTCTAGTATTCTAACATCTATTTGGCTTTGGAATTTTTTAGTTCAAGATGAAAGCAAGTAAATCTTCAATTAATTTTTTTTTTTTAAATTGTATACTTTTTAACAAGTTTAATATTTATTTAGGTTTTTATGTGAGGACAAAGAAATTTGCTTTCACTCAAATAAAAAAAATTCCTAAAATTGCCCAAAAAATAGAAGAAGAAACAAAACAAATATCAGACACATTTGAAAATGATGTAATAGAAAACACAAAGAGTGAAAAATATATTGTAAAATTACCTGTGAAAGGAATACCTAGTGATGAAATTATAAATACTGTCAATAGATACTTAGATTTGGGTATATAATGTTAATATTGGGTATATCTTTATTGTTTTCAATATTTCTTAACGTGTAATACAATTTTAGGTAAATATAAATGGAAAGAAGGTTATATTTCGGGTGCTGTATATTATTATGATGAAAAATTAATTGAATTGCTCACAACGGTTTATGGTCTTGCTTCTTACACTAATCCATTACATTCAGATATATTTCCTGGAATTTGTAAAATGGAAGCTGAAGTTGTGCGTGTAGTAGGTGATCTTTTTCATGGAGGGTCAAACGTTTGCGGAACGGTATTTAAACTTTATAATAAAGAATAATAGCATGTGTATTAATTTGTTTTTGTTGTTATAAAGATGACTAGCGGCGGCACAGAATCTATCATTATGGCGTGTAAGGCATATAGAGATTATGGAAAAAATGAACGAGGAATTAAAAATGGTGTAATATTAGCTCCAAAATCTGTCCATCCCGCTTTTGACAAAGCTGCTTCATATTTTGCGATTAGAATTAACCATATTGATTTAGATCCAGAGAATCTAACTGTTAATTTGAAAAAAATGGAAAATGCAATTACAAAGAATACAATATTGGTAATATATAATAATATAGGATTATAGGTATAATATGACTGTAATACATTCTAATTAATATTAAGATAAAAATATTTTTATAATTATAGTTAGTTGGGTCATTTCCTAATTTTCCATATGGAACATCTGATGATATTGAAGGAATATCAAATCTAGGTCTGAAATATAATATTCCAGTTCATGTTGATTGTTGTTTAGGTGGTTTCATCGCTGCATTTATGCCACTAGCTGGTTATTCTCTGCCTCCATTCGATTTTATACTACCCGGTGTGACAAGCATATCAGCTGATTCACATAAAGTAATTTTTTACAATTTTTCATTCTTCTTCTTTAAATATACATGCATTACATATTTATACTTCTAATAATGTTGTTTAAATCATTTATTTTTTAATCTAACATACCTAATACCGAGTGATATAAGTGGATGACTTTAGGTTGATTACCCTGTAAATTATATTTCAATTTGTTTTTCAGTATGGATTTGCACCAAAAGGTTCGTCTATAATATTATACTCTGATAAAAAATTCAGGCATCATCAATATTATGTATGTACTGAGTGGCCTGGTGGACACTATGGTTCACCAACAATAGGAGGTTCACGATCAGGCGGTACTTATATTTAATATGATATAATATATTAACACAATATAATATGTTGATTTTCAATTATAAATTTGTCTGTAACAATTGTTTTAATTAGGAATTATTGCTGCATGCTGGGCTACACTTATGCATTTTGGTTTGGATGGATATGTTGCTTCAACTAAAGCAATTATTAAAACTAAAACATATATTGAAGAAGAGTAAATAATCATAAAATAAAAATTATATATAGACATTGTTGTGTATTTTACGGAGCGCATTGTGGTCAATGCACTAGCTTTTTTAGAAGGATACATTTATTTGAACAACATAGAATTTCTTCTGAAAAGGGTGCTACAGATGTAAAAAGAATGATTTTACTGAACTGGTTTTTTTACTTAAAACATCTTGATTGTACAAAAAACTATACAAGAATTTTTATAATTACAAAAAAGTGAATTTTACATTTTTCGATGCCTTCTTATAGGTTATTAGACCTATAAGAAAAAGCTTGTGCTGTTGTCCACTACAGCGCTGAGTATCCTAATGCACGGTATCTTATTATAAATATAAAATGGCACAATAGTTTTTATATCTCATGAGTTTACTATTATTAGAATTTTCACTATATGCATACAACTTTGCAACATTTTTATTAGTTATTCCAAGTTACGCTAGTCTATAAATTATATAATTGACGAGTATAAATCTAGTTAATCGGACACCACTTTTCATATAAACATTTTTTTTTTTTACACTATAAGAATATGAAGGAACATCTATTATTACCACGTAAATAAAGTATTTTGAAAAAAGCATAGGTGGTCAACGTTGAAATGAGTTAAAATTTTTGTTTGGTACTTTTAAGACATATATATAACATGAATATTAAATAAGGTAGACAAGTTTTACTATTATTACTGTATAAAAAAAAAAAAACAATTTTTAGAATAAAGGCGTGTGATAAACTATTCTGAACGTTGTGATGTGAAACGGCCCTTATAATTTAATAAGTATTACATGATCACATTTTTATACTTGTAGATTACGAAAAATGAATGATATTTTTATATTTGGTACTCCAACTACAAGTGTCGTAGCTATAGGTTCAAATTCGTTTAATATTTATCGGTTATCTGATGCATTGAATTCAAGAGGTTGGAATTTGAATATGTTACAGTTTCCAATGGGGTAAATTTGTTATTATGATTTATATTATGTATAAAAAAGAATTTATAGGTGCAAGCTATTTAAAAATGTATGTAAACTTTTATAGAATTCATATTTGTGTAACACATTTGCACACCAAACCTGGAGTGGCATCCTTGTTTATAGAAGACATAAAGAAAGAATTGGATGAAATAATGAAAAATCCAAAAGTTGAATTGACAGGAAAGGTAATATAGTCCTACTAAAAAATCATATATAAGTCTATGGAAAGTCATACTTCTGACACATTTTTGTTTTATAGATAGCTATGTATGGTATGTCAGCTACATTACCTGACAGGACTATAGTTGGTGACATAACAAGATACTTTATCGATGCCATGTATTATACACCATCATAATTTAAGATACAACTTAAGAAATATTTTATCAGAATATTGGAATATAGTGTACACTAATTAATCTATTACACTTATTAAATATTATTTTATGAACACAAATTAAATTAACATAGAATAATCTAAATGTAATTGAAATGTATGTATATTTATATATGTATATGTAAAAAATATAATGGGTAAAGAAAAGCACATAACTTCTCTTATAATTTAATGAAAACAATTAAAACACTTCTCAAGGCTTGCCTAAAAAATTGCTGAAGGCCATTGAACTATAAATATGTTTAAGTGTAGCCAAGGAAAAATAGAATGTAAAACGAAACATTGTTTTAATTATTCTTATTATTATTATACAGCTTTTTTGACCCGGTGTAGCTATAAAAGGACTATTTCTTTCTTTAGACAGTTGCCTGCCCATATAGATATGACAGAGACCGAGTTAAATTAGTGTACTGTCTGATGAAAATTGTGGCACTCGTAGAGCACACCCGAGGGAAAAAGCATAGAATTTCTACAATCGAAATTGTATGCTGCTCTTTGTGTTCACCAGAATGTTTTTGTCACACAAGACTAAATAAAATAGAATAAAACATTGTTTAGATCTCATAGCTGAATTAAATTAATTTAAAAAAAGCAGTGCAAATTTTTATTAGATGTTTGTCAACTAATATAACAGATCTGACAATTTTTTTTTTTTATTAGTAGAACACTAACTTAATAATATTAGGGTTGGCGTTATTTTATGTAATATGCCTACAGGTGTTATTATTTAAATAATAAACAGTATATCGTGAAAAACCGTCCAAATAGTTGAGGTAAACCATTTTCAACCTTCTAATATTTGTTTATAATACCACCACCATAATCATTGATTTTATAATATTCTAATATTTTAGAATATTAGAAAATATTCTTTAAAGTCAATGATAAAATTTAAGTTTAAATTGTACCTAAATTAGTTTTTAAAATAGTATTTATCTAAAAATTAAGATTTTATTGGGCAGTTCAAATTTTACTTTTGGTAAATTATTAAAAAATGGGCTTTGGTTGGAATTTTGAATATGAATATACATGAAGGGCTGCGGGAAAAAAGATCAATGTCAATTGATTTTTTCATTTTGAAAATATCATGTTTTTAATTTCAAAACGTAATACATTTTGCCTGTATGCCTAAACTTCCAGCGATCATTACTCTCGACTAATTTGTTTTTTTCCCTGGTTCAAGCGCCTAAAAGATACAATACGTCAATACAAATAAATTGATACCAAAATCTCACTTTCAAAAAAAATTAACATTGATCTTCATTCCCCGCAGCCCTTAACATGGCTATACACAAATTAGGGTACTAATTATATTTCAAAGTTTACTAGGTCAAAATAAATAAAAAAATCATCTTTATTTTAAAAGTTAATTATAAATTATATCACTTAAAATATGTTTTCTCTAACATTTAGTCTAATAGTTCATTTAATGGATTTTAAAATTCGTAAAAATCTATAAACTATAACACACAGGTAATAATAATTTGGAACTGTATGAACTATATAATTAAAAATTAAGTCTTTTCACTTATCTTTTTAAACAAATTCTTTTAAGGTTGTTAATTATTTATAAGTCCATGTTATGGCTAAAATTTGTAAAGTCCGTTTTCAATTTAATAGATGGTTGAGCTAGTTTTGTAGAGTTTTGTGATACTTGATTATTAGAGTTGTATTGATGTTGCATGACAATATTAGTTTTTATTGAGTGCTCCAATCTTGTTTTTAACTTATTATTTTGTGCCATAATAGATTTAAATTCCTAAAAAATATAAATTCATAATACATTTTTCTATAAAAAAAAACAATCAGTTATATTGCATTTTCATGAGTAAAATGTACTTAAATTTTTTTGTAAAATATTGCCAATTAAATGTAAGGTAATTTAAAAACAGATCCGAACTGAGCCTAGATTGAACTGATTTTGGTCAGTAAAATACCTATCTCAAGTTGAGCAAGGTTACTAACCCTATTCAAAAATAAAGTATTACACTATGGTCTTTTTTTGTGTAGTTAATAACACCTACCTGTGGAAACAGAGGTCCAATTTTTAACAAGCATTGCAAGCTAAATTCATGTAATTTGTACTGGTGTTTTGTTGATAGATCATATTTGATGTGTTCTGAATCGATAAGAAAGTTAATTACCGCTGGTACAAGTAATGCTAACATTTGTATTCCTGAAATTAATAGAATTATTGATAAATATAAAAAGTGTCACACAATATCCTTAAATTGCAGAGTATGCAGCAGCCAATTAAAATGAGTCTTTTTAACAATATTTAGGACTTTTTAAATTTTACAAACTATATTAACTAAACAAATATTATACTTGCGCGTGTAAAATTAATTTATAAATATATTAATCATCTTAATGTAATAAACAACACACACTATTTTAATTGAATACATGGACATCTTAAAAAATTCATAATTTCAGCTATAAAATATATATTGAGTACATACTATGTTTTGGTGGAGCTAACTGGATCAAACTTTCAACAGCACTAATTGATTCACAAAGCAAGAGTAAGTGACACTCAAGCAAAGGAATTGGGACATTATCACATAATTGTTCTACAATGCGCGGAGCCAATGCTTGAATATATCCAGTTGCAATATATTTATCATTATGTTGAAATACAGCTTTTAAAAACTGAGTACACTTTATTTTCACCTATTAAAAATAACATTAAATTTAAAAATCGGCAGCATTATGGAATTAATTTACAAAAATATAATATTACTTGAATATTATTGCATCCAACACATTGCAAACAGTAATTGATGCAAGGATATAAAATATTTTGCGCACACATTACATTAGGTGGGGAATGTAATGTAAATATAGAAATTACCGTTATCATTGTAATCTCATCTATTTTTTTCCCTTCATTTCCTATATGAAATGTTATAAAAGTAAAACCATTTAAGTTTTTATTACATCAATTATTTCTTATACATAATTTTACACATTTTAATATATATATATATATATATATATATATATATATATATATTTAAATTAAAATGAATTACAGGAAGGGTAAATCGCTCAGTAGGCATGATTATTAATTTTAAGCATATTAACTGCAAATATATAACTATATACCTACTAAGGGATTTACCCTTCCTGTAATTCATGTTAGTTTGTAAAAAAAAATGCTCCCCCACGCACCCACACATGTATACATGTATCAAGCCACTTCAGATTATTGAAACCCCGTAAAAAGCTACAAATAAAATTTCAAGTTATGTATGTAAGTTAATTATTTTTAAACTATTGTAAATTTATTACCAGTTTTAGAAAAATCAATAAGTTTTGTAACTGTGCTTTGTAAAAGTGCCCTCCATTGATTTTCAGTTATTTCATTATAACCATATGGATGTTTACAGAGTTCAAGGAATAAGTCCAAAGTAGCTACTACAGAGACCTCAAGTTTGGAAGATTCACTTGAAGATTCTCCCAACTCTTTTAAAATATTGGTTGAGAGGTATGCAATGATAGGAAGGATCTGAACGCCTCCTAAACAAGAATAAATGTTAAAATACACATTAAACTAAAATAAGTTAAATTAAGTCTAATTGTTGAGCCAAATATTTTTTATTAATAAAGGCTATTGAAAAAAAAAAAAAGTTAAATGTCATTGAAAAAATACCTTTTGGTGAACAAAGAGATGGTAATTGAGCCATTATGTTCAATGTTGTAGCTATTATATTGTGGTTTATGCAATTTGGAAGCAATTTTTTTGTAGATGTTACAATAGGTGTAGGATTCATTTCTGGTATCTGTCGCACAATTAAGCACATACAAACTTCTAAAGTAGCAAAAACTATACTTTTTTCATGCTCTATGACTCCATCAATACCACCATCACCAAAACAGTAATTTTCTTTAGGGTTTATCAACTCAGTACATTTAACTAAAAAAAAAAAAAAATGTATTTAAAAAATAATTTATTAGAAAGGAGTTTTGTTCCATCATAGGCGTACGCAAGCACAATTGACGTGGAACAAGCATGCAAACAATAGTAAATGTGGGAGGCGTTTCACCAGCTGTTATGGGTATGAGCTTATACAACACTTGTTATTTAAACATTGCAACAAGAAACTGAGTCTAAATTTGAGCGAGTGATAGGTATAAAAGAATATGGGTAAAAAGGAAAAATTTCTGTTAAAAATATAATTGTTGATAAAAGCGTTGTAATGGCATAATGTGCCTAAAAATGTATTTTTAGTATTAGGGTGGATACGTTTAGATTTGATCGTCTGTCTATAATAAGTTGTTGCCGTTGTTACCCATTTATCGTACTTAATAATATAGTTAAACATTTTTTAATTATCTAAGTAATTTTTAAATGAGAAATAATCTTAGACATGTTGTAGTAGTTATACTGGAAGAGAGGGTAGTGAATATAATAAGTGTGTATGTGCTGCAGTAGGGTACAAGGAAAAAAGAAAAGAACAGCAAATTTGTTATTTTATGACCACAAAAGAAATATTAAAGGTTTTTAGATTGAAAGCAATTCCAGGTAGTATATCTTACCATAGGCTGATTACTAAATGATAACGAATAAAAAATAGATAGTGGAAGCCTCCAACAAAAGAGATAGTAGACGTAATTGAGAATTATATGACATAGATGGGGTTGAGTGGATATTGGGAACTAGGGTGGTAAACATTCAATAGTTTGGAGATGAGGCAAGGAAGATAGAAGCAGAAGACTGGTTTATAGAAAATTAGTTAATATAATGTGGAACAGATATTTTATACCATCAGTTTTATTTTTATTAATGTCCATATCCTCTTGTGCAGCTTTAACTATTTGTTTTACTATATCCATAACTAGTTGTTGAACTTCAACACTATCATTGGTTAGAAGTAATCTAAAAATAAAATGTATTAATTTAAATTTCTTTTACCTCATTCATATAATAGCTTATTACTTGTGCATAATATTTAATGTTTCAACGGCTAAAACTTGATTTTTCATCATAATTTGTCGTGCAAGTGAAGAGTCTAAAATTGTGTACAATGATTTCAAGCAAGTTTTGAAGTTGTCAAGATTCTCTATTGTTCGTTGGTTACATATGGCTTCTGTACAAAGACCTGAAAATATATAAATTAAATATACTTATAATTATTAATAATTAAATAAATAACCACAAGATTACAAGTAACAATTTTCATAAAAACAAGTTTTTAAAAAATACAATATTTATCGACCCCGTTCATACAAAACACAACTTAAGTCCAAAAATGTTTTTTATGTCCCTATTATTATTTGTTAAAAAAAGGAACAAAAAAATAATACAAATTTGAAAGTGTCCTGAACATGTCAAAGAGTTTATAACAATGATTTACAAGGAATTTTTAATTCCAATTTTACAATATACTCAAGACCCAAAAAACATTTAAGTCGAAAACTATAATTTTGGACTTAGTGTGTTTCGCATAAGCAGGGTCAATACATAATTACTAGAGGTCTCTATTACACGTGTATTCGATTACACGTGAAACATGTGTAATTATAAATACATGTGTATTCAAAAAATTTTATTTTTGTTATTAATTTTAGTTTCACGTTTAATATCACGTCTATTTAATTATGCGAACTCAAACACAAGTATAATTGTATAAATACGTTAACTCAAACTAAAATTTTTAACAAAATACATTTTTTTTAAATACACGTGTATTTATAATTACACGTGTACATACACGTGTATGTTAATTACACGGGGTTCGTGTACACGTGTATTTAAAAAATCACTTTTAAAATCACAGGCACTAATAATTACTAATTAAAAAAAAAAAAATACCAAAAATTAAAAAAAATTTATCCTGAATTTCTTTTTCAATGGTATTTTTTGTTTGTTTAAAATCTTCTGAATTCAACCATAAAGATAATGCGTACAATATAGGAGGCCATGCATTTTTATAATGACTTCTGCTATTGTCCATAGTACTTGAAGTGTAAAATGCACCACCTTCGTGAGGAAGTTGACTGTTAAATTCTATATAACAAAAATGATACATCTTAATGAATACTTATAACAAATATTAGTCAAAGAATGTCCAGGTATAATTTACTAAATACAAGTATAATTACCACAAGGCAATAATAAAAGAGCATGGTCTTTAAGAGCTGCTTGCCAATTTTTTGATAACAGTTCTAATTCGGGGCGAATTAAATTCAATAAACTATCATTTTGGCTTTCATATTTTCCAAAATCATCACAAGATTTATTTGTATTCGAACATGGAATCTTGTGAAAATTACCAGGAGCAATACCACTATTGATCATAGCAATGATATAAATCTATATAATACAAAAAAAAAAAATGTATTAGTTAATTATATATATTACACAAATTAATTTATTAAATTAATTGACATTTGTATGTAACTTAAGTATGTACCTGAGACCAAGCTTTAAGAATAGCTAAACACTCAAATGTAGCAACACTTTCATTGTATAAGCTATTAAAATTTATATTAAAACCAGGTTTAAGCTTTTTAAGAGATATAACTAGAAGATGATAAACTCGTTTTAAATCATTTATATCACGAGCCACTCCACTGCCTATCCATGTTCCACAAACACGACAAGCAGCTGCTGTTACATGGCTAGATGTATCCTCTGAAAAAGCAGGTCGCAATGCAGCGCTCACCTATAGTTGACAAATATAATATATTAAAAAATAATAATGGAAACACCTATTTAAATTGCTATTACTTGAGCTTGAAATTGTTCTAATAATAAATGGCCTGGAAATTCAGGTTCTGGTACTTGAGCAAATTTCTCTATGATTTCATTGAGAGTTTCAAATCCTTCTAAACGTAACTGATCACTGTCACTGGTTGCAGCCATAAATGCCATTCTTATTAAATCAGACAAATGAAGAATCAAATAATCACCTGAAAAAAATAAGCTTACAATAACCCAGGTGCTGTGCCATGTGAAAATTAAAAAAGAGAATAGACTTTAATAGTATCCTTCAAGAGAATATATGACTATATTATTGCATTTGACAGTGACGCATACAAAATTAGAGAGGCAGGAGGTAAAAGGGATAGTCTTATCAATATTGGTAGGAAATTAGAAATGTTCAAGATGAGTTAGAAGAATTATAAAAAAAAAAGAATTTGACATCGATGACTCAATAGACAAAAAAACATATCCTAATTGTTTACATTTTTACTAACCTTTATTATTTGTAAATGATAATTCTTTTGCTAAAGATAAATTGAAATGTGGAGCAGCATTGCTTTCTTTGTAGCAAGTAGATATTATACGACAAATACACTGAACTGCAAATACTCTAGTAGGCCACCGAGGTTGATGTTTTCTTTTAATGGATTCCTGTTCTTTATTTTCCATTTGAAACTCATCTTGATCATCACCAGTTTCTTCATCGTCATTCATAATATTCCCATCAGACTTGTCTATTTCTTTATTATTAACATCTAAAACAGTTATGCGTTTATAATAGTTTATCAAAATAATTATATCAATCTGTTATATTAATACAGTATATTACCACAACATGGTCAAATAGCCAGAAATACATGTTTAAACTTTTAGCAAATAAAATAACACCTGAGTGAAAGGATCATTTAGGAATCGTATTATTTTTTTTTTACGATTTGGAAAAGAAAGTCAGAGAGTAGTTTTGAAAGGGTAGATTAACTCCAAGCACTCGAAAATTAAAAAAATCTCGTTAGCGCTTGCGCCAGTGTTTACATTGCCATTTAATTTCTGTATTTTCATTGCAGGTTTTTAGTACTACTATATTTTACATAGCACTAAAATTATGAGGAATACATTTCAATATTTTCGAGCACATAAATTAATAAATTAACTATATTAAATATACCTAAATTAAAAAAAATTATAAATTATGTAATTTTCATCTAGTTATAAAATTATGATTTTAAAGATATAAAATACACAAACTGTAAGAAGAATGTTACATACATTTTAATAGCGTCTCCAATGTAATAAGTTTCAATATTAAAATAAAATATGTAATAGTTGCGTCTGTAGTGCGGTGTATTTACATCGCAATCACACCCGATTTTGTGCACTGAAAATTTGTGACTAATTACTGTTATGTTAGAGTGGACCAATACAATTTATAAGTATTGAAACTATTAAAAAATATATAGTGTACAAATAGAGGCTACATTTATTTGGTTAGTCAATTATTGTGAATAGAGACATGGGTTTAACCAAAAGTTGTGGTGTAAACACCGCGTTTACGAGCGCTTAGTTTTTAAGTGTAATGTTTAGATTGGAACCACAAGAATATTAAAATGTTTAAAGTTTATGGAGTTAGTCAGGACTACTTGTAAAACAAAAACTTTAAAAGAATTGGAAAGGATTGAGTATTATTATCGTTTATCTAAAACTAAATAATTTTACAGTTAAATAATTGTACCTGAAGAAACAGCCAAAACAGATTTACACAAATTTATCCATTTGGTAAGATTTTCTACAGCTAACATTTGAAGCATACTTATTAAAGTGTCATGAATATCTTTAATGAGTTGTTTATCCGTTTCTGTGTCTAACATATTAAATAACACACCAGGAAGGCCAGAGTCCGTGAGAAAAAAATCTAAACAATTCAATATACAATTTCAAATTCAGGCTTCAAATGATGTAAGGCAATTTTTTAATTATTTGTACCTTCTCTGATATTATTTTCATTAGATTTAACAAATGAATCTGCTATTTCACAGACTTCTTTAGCTTCCCTTTGTGATAGTTGGCGCAGGCATGACACCGCTGCTTTTCTTAAAAGTAAATGACTATTTGACAAATTTTGCTAAAAAAAAATTAATAACCATATATATTATACTAATTTTATTAACAATAACATGGAGAAGCATTTTACTGACACATAATGTCCAAACTAAACCCGTTAAGTTAACATGTTTTGGTGTAAATAAATGCAATTCTTGTAGGCAAACTGTAGACTCAGCTTGGACTAATGGATCTTCATGATCTTGCATAATAGCACATGCACACAAAAAAGACGATCTTGCAGTTGTAATCGATGCTGAATTACCTGTAATACATTTTTATACTTAGAATATATAAATTAATTTTAATACAAAAAAATCTAGCGCAATTTGGTCGGGGCATAGTGGGAATGGAGCATATTGGGGCAGAAGAGGTTATAGGTCTACAGAAATTATTAAAACTGAAAGTGGTGATAACATCATTTTGACGCTATGATGCAAATCTGGTAGACGCATGGTATAAATATTGATAAAATCAAAATTGTAATGACAATAACATGCTTTAAATTGTATTTTTTGTAAAGGCTAGATACAAATAGGGTTTATGGTTTGTCCATAATATTTTGTATCTTTTTCTTCTTCATAATATTATACATTTGGTTTTTTTTTTTAAGTCCTTTATTTGTAATAATTTATATGTTAAAACTTTATTTACACATGAATTATATTATTGTAATGTAACCATTGGGCTTTTAGCCCATACTTATAATAATAAATAAACAAAAATAAATATATTGTAATGAGCAATAATATAATGAGACTATGTTTTTCAGAAACATGTTGACTGTTTATTCACTCTTACATAGCAACCTACAAATTTATCAGTCTAATATTTGTATAAAAAGGAAATATAAATGACAATATTATGATTCAATTGACTTATAATATATACAATATTAGTTAATCCTATAAAAAAAAACACCTATAACCGCAAAAAACGTTTTTAGCTCTCCTGGAAACTACAAAAAAAGTAGCTTTAGACCTTTTTATCAAAAGTTCCCACCCCTTCTTGGGAAAAGAGTTTTTAATACTTAGTTGGTTTGTCAATGTTTATTGATATTATTAATATACATTATTCTATATTATATATTTTTTTTTAAAATTTGAAACTAAACTAATTTAAAACTATTTTTTTAAAGTTATAGAGCTATTATTTTAGTTGAAAAATATATGTACATTTATCGGATGTTTTTCTTGAAAAGATAAATTTTTGACCCAATAAAGTACATTATTGGTACAATTTTTGATCTATAAATTTGCTACATGAAAAAATATCAGGGTACATTTGATTTATTCAATAAGGATCTATTTAAAAATGTATAGATTATAGATTACTTGATTGGAGAGGTTGGGAATAGTACATTATAATGTATCCAATCTTTTAAACTACAGATTGGAACTTTCAAACTAAATATATGCCAAATGAAAATATAAAATTATGAAAAATAATAATATAGTTTTTATTAAGTTCTACCTCACCCTTCTCTATATTTACATTATACATATAAGAAATAGTAACAAAAGCGTAATTAATTTAAATTAATTACAAATAAAAGTATAGCAATAATTGTATTTATAGTAAACAGACATATACCTTGTAACTCTGGTCCAATAGTAGTGATCAATGCAGATATTAGCTTTCCAATACATTGATGAACATCTGCATGATAATGAGGTACTATTAATAACAGTTTTAAAGCCAATGATAGTGAAGGTTCAACGTATCCCCTAAACATTGGACCTCCAGAATTTGCAATAAGAGATAATGCATGTAATGACCACACCTGAAAAAATTGCATTTGAAGTTTTCTATTTCACAATTAAATAATTATTAATAAATTTATACTTGGACAATTGGTGATGTTGTGTCTTGGGCTAGAGCAAGCAAAATGCTGACACTAGTATTTAAATGATGTGAAGATCCCATTCCACCAACATGTTTATGTAAACATCCAAGAGCTAAAGAATGACCAGTTCGACTGGGAACATCTCTAGCACAACGAAGACGATCAAAACTAGTTTGTGCAAGCATAGCAGTAAAACGAGAATCTGATACAGCCTGTGCCATACGCCCCACACTCTCAGCAGCAGAAATCCGTAGAATAGTATTACCATTTGTTAACGTGTTCTACAATATATTTGTATTACATTACAACATATGTATATATATATACCCAACGTAAAAATAGGTGTATTTAAAGGTAACCTTAAATTTTTTTCAGGGGTCTAACATTTTTAGATATTTAATATTAATAATCTTAAATTTTATTACAACATGTTTAGGTGGGACTTGAAGGAGTATTGAAGGTGAGAGCCTATTCTGACCTCTTTGTACAATTGTAATACGTCAAAACATATAACAAATAGCAACAATAAATACTAGCCAAAAATATTGAAAATCAGTGAGTAATAACTACATAAAAATTCACTTTTACATGATTATTCTTATTTGGCGACTATGTTGACATCTTCAGCGTTAACAGGCAACAGCATATTTTAGACAATTGTTTTAGCTGTTAGACTGAGCGCTACTGCTGTAGCGCTGAAGACAGCAATATGGACACTGAAGTATAGTATTCATTTGATTTGTTCACTATAGTGGGATTTTTTTCAGGTTAACCTGAGATATTAATTCATTAAAATAATTAAATGTAATCAGTTTGATATTAAGGAATAAATTTGTCAATGATTGGCAGAAATTTCTATATAATACTATATTTCGTAGTTAATTTGATGATTGACCAATAATATATTTTTTCCTAATTATTATAATATTTTTTGTCACTTTATTTGAAGTATCCAAGGGTTAATTATTCATTTGAAACTGATACTTACATTATTATGAATACTACGAGACTATTTTCTCAAGTACTCTACTGTTTAAGAAATGCACAAAGAAATAACCATATCAAGTGGCGTAATACATTTTCGAGACCACTTAGAAAGGGCTATGGCAAATGCCTTAGAGTGTGATGCTACTGTGCTGACTACTGACCCTTAAAAAAATAGGGCTCCTTAACTTGGTTTCCCAGTAAATAATTGGTCCCAATAAGTGCCTGGATGCATCAAATTTATAAATGTATATTAAAACACAATTACTTTACCATAATCAATGTAGCTGTTGTAGTCTTAATTTCATCATGTTCAATAGTTGTTTTTGTATCTGAAAGTATTTTCAGGCCAGTTAGAAGTGAAGCAAATATATTTATAGAAATAGCATCACAACGAAACGATTTTGAGTATTTTATTTGGTCAGTAAAATGGTCTATCATTTGAATTCTGTGTTTGTTGGCCACTCGCGGAAAAATTAAACCAAATAATGTAATAGAAGCATCTATCACTGTTACACCTAATGGCAAAGGACTAGGAACCAATTCATCCTATAAATAAAGAAATTGTTTTTAAGTTTTATTACATTTCTTTTTTTATATTTCTAATATGCTTACCTTAGACACCGAGAGGTATAGGAACCGAGGATCATGTTCTAAAGCTCCAGATCCTATAGCATTATACTGAACAAGCTAAAACAGAAATGAGACGTAGTACACATTCAAATTTTTATAGGCTTAATTATTTTGTTTATTTGTTCATTGATAATTTATTAACAAGTATCCATTTAGTATTATTACAAGATATATTGGTTTTTTTTAATAACATTATGTTCAAACATAAAAATATTAATACAATAATAAAATGTGTCTAACGAATCTTACAATATTATATATATAGTATGAAATTTGTTTATAATAACTAAATAATTATTGTTCAATATGAAATACAGGAAGAATATAAAGTTTAAAACTTACATAATCATAGTCAGACTTTCTTGAACAATCCACCTTGTTTAAAAGCAGCGTAATAAAAACCAATTTTGCTTTAAAATTTTACAATAAACTACTATGAATTCATGAATACATTTTTTGTTGACTATACATATTTTTGACACCCTTCAATTGAGCCTTTTTTATACAATATTAAATACAATTGAAAAGCTATACAGAGGAACAAATCTCCTTTATTAAAAACATCCGTTTTGCATTTTTCAACTTATTTTTGTTTAATAGAAATTATTTAACCAACATTTACACTTTCTTAAAAAATTATTAAAGATTGAGCGGGGTATTGTAGTTACACTGTCCTGAAGATGGAATGAGCAAATATTCCAAAATGTTGGGAGACCAGTCAATCTACTGAAGTTGGAGTAACCGTAATATGTGTAAATAGTATAAATTAAATTTACTTTTCAAAGGGAAAAAAAAGAAGTAAATAATACTATTGTGTAACAAATACCTGTCTAGATATTGACCCTATAGATGTTTCTTTATCTAAATATCTTACAATATAAATACAACCAAATTATAAGTTTCTAACTTTATGTTCTTTTTTGTTTTTGTTGAGAGTGAACATTAATTTACTAAAACCCCCTTCCTGATGATTTTTTTACACAATTTTATTATGGTATAATGTTAGTGTAGGAAATATGATTTCGACACAAACTTGTGATACAGTTTTAGATTTGTGAATTTGATTTCTTAGCAATAATAAATATTTTGGAAGAACATAAATTACCTGATCTTCAATTGTTTGATGGTGTGAGTGTTGAACAGGACACAATCCTAATAAAACTCCTTCTTCGTTTTGAGACAAGTATCTTAATTTAGAAGTGATAGTATTTGCTGGATTTTCAGCTAATGTAAACTCAGAGACTAAAAGTCTCAAAATGTGTGTATAAGAAGCTACATTACAAATTATAGACAGAATTATAATTTATAGATTATGCAATTTTCTATTTATGTTATCAATATATATATATTACCTTCATAGTTTTGAGCAGGAATCAGAGATAATGTTTCATATAATCGTAATCTTACTAATGCAATAGGCGCCTTTAAATGCTGACCACAACTTTTAACCACTGATGTCATACTAAAACATAAAAATCATTTTATATTACGCTCTAACACACTAACAATTTAATTTACTTTATCAACATAGCCAATGCAGATTCTATTGGTGTTAATAATCTTCTAATTATGTCTTCAGTAACCAAATCACTACAATTATATAAAAAACTATGGATAGATGCCATAGCACCAGCTCGACCTTCCAATGTTAACTAAAAAATTAAACATTATGCTATGAATTCAAAATGATTAAGATATCAATATTTTAAGATAATTAATCACAAAGAGAAGTTAACATGTAGTTTTCATTTATATATCCTATATTATATTCCAATAAACAAAAAAACAAAAATCTGACCTGCCAAGTAAATGCATCTCCTCTAGCCTTTTCAGATTCAAGTTCTTTAGAGGATCGTGGGAAAGAGTTTCTCCATAAAAGAAGCATACGAGGTAACAGACCTCTAACTACACTAACACCTTAAAAATAACAATGATATATTAGTAGAAATATTAAAAATTAATTTTAATTTTGTTGTAAAAATAAAAAAATTACCTAATGACATTACTCCACCAATAAGCAACCATCCAGCTTGAGTTCTACTAAGTGAAAGTCGACTATTTTGGCTGGCACTACGTAATAAATCTTCTGCAATATTGAAAATGATCTAAAAACAAATTATACATTAACTCATTAATTTAAAAAAAACAATTTAACTGTATTCTTTGATTTTAATTCAAAATGTTTGTAATAGTTTACTTTTCCACGCATATGAGGTATACCCAAAGGTGAAATACTTGTACTTCCAAGAATACCAACAAGTACAGCACTATAACCTGATATTATTTCTGGAGTGGCACAAGAGCTTTCAATATTTTCAATGCAACTAGAAAAAAAATGTACATATATAATAACAATAATAATAATAATAATAAGTAGTGTTATTGAATTTGAGTCGGTTATTTAAAAAATTAAGTTCCATAATGTCAAAAACTGTAACTTTATACTAACCATAAATAACTTAAGTACTCTAGGAACTTATATTGCATTTTCAACTATATATAAATGTATTTTAAGGATTTGGTTTTCATAATTCATAGTTTTAAAGATGAAAGGTCATTGCTAAAAATGTGGTGTATGCATATAATACGTAACTATGTATATCAGTATTAAATTTGGCAGTAATTTTTATTTAAAAAAAAAAATTAATTTCTGTATGAACTTAGTTAAATGATAATGCTATATACCTATGGATATGTATTTAAATATTTAATAGTATACCTTAATTTTAAATTTAATTACATTTTACATTTAAAATTCTCATTGACGATAAATAATAAAAGAAAGGTCTAGCTCATGGCTTTAGACGAAAACGTAGAATGAGATGGGGTAAAGGAGGCTTAGCCCCTCCCATGAAAAAAAAATAGAAACATCATTTTTTATGTCCAGAATACACAGGTGTAAGAATTCTCACCACGATTCTGTAGATTCACAATTTGTGTAAAAGGTTATAGTCTCTCTCAGAAATGCATCATGTATCATGCCTATGTGTATAGATAAAAATATATTATCTATAATTGTGGTCTGACTCGATTAAAAAATCAAATTTATAAAAACCCAGAAGAGGTTGGATAATTTTACCGACTCTCTTTAGCTTTGAGCTAGACTAGAATAACAATTGAAAAATATAATTAAATAATAAATATTACCGATCAATCAAAGGTGTGCACTGACTTGGCAAGGCAATACAAACACACCGAAGACACCAAGCAGCAGATAATCGAGCAGCTTGACTTGGATGAACCAAAACAGTTAAAGCTGTCTCAATCACATCTAAATTGTATACATTTTTATAGATATAGGTACACATATATTAATTAAATATATAAAATGTTTATAAAGGATTATACATACTACAAGTGCTATCCGATACAAGATTAATAGCCATTGTACCCATATTAAGTAATAAGCAACCCATCTCCTGTAGTGCACAAACAAGAAAGTGCTGACCAAATATTGTTTCTTGGTTGAAATCCTTAGCATTTTCTGGGCTAAAATCTAAAATTAAATATAGTAAACATTTTAAGTTGAACAATTTAAAATTTTAATCTTTTTTTTTACCAATTGAAGTCATTTGCTTTTTTACTATTAAAGCCAATTCTTTACAAGCTGAAGATTGAGCTTTTTCTCCTAACATTTGTCCTAAAACGCTACGTAGTATAAAGCTTACACATTTTCTAGAATAAACAGCATCAACATGTGTAGATGCTGATTTTGGATTCACAACAAGATCCAAAATATGACGTATAAAAATATTTAAATTTTTTTCCAACCAATTTATTTCCAAAGTCTGAACAAATTCCACATATGCCTATACATACAAGGTAAATTATTGAATCATATAAAATGCATATATAATTTAATAATAAAATAAAGTTTAATTTTACATATGTCACCCCAACTCTAATTTCTCTATGACTGCCGGTATTTCCTTTGATTATTTCTCCTGTGCCTTTAAGAAAACCAGTTCCACCTCTCAAAAAACCAGTCATAAGTATACCCAATGCATCTTCTAAAGATAAACTTTTGACAATTTTACTTGGTTGCACTAAAATTAAGATTAAAATAAAATTGTATTGTTCTATTTGCTCTTTTAAATATTTTCAAACATATACTTGAATTGTATTCTTTTGTTTGAATTTGAGTGGAAGCTATTAATGATCCCAACAATTTTGCAACAGAACACCTTACTTCATAATTGGCGTTTTCAAATGCTCGGAAACATAAAGTAGCCAAGTTTTCAAGATCTATTGTATATAAAAAGCTTGGATATTTAACCAATTCAGATAAACACTGAAAAAAAAAGTAAAATGTATCAAAACAAAAGTAAATTAATTTATTCAGGGTTGTACTAAGAGAGAAAGGGGTAAAATTGGGAGAAAATAGATAGTTATTATTATTAGCAAATGGCACATTTTGTCTGGGAGTAGGCCCTATTTGGTTGCCGTGTGGCACATGACATTTCTGCCATGCAGCAGGAGAGAGGAATGGTGGTTCCTTTTCACCAGACGATTGCTCGTCCAGCAAACAGAGCACTAGTGACCGAGTGTCAAACCAGCGACAGAGAGCACTAACACACTTCTGCCTTATCCACTCGGCTTCTCCTCCTCCTCTTCGATTGTCATTGTAATAGTACTTATAATGGTAATTAAAACCCTGAATTTCTTTATGGAACATTGTAAAATAATTTATGACTAAAATATAAAATAGTAGATACTTTAGCTGTAGATGAACGAACTGCCATAACTCGATCAGTTAATGAATGTCTTATTGCTTTGTAAATATCTTTGTGGATATTTCCCATTACATTACCCATTCCTGTACAAATCTATAACAAATACAATGAGTCTATTCAGTACCAAAATACATAAATAATTAGATCACTTAACAATAAACTTTAATTTACTTACTTTTTCTAATGTTATAATTATTTCTACTCTCATTTGTGATTCCGCATGTTTAAGATTTTTTATTAAAATATAAACAGTTTCTTCATAAGAGCGACCCATCATTCGTCCTAAGTTTTTATACATATAACCAATGCAAGTAACAGCTGCTCTATAAAAATAAATTGAATTGTTAAGAAATAAGAATATTAATTACTACTAACTATACTTACAGTTTAGTAGCAAGATATGCTAAAGAGTCATCTTTGACACGTAAAATGTCATTACATTTATTAACAGTGTCAAAAAGTAAAAAAGTATCTCCCACATTAAACAAAGTTGAAAGACATTTTGCTATAAGTATTCTAGTGGGCGGACCAGGATTTTCTTGTATTAAACTAGTTAATTGTTCAACTAATTTTTTCTGACATTCTTTAATATTAACCTTAAATATAAAAAGATATTGTTAAAAAACTTAAATCTAAAATAATATAAAATACGAACTTTATAAGCCGTCGATAATGATTTATCCAAAAACCGTAACCACTCAAAAATAAACACTGGTCTTTTAGTTTCCGGCAATTGTTTTAATGCTTCTTCATTCAACAATAAACTATTTGAATCCATCTTATTATTTACTTCTTAAACTAAATACATTTATTCAAAACAGACAAATAAATACATGTCGAAGACACCAAATCGCTATAGAGTATAGCTAATAAATATTTATCACTAATAATTATTATCACACAATAATTAATTTATGCATTTTATGATAATAGATAGATTAAACGAGCACGATCTTATACCCAGTCTGGGAACTCCGTTCACAGAAAACCGTAGCCGTTTTGTCCAATATGGCGGCCACGGGCGTAATGTTTTACACACAATTCACGACAAACCCAACCAAACAATAACTGAAAACGTGTCGGCTGATCACGTCTATGGCCGCCATATTGGGGAAAAAAAGACTACGTTTTTCTGTAAAAGGAGTTACCTATGATTGTCCTGCCCTGTCCTGTTTCAGTGTAATTTTCAAATTTGCATTAAATCTAGTATACACTATACAGTGTACTAGAATTATAACTAAAATTTATTCACAACACAATGTACTATACAATAGAAAATATACTAGGCATAATTATTCTATACATGAATATATATATATATATATATATATATATATATATATATATATATATATATATATATATATATATATGTATATATATATATATATATATATATTTATTAATATTAATTATATAACGTCATAGAAAAGATGATAACTATAAATTATACCAAGTATAAACTATAAAAACAAACAAAATGAATAAAACATTTTATCTTTGATGTGGAGCTATTTTAATTTATTTATTTTTTCATTATGTCTGGTCTTACGATTTCTTCATAGTACTACCAATAAGGTTGACAAACCAATAAATATATCATAAACCCATTTTCCTAGAAAGGGTGAAAAATGTTTCATTATTTCGCTTAAGGTAGGAATTTCTATGGTGTAACTGTGTAAGATCTAATTTATCACACTTTCAGTTGTAATAATTCTTATTATAGACCTCTGACCGCCTCCCCTCCAATATACTCCGTCACCACAATGCATCGACCCTACTGTACCAATTTTTGTAGGCTTTAAAAATACTTTGAATATGTACAAATATTTAGTATTTCAGAATATAAGGGGGAAACTTAAATTTTTGACGGGATACCATTTTTTTCTTATTTTAAGGGTTTAAGTTATTATTTTGATGATTTAAAGTGCTGAGTGATATTAAATCCCCATTAATATATTTGAATATTTTCTGAACTCTAAAAGTACACAGCTAGATCAAAAACGAATATTAATTTTAAGCCAATGCACTATTAAGAAGTTTGCATTTTTTTGAAATCAGGTAATAAGACATGTAAGGAAATTGAAAATTAAGATGTTTAAAACTCTTTGTGTAAACATAATTGATTAAAAAGCCACCTAGGACCAAAAACTTAAACATTGTCTATATATATTTAGATATACATGTAATATTGAATCAAATTACAAAAAAAACTTAACAAGTTAAAAATAAAATGAAAGTTAAAATACAATAATTTTAACCTACATTTTTATTATCTATTTAGAATCAACCCCGATAGCTTGTGATACCGAACTGTAATTATCTTCCCTGAAAAAAAAAATTTAGTTGTAATATTACTAATAGAATGTACATGAAATATTTCATAGAATTATAATTAATTATTAATTTATTTAAAAGTTACCTTAAAAGACAATCTAGTTCTTTTTTTATATTAACAACAACTGGAGGGCCATAATATAAAAAGGATGTATATATTTGTAAAAGTGAAGCACCAGCTTTAATTTTTTCATAAGCATCCTGTCCATTAAATATACCGCCAACACCAACAATAGGAATTTCACCTAAATCAAAAATGAATTTCATTAACATAATCATTTTTATAATTAAAAGCAGTAAAAATCGTTTTGAAATAATAACAAAATATTAATAGACATATTTTAATAAACTAAAAATTTCTCTTAAAAATAACCATCATATTAATTCTAGTTTAGGCAGTATAAAGCCAACAAGTATATTCTATTTTTATAACAATATTAGCAAACAATGTGTATAATTTAAAATAATTGAATATTTAAATAAACTCTTATCCACAAAAATAATTCTCTATAGCGTGAGGTCTCAGTCTGTTATATGTGCTGATGATGGTAACACTGCTGCCAAAAAATGTATACGCTGTAGAGAATTGTTTTTATGGTTAAGGGTTTATTTAAATATTTAATTATTTTATAATATACAACCATAAGTGTTGCTTAAGTTTTGTCTAGATTGTGTATCATGTCATATATTAGTCATACTTCTAGCTTAAATGATTATCAAAAAATATCAGAAATACAATGTTCAAATTAATTATTTGAATGATTAAAAACAAATTTAAATAGTTCTAGATTATTTTAACGCACCCCTACCCCAAAACCTATTTTACAAAAAATTTGTTTTTCCAACAAGTTGGTCAATTCCAAATTATTTCTAAAACTATGATAACAAAATAATTACTCTTTACCATTTGTCAATTTAAAGAATTCCGATATCGTTTTAGTTGATTTATCTTTTAAAGGTTTTCCACTTAAACCACCGGGTTCCAAGCCATTGGCATCATCGTTAACTCCATCTCGATCAGTAGTTGTATTTGATATTATTAATCCATCAACTCTATACTAAAATTAAAACAAACTCTAGGTTAACAATTTTGCACTTAAATCAAATAAACTACAACCTTTTTATCATTAATAACATCAGCAATGTCTGTTTTGTCTTGATCTGTTAAATCTGGAGAGATTTTTAGTAGTAAAGGTACCATACGTTCTCCACAATATTGGTTTCTAGCTTTTATTACAGAATTAAGTAGATTCATTAAATCTTTTTTTTTTTGTAAATTTCTGAGTCCTGGAGTGTTAGGACTTAAAACAAAAAAATTGTTCATAAGTAAAACGTATTAAAACAAAATTAATCCCTAGTTACCTTGATACATTTATAACAAAATAGTCAGCAACTGAAGCAAATTGTTGGATACCTTTCACATAATCATCTAAAGCATTTTCTGAATTTTTATTTTTTCCCAAGTTAACGCCAATAATACCATCATGGTTTTTTAATTGTTTGAGTCTTTCATATACAATACTATGGCCATCACTGTTGAATCCATATCTAGCATAGCATTTTAAGAAACAGCCTTTTAGATTAAACTTTTTTAAACTTAATTAGACACTTAACATAGGTAGGTAACGTAAAACTAATAAACCTATAAAATAATTTCTCTCTTATACACTCTCGTAACTTAAGGCAGGCTGGGAAAATTTCAACCTTTTATAAAAGCAACTCCCTCAGAATTCCAGTAAAAATTAAAAAAAGGTTTCTTGAGGACTATACTGATTGTTTGCTGACACTTTGAAGCGGTTGAAAGACTTAAGAAGGATTTGAATTTCCTTAGCCTCTGCCCCTTTTAATTGTGCCAATGATGCTATACTCTGTTCCACATGAGAAGACGCCAGGCAGCCAACCAAATTTCATCCATTCTCTCACATCACGCCCAAAAAACATGATCAGGTACCTCCCACCCAAACACATTGCACACTGTTAGGGTGCTTCATTTTGGTCACATGTACGTATTGTATGGTGCCGCATGGTAGGAGAAATTTAGGCTCGAGCCAACACCACTACCTCATTTGGATGTGCTAAGCAGGAAGTATTCTTTTGTGGAATAGAGTATACATCAAAATACTAATTAGATTTAATTTATGTTAAAAATGTACACCTATTTATTATAGCTTCTTTGTTAAGAATTCTAAAGACTCTTGGTTTCTCATTGCCTGGCTGAGGTAGAGGTGTCACTGATCCTATTTCCACAAATCCAAAGCCAACTTTATGTAAACTTTTTACAATTTCACCTTGTTTATCTAATCCTGCAGCTAGTCCAATTGGATTTTTGAAATTGATATCCCATAACTTAGTTTGCTAAAATATCAATGAAATAATTATATAATAAAAAAAATTGTTTAATTTGTATGGTTTTAAGTATTAAAAACTTACTAAAGAGTCTGGATCTCTATAATACGACTTTGGAATAAGACCATATTTTCCAGCAAAAATTAAAAAACTATGGGCAGTTTCTGGTTCAAAGAAGTAAAATGAAGGAATAACATATTTTTTATAAAATATATCATTCAGTGTCAACAAATTAGAACCACTATATAGCAATATCCCTCCAGTAGTAACTTTAATAATTGTCAGTAATTTGCTCTAAAAAATATAATTGTATGTATTATCTTAAATGTACACATAAGTTTGAATGTACAATTTTTATAGGAACAACTAATTGCAAATAAAAATTAGTAAATTATGAAATTATTTTGGAAAAGTAATATGTCATTACTGATTATACATTATTTTACAACCAACTGATTTGCATAAAAGCAATTTAAAGGTTGAATATTATTTAAATTTTAGAAATTAGTAAATGGGAAAAAATTTTAGATACAAGAGAAAATATATTTTCATTAGAAATATTATTTTTATTTAGTTACAGAAATATTATAGTCTAATTCAAAAATTGAAAAACTACGTATATTGCACCCTTGATTCAAAAAAATAATGAAAACTAAATAATATAATAAGTGTTGTAATGCAATCATTACTAAAAGCGATCAAAACAATGACGTGTATATTATTTAGGGTGGTATTAAAAGGTCATATAGTTCTTATCCTTTCTCTTTTGAACTGTATTGTGGGACATCACTACCTCCCTTGTAGAGGCGTTTTCTAGTCAAATGTAATGTTAACAATTTTAATTTATAGACTAATATAATACAAACGTAATGAGCAAAAATCTACAAAGAATTTGTACATAATAATCAAATATATTTCTGATATTATTTAGTTCATTTCATCAATGAATAAAAATCTTAATCATTTTAACAATGAATTTTTGAGTTGCTAAAAAGTATTATACTTTACTACAAAGCAAATTTAAATACAATACAAATGAATAATGCTATAATTTATAGGAAAACAAAAATGATAGAACGAAAAGTGAAATACTTTACCATTATTGTTAGATTTCACAACAGAAAAGTGGTCTGCTTATATCTCACCATACAATAGAAATATATATATATATTGTTAAACTAAGAAACTTATCAAATGTTTTGTATTTTTTGTAGCTTAATTTGGTCGTTCATTGGTATCGACTTATTTTCTGTAGGTAGTAATTAATAATAGAATTTGAAACACGGAACCTATTCAAATTAATAATAACATACAAAATATATTTAAGGGCTAGCCTGCGCCCTGCGAAAGGCGGATAGATTTAAATTAATTTTGACTGCGCAGTCGACACTCGGCAGTTGGCAGTATCAATTTTCTAGAGATAAAGTATCACAGAATTATTCTGTGATAATATGCCATGCTAGATGATAAGAAATTCATAAGCACGAATCAGAATAAAAATGATAAAAAATATAATCATAATTCGTGGTAATCTCCAAAGTGTTGTTACTTGGTATCAATTGTCACTACTCACTAATCACTTGTTGTAATATACGTTTATAATTTACTTATCAATTTATGAATAATTGTGAATTAAAAGTTACACAATTTCCGTTAACTTACTTAGTAGAGTATTCAAATAACCTTTTAAAACAGGTAACTAAATAATTTAATTGATACAATAGTGATGCCGCATATTAGTTAGACATTTCAAATAATTTGAGAATATTTTAGATTGTTTCCAGTATTAACTGTATGTACTATGTACAACGTCTAGTATTTAAACCACAGAATAATTATCATATTACGTTAAAACTGTTAGAGGTACTGTCTGAGTTTAGCTTATTTTAGCTTTGATATGGAGCTGAAAAGGTATTGTTTTTACAAGGATGTGTTTTTCTTTTGGTGGCTGGACCTATGATTTATTTTAAATTGCTTAATTGATTTCTTCATGTAAAAACTATAGCTCAGAAATCTTACATGTAAGTTAATTTATTGAGCCAAAAATCTTTTTTTTGTGGTCATAAAATAATCAATTTGTGATTTGTTTCCTTAACAGTAATTTTATATTCCTCTTTTTTATTTAAACATTCTTGCTTCCTAAAAAAGTGTTGCATATTACTAAATTGATGCTAATGCAAAATCTTATCACTGCCTTTGTGCGTATTCATACCTACACCATAAATTGATATGTTATAATAGCATTTATTTTAAAATGTATAGTAAAACATCAAAGTATTGCTATGCATAAAACGCTAGCCTATTAATGGAAGTTTTACATTTCCGGATTTCCACTTTCAAGAGGTATGGCCTAGTCATAAATTGTAGACGTAATATGGTAATGGAATTCCCCCCTTGGTAGTGAAAAACAATATCAAACACTGTTTTTTTGTCGGTTGTTAGCGCTGAAGATGACAACATCGTTGTTGTAACACGTGTACGCAAGAAGTGTACAATTTTTATGGTTTAGGGTTCAAGTAGATTTTATATCTTTACTGTTTTTTAGTATAGCACTGCTTATCTGTTCAAAGAGCAAGAATCAAAAGGTTAGATTTTTTAATAATAGCATATACGTGTCTTTCGCTAGCAATTTTATGATTCTCAGCAATCGCAACAGACAATCTCTACTGATTTTTTGTGGTGAAGAATATTTTTAATATTTATTATTTTATTACTTAACCATAAGTTTTGCTCAGCTTTGATTAAAATACGTTAACAATACATAACATTATCTTTTCAAACTAAAACCAAAATGATAAATTATACCTACTAGATTTTTTTTGCTAGATCCAAATTTGGCCTTAGTTATTTTGTATATCACTTCCAAATTTTGAAACAACTTGTAGAACAAAATTCTACATTAATTGTATTAAAATACTAAGTTTGCTAGAAAAAGATAAAAAATAAAAATTATCTATTTCTCTAAGAGGAAAGGGTTTTGATACTTTTTTGAATTTTCAAAGTATAATGATAGTACATTATCTATAGAATATTCAATAAAAATTCAGAATTGATTACAAATTTTACAAACTTATGGTGCACCTTAATTTTAAGTTAAAAAATATGTATATTTTTGTGAAGGGGTTAACTTTTAAAATTTTTGGCTCATTACAGTATTTTTTAGGTTTAGTTTCTGATTTGTGGAATTGCTACATCGGTTCAGATGTAGCAACTCAATTCAGAATTGAATTCAGAGGTTTAGAAGAAAATTTAGAACACAAAAAATAAAAACATCATTCTAAAACAATACTTTCTCAGCTACTCTTTGTAGCTAAAATAACTTGATGAGCTAAAGAACATCAAATCGGATTTGGATTCAATAAATTTAAAATAGATGTAATTTAATTCTTGTTACATAAAAACTAACAAGACTTGTTGTACAGAGTTAATTTATCTTCTTAATGTGACACAATGATAATATTTTTAAAATATTTTCAATCCAACAAAATGCTTAAAATTGAATTGTAAATACTAATTGCTAATTTTTATTTTTGACCATATTTTTTAAGGTACACAAATATAAATGAATATTCTATTGTGTCGCAACTTCCGTCTAGGTATCAATAAGTAAGATGATTATAATATTATGATAAAAATAGTCTACAATAAATTACATTTTTTTTTTTAAAGAAAAATGTTTGTTAGAAGAATGTTTATCATTTGTATAAAAATAATAATTAATAATACAATAAGTAAAATTGTTATTTAGAAATGTACTCGACTTTGTGGTTCGATTACGGGTAGTGCCCAATGACACTACTCCATTTAATTAAACTAAAATGTATATTATAGATTGAATAACTTTGTGTGGTCTATTATAATATTATATTTTATATTTCACAAATATTATGATTACCGGGAAAAAATAATACAAGTTTATTTTTCAAAAATATTAGTAAAAATAAGTATTTAAATTTCATACAATATAATGTTTCAGAATTTCTATAAAATTACTATCTCTATTTTTTTTTTTTTGTGAAATATTTATTTCTAATTTTTTTATTTAAAATTTTATTTTATAAAAAAGTTAGTTGCTGATCAAATATACTAACATACAGAATTCACAAATATTTGATGACTCACAAAGAACCCCTATTTAAGAAACTTGCGGTACAAAACTTCCAGTAAAACAAATGAAAACCCATTAGAGAAAATATGAAGACATCTATAGAGTCTCACCATCTAGTCAAAATTCTAGGCCATGACCTTTGAGAAGTCAACGAAACAATGACCTTCCTAGAAAAAAGAAAGACTACAAATTAGTACAAAAGTCATTGTTATGTCTCGTATTAAAAAAAAAACTATCTTTATAAACACCTAATGGCTTGAACTGATACCTAATATAAAAAAAATACTTATGATGGGGTTTTTTTTAAGCTTTAAGGTAAATATATGTTTAATTGTTACCGCAACAATAATTTTAACTGTTATACCAATATGTTACACAGTACATGTACATGATACTTACTTAAATTGATATTAAAACAAAAAATATACTAAGAATTACAATAAATGACGTTTTTAACTTAATTAAAAGATAGTAATTGCCAATTATGAATTAGCAGCTATAAACAAAGTTTAATTTATTATTTTTGAAGCAAGATAAAAACGGGTTATATTTTTATAAATACAATAAATAGAAGGCCTTGAAATTCTTTCGAAAATATGAAACTATGTAAGACTATACTTCAAGGAATCTATTTGTTTAATGGAGTAGTAGCAGTATAAGCTTTATGCAAATTATCATCAGATCAAATGATAATACGGATTATAATAATTATAGACGTGTTATTAATAATTGGTTAATCATAATAAAAGACCTGTAGTGAATGGAAAAACAAATCTATACAAATATAAAACTGTCCACATTTTTTGTTTTTATATAAGTTATTATTTCTTATAACTATTTATTATTTTTGTATATTTTTTACTTTTGGAAACTATTGTATTTATTTGGTAATTTTGTTCATTACACATAATTGTGGACATATTTATTGGAATCGTGAACATAATATATACTGGTTCATGTGTATATTGTACTTTTTGTTTTGGATATTTATTTTGGACTACTGAAATGTTGAATAAAATAAAGGACTTAACAACACTGCTTGAACGGTTGCAAAAAAATAATAATAGCATAAATGGTTATTCTAATTAAATCTAAAAATTATGTAAAACAATTGAATATTTTAAAATAAGTATACTGAAAAATCAATAATTAAACATAAGAATAAGAACTGAAATATCATTACAAATAATTTTTTCTCCTTTCCTTTTTTTAGTATTCAGAATCTTTGTGTATTGAACATAACACTAAGCCTTAGTAACATGAAATGTCAACGCATTACTCAATATGTACACAAGTTGATTTTAACAAATTAAAAATGATAGTAAAAGTTGAATATGTTTTAGTTTTAATTTGTTTTGTTAATATAGTTTTTAAAACGATTTTATTATTGTATAATATCATGTTATAAATAAAGAATTTTCTGGTTTTTTTTTTTTTAGAATATCCAATAAAGTATCCAAGAAAATGGCCAAGCGTGATAAGTTTGACAACATAGTGTGGTTTGATGGAGAGGCAAGTGATTTTAATGCTATTTTTAGTCACTAATATAAAATATTTGTTTTTTTAACACAACTCAAAATTAGGCGTACATAATATTAACCTCTTTATAGTTTAGAATAATATTCCCAAATTAATACTTAAGTCTTAATTGGTTACAGGTGAAACCAAAAATGGTATAAAACTTGGATACTGGGGGAAACCACCAGTTAAAAAATTTAACTTTTTCTTTGGTCTTTAATTTTTTTTACTTTTTCTCAAAACAAGACAAACCCTACAGAGTACTAAAAAATTAAAAATCCATAGCAACACATTTAACAAAATTATAACTGCCTTTGCACTACATTAATTGTGTAAATAACTAAATATCTTGTTAAAAAAAATGTATTATGATAAATATCTTAATTATAATATTTTATAATTGACAAATTTGTCAAATTGTTGAAAATTATAGGGTATAATTTTTTTATTTATAGTTTTATTTTATAAAAAAATTAGTTACGGGTCAGTTATACTAACAAAATATACTACTACTAATTTTACCTATAATTAAATAGCCACTACCGAAACCCTTAAAATATATTGTATAGAACAAATTAGTATTTTAAAAAAAATGCGTGTATACTAAAACACACAATTTCAATTTTTATAGATGACTGGCTTAGATGTAGATAAACAAACATTGATAGAAGCTGCTGCAATTGTAACAGATGGACATTTAAATATTATATCTGAAAGTGTAAATATAGTTATTCACCAACCTCTTGAAGTTTTGGAAAACATGGAAGATTGGCCCAAAAAACATCATGCACTGGTAAATATCAATACACCATGATAAGTATTGTAAAGTATGTACATGGTGTTCAATAAGTTTAGCCGCGGTTTATGACTGAAAATAGATCTAATAGATCATTTAAAGTGGGGCATATAACGTATGAAATGTTCTCATAAATCTGTACTCAAAGAAAGAGGAAAATTACACTTTGACCGTAGTAAATGCCTAGGTTACTATGAATTAATAATCAACAGGTATCTGAAAAATATTGTCACTATACAGTTGATTACGATATATGAGAACAGCGGAAACAATTTAATTTAGACATTATCGACATTATCTACTAAATTTAGTTTTTAACATTTCATAATGTGTGCCTCTCTTGCAAAAAATTCAATTTTTGAAATACTTAAGTTCAATTTTTTGAGTGTGCTGAATTGTGTTATATCATCTATGAAATAATAACTAGATAATATAATACATCATTTCCAATAATTTTTTTACAATACGATAAAATAGATTTTAAAAACAAAACCAAGTACTGAGACACGGGTGTTTCGCATTGCGTGATTCTCAAATTACCGCATAAGTCACTGATGCTTTAAAGCTACTCTTAGTACGCTTACAGTACATGTGCTTAGAGTTCTTGTGAGAGACACCCATGTCTCTCATGGTGTATAAAATGTGTTTTTTGAAACTAGGTCTGATAGCCAACGTGTTCATCACAATGTAATGTATTATGGTTACTGACGTACCAGTGAACTTTTGTATAAGATTCATAATCTGTATAAAATATACAATAAGTAAGTTAACATAGTGTATACATACTATTTGACTCATACTGACTCAAGTAAAATACTTTATTGTGGCAGTTGTTTTTTTTTTAATCAGAGAATGTTAAATTTGGACTTATAACTGCACCTCAGTTAATTACGTATGTTATTACTGGTCCTATTCATTTGTTGTACGTTCAAATTTTTACATCAAGAAGGAGTAAAAAGGAGGTCTTAGTTTGTGGATATTTAAATAGGGGGTTTACGTTTAGTTTTTATGTGGTGAGCAAAAGTACTAAGTACCTAAGTCTTTGTCTATTGTTTACCAAGGTAACAGAGTTTTGTTCAGGAATAATGTTATTGTTCAAGATAGGGATAAGGATAGACTGTAGTTATCATGTATTGTAATTAGGATGTGACTTGACTTGTTTTCATCGATTTATGACTACTCGAGGAATTTGCTCACATTTGCCCTTATGTACCCTGCAGACTGCAGTATTGATAATAATTAATGATGTCTTCCTCATCTGAATCCGCACTCGACATAGCAAAAACCAAAAAAACCAACTACACTGTTTGAATAGATAACCCCAACTGATTCACAATTAGTCTTGCTCGTGTGCGGACAGAAGTTTTATTTTGTTTGTAAACTAGTTGTTCGCTCAACTGATTTGCAACCTTCGTCGCAAAACAGTCGCACGGTGTGCACTGGGCCTTAGACATTGATTCTCCATAATTGTATCTAATTCTGGAATACAATTAGATGATCCTGAAGGAATTTCTATTTCTTCTTCTTCTTCTGGGCTTTTACAGGCCTTTAAGGCCCATCGCCGCAACAACATATTGTCTCCAACCCTCTCTATGGTTTGCACATTCTTCTGCATTCCTTATGTTCAGAAGTTTCAAGTCTTCTTGTACTCTATCCGTCCATCTTTGTCTAGGGCGTCCTCTAGGTCTCTTAGTGTCGGGTTTCCATTTAGTTATTGATCCAATCATTCCCTCTGATCTCCATACGTGCCTCGCCCAACTTATCCTCGTGCTCTTCAGGGACCCAATAATGGTAGGTTCCTTATAGAGATTATCCAATTCTTCGTTGTTTCTCATTTCATACTCTCCATCGTTATTTCTCTTTGGACCGAAGATTTTCCTTAAAATCTTTCTTTCAAACACTCCTAACTTTCCTTCGTCAGATTTTGTCGTGGCCCATGTACCACATGCATATAGAGCAATTGGTTTAATTATGACTTTGTATAATGTTATTTTAGACTTAATTGATAGTTATCGTGATTTGAATAGTGGCATTAGACTATAGTAGCATCTATTTGCTGCCATAAGTCGTTTTTTAACTTCTTCATGGCTATTAGCATTTTTATTGATCTCTGCCCCTAGGTACTTGAAACTCTGTACCCTTTCAAATTTGTAATCATCAACTTTTAAATAATTAGTATTGTGATTTCGTCTCGAAAGTATCATATACTTTGTTTTTGACTCATTTATCTTCAGACCAATTTCTTTACCTTCACTTAGTAGGATGCTAGTTGTATTTCTCAGTTCATTTTCTGTTTCGGCTATAAGGACTATATCGTCAGCGAAAGCTACTACGGTTAATTCATGATTGTTGTCCATTTTTATTCCTTTAGCTTGGATTAGTACCTTTCGCATAACTGATTCTAATGCGATATTAAACAGAGCTGGCGATAGCGCTTCTCCCTGTCTGAGTCCTGTCGTTACTGGGAATTTCTATTTATAAGATTTATTTACTACTGGATGTAAAGGTCTTTTTATAATTATATAAAATTATACCAGTGTCTACAAAGAGTGGTGTATTTTGTTATTTTCATAAACCATACATTTAATACTATTGTTTACTTTCAATTATTTTGTAGAGTGGTTTAACAGAAAGTTGCAAAAAAAGTACCATAACTCTTGAGCAAGCTGATCAAATGCTATATGATTTTGTTAAGCCGTTAACAATTAAAGGTGCTTACTATTTTTTAGCTTACTGCTATATGTATATTATTTTATTTTATTTTTCTTAGGAAGATGTGCTTTAGCTGGTAATTCTATTTACATGGACAGAATGTTTATTAGAAAGTATTTACCAAAACTAGAGAGTCATTTGTCTTATCGATTGATAGATGTTTCTTCTGTTAAAGAGCTGCTAAAGTATGTTAATTTATTTATTTTTATCATTATATTTTGTCAATTTATCTTTCTCAGCTACACAAATTATGCAATAGAGAGAGAGAAACTCCACCCTAATCAGAGGTCATACTTAGATTTAGATTTTTTAAGCCTACCCCCAGTTAAAGTATGCCATACGGTGATAATGACGCAAAAATAGTATTTCTAAAGTGGACACTATACACTGTACTCATTCAAAGACTCAGTAAAGGTAGTTTTAATTTAAAATTTTAAATATATACATTTGAAGGGATTAGTAAATAAAAGTGATAACTAGGGTTAAAATTGATGTAATTCCATGTTATTTCCTATTAATAAGATGCCAAACTTGCCATGATTTTTGATTTATTAAGGGGTTTGGTTTTACCAATTTTTTGTCAACAACTTAATTATAAACTAAAAGTAGTGTACTTTTATTAGAGCATGAGTCTTTGTGAGTAATTAATTTTTTAGCAATCATAGTGTTTGTTCTGACGTAATGAAACTCCTAAGTTGATTCACTATAGCTTGTTCTTATGAAGTCTCATTTTTTTGTCAACTTTACAAGTTAGATAAATACTTTTTCAATAACTTTTGACTAAATGCATAACTTTAAGATGTTCTAACTTGATACTTAAACAGTTACATTTTACTACAAAATAATGTTTATTTAATGAGTAAATGTTAAACAAGTTAATAACAAAATAAGAGTGGGTGCGTAAGCACTGAAAAATATTAGAAAGAAACTTCTTTATAATACGGTAATGGACATAAAATTATAGGGGTGTGAATTTAAAGACTAAGGATTCCCTCCGAGCCCTTCTATTTTTTCATTTGCACCTACATTTGATTATTTGTACTATTGGGCTTTTGCAATTTTTAATATTATTAAATAATTTTTTAGGCGATGGGATCCTAATTCCTTAAATTCTGCTCCACAGAAGATGTTGAAACACCGCGCTTTAGATGATATTAAAGAAAGTATAAATGAGCTCTTATACTATAAAAAATACTTCAAGCTTTAGTAGCACTACAACTATCCAAATTGTAACAATTTGTTTTTCTTATTTATTTTGACCATCAAATTGAATTCCCTCAACTTTTGTATAACTTAAATAGTGTGTAAACTATTGAAACAATTGCTAAAATATTTGGTCGATTTTCAACTGACAATAAACTGGTGAAAACCCATTACATCAAACTCTTGGTTCTTACTTATTTTTTAGTTTATGGCATGTGTGATTCCATAGCCGCTCATTTAAAAGACAAACTGATGAAATTAAATTCAAGCTTTTATCTACTAATACGCTCTCATACAATGTTGTCTCATAAACTCTACTTCTAATATAGCAGCTCCTTTTTGCCAAACAATTGTACAGTTCTTTTTAGTATCTCTTAAGTTATAATTTCTCAGTAATTACATTTGAAGGATACAGGGCAAAAATTAAAAAGAGTCACTTTTTTTTAATGCTTTTTAAAATGCTGTGTGCCAAAACTAATAATTACAAAAGTGAATTTTTGGGGTTTTCTCGTGTGTTTTACATGATAAATTAATGCCAACATGTTTTTTCAATTTATAAAGAGTTATACACAGATTTATTACAATTTTTCATAATGATAATATAAGTAGTTTTGTGTTAAACTAATATTCGTTTAATAGTTTTCTACATGTATAAATTGTTTACATAATAAACCTGTCTTTTTTATACGACTATTGACTACAAATTATAACATGAATGAATAAAAAAAGCCTTATGTTTGTATAACTATTAAAAATATTAGTGACCTATTTAGTAGCATCATAGATCAAATAATATGTAATATTTTTATTTAACATACGGTAATAATAAATTACATTACTTAAAACCGTTTAATTACTAAAAATGACAGTAAGTATAGTCAGAAGTGTGGTACCAGCTATGACTCCATATCCAGTTGCATAAACTTGTTTAATGGTTAGGCATTTTCCTGCATCCCATACCTAAGAAGAAAACTTTTAAATTAACAAATTAATATGATTACTTAATCATTTTTAAACTTACCAAATGTCTAATACCATTGCAGTAATGATAGAAAAATGGGAAAGCAACTAAGGCTTTAGCAGATACAAGACATGCTAATGGCATGTTTAAACCTCTTATGTACTCCACACTTGTTGGGATATCAGTGAAAAAGAATACTGAAATTAAGCATGGATATATTTTAATAATGTATTTACACAGTGAAACTGCAAGTGGCTTCCTATTATAATAATTTATATGTATAATATATGGCGGCATCTCTTAAAGAAAAGTAGGAGCTGGATAAAGAAGAATATATGTATAATATAATACAATACATTTTTATACCTGAGGTACACAAATTTTTTCTCAAATATTGATTTACTTAAATTTAAAAAAAGATATTTTTAAAACATTTTCTAGTTTTTTAAATAGAAGATCTAGTCCAAATATAAATTTACCTAAAAAAAAAACCTGGTTGGTAATTATTTTCCTTGGTTTGCCTATTGAAAGTATAAGACCAAATACAATTATTACAGATTTTCAAATAACCAATGAAGTTTTATACTGTATACTCCCATCTAATGACAATTCATTATTTTTTTTAGAAAGTAATAGTTCTTAATACATTTATATTGTTCTCTGTATACGGATAACAGATACAAGTTCTTAAAAGCAAATGTTTATCCTATGACATTGAATCGCTGCTTGTAATAAAAAGATAAGTAAAGTAAATAAAATATATTCAAATAAAAATAAATGCTTACATGCCCCAAATCCTGCTGTGACACAACTTAGTGCAACACCTGTTCCACGGTGAGTAATAGAAAGCATAGATGTTAATTGTGGTTGATATATAGTAAGATGGGGAGACATAGGTCTACTGAGCCGGCTATTTTTTTCATCATGAGTTTCTCCTGGCTTGTACTCGACCTCTTGAGCACTTTTAATTTGCATCGTTATTGTGCGACTTCTAACAGTACATAATAAATTATAATTAAAAAACAAAGTTTTAATAGGAAATAAGATTTACATTATAAAACATTTTTAAATGTAACAGCTATTATGTTATCAGACAGAATACTACTAAAGACAATATTTAATTAAAATATTAATATTAATTAAACACGTTAGACTCGGAATGGCCTAGATGAGATTTTGAACAATTATTTATTTATTTTTAATTTTTCACTGAACTTGATAAGTTACAAATTATTTTAATTAATAAATTAGCTATGGAGTTAATTTTAGTTTGAAAAAGGAAACATTAATTTGTTGTTATTAATTCAATAGTGACTCTCGATTTTGGTAAAAATACAACTTAAAAAATTAAAAATACTATATTAAGTTTTAAAAGCAAATTAACATGAAAATGTATACATGGAATGGCGTACTCAGGACTAGATAGTATATAATTTTGTGGAGAACAAACGTTAGGGTGCTCCTGGTATAAAAGTTTAATCTTTAAATTTTTTCAAAGAAATCGGGGCAATTAATAGTATTCTATAATAAGGATTATTATAATAAGATATTAATATATAATAGTAATCAATAGCAATCCTCAGTAGTTATGTTATAAACACCGATTTAAATATTTACAGCACTGTTCTTAGGTAATTAAAACTTAATGCTTAAGAACAAATACCATATCCAACTTAAAGGCTACCCATTCTAGCCAATAATTTTTGCAAACCCTATTAACTATATATTTAATTAATCCAACTAGCATAGGAAATAAATTTGGTTGTATTGTCAGAAATTGCAACCAAATTCACGTTATTAACATAAAAAGAGTAATACAGAGTGGTGCAAAAGATATGCATCGATTTTGAAGGGCTGTAGAAAAAAAACTATTCAACTAAGAAAAATGAGGTTTATATTGTTTGATTGCGCTCACCAGATTTGACCATTTTCGTCTTTTTTCTTTGGGGATACCTAAAGGAAAAAATTTTTAAACGTCGTCCACACAACCTGGAAGAACTTAAGAAGAGAATTATTGAGGAAATAATGGCTATACCCATCAGAATGTGCCGACAAGCGGTTGAAAACTTCAGAAATCGCCTTTAAGAGTGCATCGCTGCTGACAGTCGCCATTTTAGTGTTGTAATCTTTAAAACTTTATGTAAAAAACTAGATTGTCTACTGAATTGAACAATATAAATCTCATTTCTCTAAGTTGAATAGTTTTTTTTCTGCAGCTCTTCAAAACCGATGCATACATTTTGCCCCACCCTGTACATAGTGTCACTAGGTATCTTATGTCAAAGTACTATCCTGAAGTCCTTTTAATACATCTCAGAGTTTTAAAAGTTACCATAAACTTCATTAACTTTTGCACCAAATGAAAATTTAGATTATAATAAAATCATGTACAGATAAATTATAAACACATTGCAATTTATATTCTTAAAATTAAAAGTCGATATTAACTTTTTTTTTGAAATTCTTAATTGATCAATGTTTTTCTGTTTTAATAATTTATTTTAGTTTGATAAACTAATCATCACTTTAGAGTTTAGACAAAAATAAAGTAGTAATAAGTTATTAATCAAATGTTTCATTAATGACTAATTAATTAATGAATACTTGTATTCTTCCAGGAAGAGAGGAAATGCCTCTTCCTTGACCCCCTATAGGTACCTATGAATTGATGTTGGGTTTGTTGAGTAATATTTATTGTTTATTTTTTGTTCTAGACTTTTTACTATCGGTTTTATTTTATGTTTTTTTTAATATTAATTTTTTATATATTATGCAGTAACACCACTATAATAATTTTTAATGCCATTTAGTTATAATAATTGATATATTATTGTTAATAGATGACTTATAAATTGACAATACAATAGATGTTAAGATTAAAGATGAAAAGTATTATGATAGTGCCTTTAATTTATATCCTTATATTTATCCTCAAATTTTAACTTTATTACTAAAACTGCAAAAATAAATTGTATGGATTACAAATATTTTCAACAGTCGATAGTCGCTATAGAGAGATTCAATGTTTTAAATGATATTGTTAAAAAACTATTAAAGATTGATATATTAAAATGTTTTGGTTTATATCCATGCCATTGTATTAGCTCTGACGTTATGAAAATGTTAAACGCTCCATTTTCAGAGATGTTCATCCCGTCCTTACTGTGGACGTCCACCGCACTTATACTTTCTCAGTTATACACTCGACTAACCGACAAATGAAAAATATGGAATTAATAATATTACGTATAAATTTGCATATGACTGGTAAATTAGACAATTGGTTTTTCCAAAAACTGAATGTAAAAGAGAAATAAAATCAGTGTAATAACCAGAATAAAATTATAAATTTGTTGACATTTTAATTGTTTTTGCTGTCAGTGTTTTTAAAATCAACTTTAATCAATTCAAATTATTTAGCTCTGCCCAGATTTACATAATAATTATTTATTTCATGTTTACTTTAAATATTTTGTAAATTATTAAATTGTTAAGGAATATGATAAATTATATACAATTATACAGGTATTTTTCACTTAAAAGATATATACCAGTTTTTCTAAGGATATAATCATAGGAGGTTGATGTCAGAATGCTTAATATTTAACTTCTAAATATAATTATTTCCAATTGTTCTAATGAACTACTAGGATAAATAAACTTTAAAAATTACTTACATGGTTGCAGTGTTAATGAACATTTGTTTTCTAGCTAAACACAGCCTACTAGTGCCTTGTACGCTGAAATTTAACAAATGTACTTTTAATTATAATTTATTTAAATTTTATGAACTATGATCATGATTAACAAAAGTAATGTAGAATATATTATATTTAATTATAAAATACATTTACAAACATATTATATTAATAGTACAATACATTATAAATTTATTTATTATAAGTAACATGGCAATAATTACATCAATTTAGTAAACAAAACAAATAAAAATATAAGCAATATATAAGTAAATTATAATATTTTAGATCATAAATATAAAAATAAATTTAAATTGTATAGCTTATTCAAGAGAAAATATTATTTGGAATGCATATTCTTGAGAACTAGATGACTGCCTAAATAGTTGTGTGTGTTGCCAAGCTAGTTCGCCCGAACCCCCAAATAAAGAAGCACTTAATATTATTGATGAGCTGCCAATGAACTTGTTAATAACAACTCCATCAAGACTTTCAATAACAGGCAAATCTTCACTACAATTTTTTCCATTTAATTTCCATTCTACTTTTCCATTATTAAACAAACTTGTTGAATAAATTAACGTAATATCACGTATTAACAAACCAGTTGTAGTAAAGTCAAATTTCCATTCAATTTTAGCAGACATACTATTTTCTTTTCTACATAAATATACCATTTTCCAGTCTAATTCTTCTTTGCGAAAAATTGAACAATAATTGTAAACTCCATTTTGCCAACCTTCAAGGGTTATTCCATCGTGTATATATTTATCCACAGCAGTTGAATATTTTAATTCAAATTGTTTTTTATCAATTTCAGCTTTAGTTGGAGTCCAAACATATTGATGGATTTTTGTTTCCCTTCGAGTTAATTTCCAATCGAGGGATCCAGATATTCTACCATCATAATTATCTGCTACAGTATTATTAGGCTGAAACAAAAGCTCAACACATTCTTTTAAACGTCTTTCAGCAAGATACTTACGCCTCGATATGGTACAGTCAATTTGTCTTTGCTTTGACAGTAATAAAATAGTTTCCAACAAATCATTTTCTTTGCATAGTGTTCTTCGAAGCATAACATCATTCTTTTTAGCAGTATATCTCCATGTTACATCTTGAACTTCTTCATTTGAATAAGCTAAAACATAAGACAATTTTTTCCCCCAACCTTTCTCATATAATAATGGTTTGTCAATGGCAGTTTCACAAGGGTCACAATGAATCCATCGTTTTTGTTCTTCTGTCCATACTTCTGTCCAAACATGATCTGTTTGGTCAACCACATATCTAGCTTCCCATCCAAGAGCTCGACAAAAAAGTGTAAAGCTATTAGCCCATTCACCACATCTGCCTATACGAGTAATAAGGAGTTGTTCACAAAGACTATATCTTTTAAAATCTGAAATTGTATAACAGTTTTCACATTCATACATTTCAGCATAACGTACATTTGATTCCGGAACATTATGGTTAATGCCTTTAAATTTCATGGAGATATTACAGCTTAAGCATTGTGGAGTGTCGAACCATTTAAAAAATGATTCTTTAAACCATTTCATGAGTTCTAACATCATTTTTTCATGATAATATAGTTCAGTTGGAGACGTATTTATTACTGAGTATTTCAAAACTTGTTCAGGTGTTAAATATTCCAAGGCCATTTTTTGCAACAATTTGTCTTCACATGTTAAAACCGCCAATGATGTAGAATTAATGTCTTTCAGGAAACTATTATCTATAGCTAGAATAGAATTTTTATCAACTGGCATTATTTTTAATAGCTCTTGTTTATAACTATTTAGTGTAATTTGATCAATACACGCAGGTAATACTAAAGAATTATCATCATCAATAAATCCAATTTCTAAAAGAAATTCCATAGCACCAGCAAACGGTAAAAGTCCATTTTGAACTACATCACTATCTAAATAAACTCTTCTAAATTTTGGCTGATATGGATTCTTAATAATTGTATCAACTATTTTAATTAAAAGTTTTGTTACTTGAAAACAAATATCTGGCTTATTGCTTTTTAAGTCATCTATACTTTGTAGCATTGTTTTATTATAAACACTAAACAGTATAATAAATAACTAGTATACAAAGAATTATGAAAAAAATATAGTTAGGTAAACATAAAAGTAATATTACCTTCTGAGAAAGAGAGCCATTTTGATGAAATTAAACAATTAATGAAAACTTAAAATTTTATTTCACACAACTTAAAAGAAAAAAATTTTAATATCGATATCTAATCATATGGAAATTATCATTAGACATATTATTTTGTCTATGGAATTTTTTGTCTTTACCATGTCACTTTTACCACGATAACCTACCGGATAGATTAATGGGATCATAAACTGTAAACGTGGTTACTCTGTTTATAATCCAAAGTATTATTCATGCTTATCATTTATTAACACCGCGATAACGCTATAATAAATAAAAATTACACCAACAATTATAATATTTACAAAACGATTAAAGATAATATTATATTATCTTTATTCTTTAATCGTGATTCACAATTATTTTTTAATATATATCTGTGGTCTTGTATAAAAATGATCCATTGTTAAAATAATATTCATCATGCTTTTTCACTGTGTTACTTTGATTAATTTGACTGTCATAAAAACATTTTAAAAATGAAATCTGTTATTGCAGTTCATGCTGGTAATACAAATGTATAGCTTTTTACTCTTTATTAGAAAATAATTTATTTTATATAATTTTAGGGGCTGGATATGTAAAACCAAGCAATGAAAAATATTACAAAAAACTTTGTTTAAGAGCTTGTAGAAAAGTAAGTTATTTATGTAGTATGTAGATAGACAGTTTTTATTTTTAATCTAGTTTTTTTTCGAAATCCTCACCCTAACCAGATGTTTATTCTAGAAAAAACTTAAGCACTTATGGTTATATGTAATAAAATAATAATAAAAACCCTTATCCATAAAAATCATAATTTATTTTTATGGTTAAGGGTTTTTATTATTATTTTATCAGATGTTTATTATTTTTTAAAAGTGGGTATGTTAAATGTTTTGTAAGTTATATTTTGCATAGGGTATAGGTTAAAGAGAATCATTTTTTTTTTGTGCAAGAAAACAAAATAACATCTCTACAGGCTACAATAATTTATAAATTATATAGTTGGCAATAATTAACAGTTGTATTTATTGAAATATTATAATTTAAAAAAAACTCGAGCAACACTTATGGTTATATATAAGTAATATAAGCTACATTTTTTACTTGACAATTGTTTCATTTGGTAGTCTGTTGGGTATAAGTTCAAATTGGGGGTGGGTTAAGTGTAAAATTTGTTAAAAAATATATTTAGTGATAATATGTATTTTTTTTTTTTTTTTTGGTAAAGGTTTTTTTTAAAAAAAATTATTTTTGTACTGTAAATTGAAAGTATGTATTGTTTCAATTTTTATATTTATCATGGTGGGAAGGGTAAGGATGGTCTGCTGCTATTCTAGAAGAATGAAAGTAAAGTGTATACTTCAGAATTATTCAGAATAAGTTCAAGCAAAATTATATGTGGGTGAATTTTGTAGAATAATTTGACTTGATTTAGATTTATCATTGGTTTGAATTATTGAACTTTAATCTTCAAGTAAAAAAAATTATGGTAGTTTAAATTATGAGACATTGTGGCACGTCCTCTAATTTATCAATTCTGTTCAAACTGTGCTTACCCAAGATAATTTTTATATTAATACATTTTAAGGGATTGGAAGTAATAAATAATAATGGTTCAGCACTGGAAGCCGCCACAACAGCTACAACAGTATTGGAAGATTCCCCATTAACAAATTCAGGCTATGGGTCAAATTTAACTTGGAATGGATGTGTTGAATGTGATGCTGGTGTAATGGATGGCTCTACTATGCATTTTGGAGGTATTGGAGCTGTTCCTGGCATAAAAAATCCAATTACCCTAGCTAAGCTGTTATGTGAGAAACAAAACTCACTATTATCTTTTGGAAGAATCCCACCATGGTATACAAACAAAGTATTTTATTGAAATGTATATAGTTATAATCTAAAAATATACAGTTTGTTAGTAGGACAGGGAGCTCAAGAATTTGCTCTAGCAAACAATATTGTAGTTGTTAAACCATCTGAATTAATCACAGGTATTTTTAAATTGCCTTATAGAAATATTAAATGTCTAAATCTATATTTATTATAGAAAGAGCAAAAAAGCAGTTTGTTTCAAATAAATATAATGTAATGAACCATAGTTTGGATGGCCTAAAGGTGTAGTTTTTTAAATATATATATATATATATATATACATCTAATTGGTACCATACATACAATTTTATAATACCCAATATATTTTAGGAGAAAAAAGGTCATTTGGATACAGTTGGATGTGTTTGTATAGATAAATTAGGAAGAATAGTTGCCACATCATCAAGTGGTGGGATTGCATTAAAGCAATCTGGACGCGTAGGACAAGTAAATCCACTAATTAAATTTAAATAATCACTTCAATTTTAACAACTGATTCAATGGTGGGAATCAATAGGAGATAAAGAAAAAGAGTTTATACAAAAGGCTAAAGAAAGAAATGTGTGAAATGTTAAGGGATACAATATACATGAGGTATGTAAGACTTACGTATGGCCACTTGGATTAAAAGTACCGCAAAGAAGATTGTTTATAAGAATAAGAGTAGTATTTCAGAGAACAAAGAAACGTGGTGGTGGGATGAGGAAGTTCACAAAGTTATAGCGAGGAAATAAAAACCAAATAAGCTATAGCAGAAGAACAGGAGGAGAGAAGATTGCATAAAGTAAAAAAGTGTATGTGGTAAGCTAAGCAAAGTTAAAAATAGAAAAGGCACTAAGAAAGATTAAAATAAGTTAATTGATAGACTAAGGATAGAGAAAAATGGTCTAGGGATTTTCAAAATGTATAGTGTATAATCAGTGAGGATAAGCGGATATTAACGAATAATGAGAATGTGGAAAAGAGACGGAAAGAGTATTTTGAGAAATTACTGAGAGAGAAGTATCCAAGAGAGAGTGGCTCGTTGAACTAATGCCTGGTAGGTTTAGTAAGAGAATAGAAAATATGGAGGGCTGTAAAGAAGAAAAAAGCAGAAAGACCAGATGGAGTACCAGTGGAAATGTGGTTAATGATTGGGGAAGTGGAAAACTGAAAAAAAGGTAGTTGGATGCTATTGAGATTGACAAGAGGACTGCTGGTGTATGTGAAGATGATGTGGGAGATTGTGTTGAGTGGAAGTTTAGGACAAGGGTGGTCGACCCCTAAAAGTTGGGATGAAGGCGAAGGAGAAGAAGAAGACATCGCGTGGATGATTTTCAGATATATCCGTGTCGATGGTTGTTGACCGACGTTTCAGACTCTGCAGAGTCCATTTTCAGGGTTGTCGCGACCATCCGAAACGTCGGTCAACAACCATTGACACAGATATATCTGAAAATCATCCACGTGATATATTAATCCGTGAAAGTTTTAACACATTCATAAGAAGACATTGATTTTAATAACCAATTTATTTAAATAGACAATATAGTACAACCTTTTATGTGGTTTGTAGTAAAATTTATATTTTCAGGCTGCATTAATTGGCGCAGGTTGTTGGGCTCAAGTAAAAAATAATGTTTCCATAGCAGTGACGACATCTGGTTGTGGAGAACATTTAATGCAGACAAACCTAGCAAAAGAAATATCACGTGAATTGTTTAAAACTGAATGTCCTACAGTTGCAATAAATAAATGTTTTGATGAACAATTTTTTCGTTAGTTAAAAACCTACTAGTAATAATTTCTTAAGTTAGAACTTATTAGTCATTTTTATACATTTTCTAGAATCTCCATTGTTAAGAAACAATAATGAAAAACTTGCTGGAGTACTCGTTCTCTATGAAAGTGAAAATTATTATGAAATACTGAGTGCACATAGTACAAAATCCATGTGTGTGGCCTTTGCTTCCGAAAATAATAAAAAAGTATAATAATATATCTTATTAATATAAAAAAAATAGATTTTTTGGAAAAAAGAGAGGGAGTTGATATTTTCACTTTAATATAAAACATCACTATTTTAGAACTGTATTGTAGAGTACAGTATTCGTCATACATTATAAAATGTATTTTTGAAGAAAATACAAGAATAATTTCTAACTAATGTTGAAATTAGTTAAAAACTATGAAAAAAAAAATTAAAAACTTATTTAACTGAATTTATTTTTAAATTAATCATTATGATGTTATAAAATTAAAAAAAAAATAATCTCCCTCCCGCCCTTTTGAACTGTGATTAATTACGTTATGTATTGTTTTAGAGTTTTGTAAGCCGTATAACACATCCAAATACTCCGGGGACATGTGTATTGGTTGAAGGGAATCCTATATAAATATTCCTCGTTAATCATAAAATAAAGTATACTACCATTTATAAACAAAGTGTTTTTTTTAACTATAGATGATTTTTGAATAATTGTATTAATATTTTCTTACAGACAGTCTTTTGATAAGAAATTGTACCCCAATAATTAATAAAATTACTACTTATACTAATACAACTGTAGTCCAATTTATCAGTGTAGTTTCATATTTTAGATCTGAAAATTGGACTAAAGGTAAATCTAGTTTCACATTTTTTCAAAAATCTAGTCGATCTATGGCGTAGATTGGCAAGAATACTCACACTTACAAATGCTTGTATTTTTATATGTATTATACGAGTATAATATGTAATATATGTTGGTGTATATTTTTTTCCTTCAAAATACCGAACATGAATATGGAAAATACCTTGGTTTTATTTCTTTGTCAGCCATTGAACTATCGTCAACTATACGCTATAGCAATATATTGTGAATTGTCTATATACTGCTTCTGCCACCATACAGTGGTCCAAAATAAAAATAAAAGTGAATAAAATTTAAAAAAATGATAAAACTGGCACAATTTAATCCATTAAACATATAATCTGTGTCATTAATGATATGCCATAAAAAAAACCAGTACAACGGAGCATATTAAGGTGAGGGAGGTCACAAGTGTATATAAAATGTTACCTACCTATAAGTGATAAAATCACTTTCAAATAAACGCTTAGATGCGAATCTGTGATGTTAGAAGTACAAATATCGAAAAAAGCATTGTAGTGACAATGATGTGTTAAAAAAAGATTTTCAGATATTAAACCTAAAAATTTGCAGGAAGGAGTAAAATAAAGTTTCCAAGTTCCGCATTGAAGCGAAAGTATAATAGACATTTCTGAAGAAATTACTAAAATTTTTTGGACAAGAACTGTTGACGTAAAAGTAATGATTATTTCTTATTATTTTATTTACTTAAAATTCTCAAAAGAAAATCAATCACAATTATTGTGAATAGCGTATAAATATTAAAAAAAAATGTAATTTCGAAACTAAGATGTAAAGGGTTTAGTTTGGGTTTATTAGTTGACAAAAACCTATTTCGGTCGACCTTTTATTTTACTAAAAACAATATTCATTTGAGTTTATTCAATTCACATTGAGTCGAATTTCAAGTGCATTAATTAGAAAATAACAAAAACAATATAATTGGCATTACAATAAATAAAACCATTGTTTGGAACGTACTATTTTTTACCACGACGTGTCTTTTTTAATATTATAATATTGTAATATTATCGATGTCGTAAATCGTACACTCGAAAACACCATCTCGAATGAGTAAAAAGAAAAACAAATATTTACACATCTGCCACTCCGGCGTATATTTACTTAAACGCGGTTTAAAAACTTAAAACCAAATTATATTTCTATGCTTACGTAAGTACAGTAAATCCCGTACTTTCGTTAGTAGCTCCACGTATGTACCTTTTGCGTTAACAATTAATGTAATTTCAATGATTTTATATTCATTAACAATTTACTCCTGCTCAAGTAGTTGTGTCTCGCTGTATATTGTGAGTAGGTTTACTGGCGAAAATGGCGCTTTGAGTGAAGTGGACCGCGTCGGTGATCACTGTGTTGGCCTTTAAACAAAATCTGTATACTCCGTTGTTCAACAATTCGAACGTCTACAGTGACCAACCGAGTCGCAAGAAAATGGCAAAGAAATCATATGCAACGACTTTTACTACATGTTGTGGTATCAGCATCTGACGAATCCGCAGTACTTTGAGTATCCCGACCAAGTGGACATAGGATACATAGGATCATCAACAACTCGTATCCGGAATGGCCGAGGGCAAATGTTGGCGACCGCGTTCAACATCGCCCAGAACGACACCACCTTGGCTGCTTGTATTTGTACGTCAAGCGGATAGCAGTACACGTGGCCAATTCAGAGCGCGTACAACACAGATGTATGTGATGTGCTTTCTAGTACGATGTTGAAGACCAATTGCACAAATTTCATGAGTACGTGCAGTGGCGTATTTTGGGGGGTGCCCAGGGTGTCTGGACACCCCCCTGGCTAAAAAAATGTATTACACATAACAAGTTTGTATTAAATATATAACAAATGAATTCATTTTTTTTTATAATGAAATCACTTATTTAACAATACAAAGACAAAGGCATTCTTTACGTTTACATAACTTTACCGACATCTGACTTTTCGGGAAACTTGGTTGCGGTATCGGGACTTCTGGGCAAGCACTGGCACGACCTGAATCTGAACTCCAGTCTTGGCTGTTTCCAAGAGGAGAACGGTACTTCTGATTTGGTACCAGACGTTTAGCCTTTAACCGAAGAACATTTGACCTTGAAACTGCTGTATTTTAACGATGTGTTCGAGAACACAATAGGGACAACACAGCTGACGGAATTCAAAGTGTAAAGAAAACAGAAATCGATGTGTCAATCGTTTGAAGCAAAAAATGAACGACATCAAAAACGGCCGTACGTCTTGTTGCTGGCGGGCTTTGTTGCAGTGGATCGAATTCGATGAAGACAGTCAGTCTTCCGATCAACACTTCGGTCCACAGAATGGTCGTTTTAGTGGGATGCTTCAGCGAGGTTATGAATGTGGGGTCGAGCAAAATTTTGTATTCTAGCGCGGTGTCGATTAGCCTAATACAAAATTCTGTGGGCCGAAGTGTTGATCGGATTTATGAAAAATATATTTACCGATATCCATTTCAAAGCGATCCAATCGTTGGTAAAGCTCAGCACATCGTCACGTTTGGAGCGATTTGATGAACACAACCGTACGATTATTAATTTACTCTACATTGAATCATTGTCATATGTTTTTGGTTGTATTGATGTGTAGTATATAAGTATTGAACTTGATTATAAGTTTTTTTTAAAAAACCTTTACACAGAATAATACATTTGCACTCATATATAAATTGTAATATCATAATTAAAAAAAAACTATAGGTACTCCATATCCAAGTTCTCATATTAGCTCTTCTTTTATTTAAATATCGATGCTATAATACGAGGATACTAGACGAAATTATTTTGCATCGAAGCGTTTAGTAGTGAGCAAATTTAAATTCATGTTCAGATCAATAAAATGGCGCGACTCCACTTCTTACCGACTATTTTACACCGTTCTTAATTTTTTTTCTATAACCGATTTACCCTATTTACTTAATCGATGTGAAAGCCCACTCAGAAGTTATTTTATGGGTATAATATTGGGAATAGTTCATAACTTACCTATTCTAAAATAACTTTTTCCAATAGGCAATAGTTTTGTCAAAAAAATGGACCATTTAATACTTATTGTGAAATTAGTACATATATGTAACTCTCAGAGTTTGGATGTCAGCTATTAATTATATTAATAGTTAAGAACAATTATTCTTATGCGGTTTGTTTTTAATAACTTTAACTTATAAGTTATAAGTAAAGTTAAATTGTAGTTAAATATAATACGTACTTAATACTTTATTTTATGAGACAGGGTTAAAAGTAAAAATGCTAGTACAGTGGAATCAGGGCATAGTGCGAAGGAGCATATTGCGGGATGGGGGATCACAGGTTTATAAGAATTATTTCAAGTTGAAAATGATGTAAATTTATCGGGTGTTTTTCTCTGTTTTAAATAGGATTTTCATCACGGGACTATACAAATTTTAGTTACTAACAAATTATTCACATAGAAAAAACTTATTTAAAAAATTAAATACATTTTCTTCCCAAGAAAGTTATATTAATACATTAAAAAATATTTTTAGTTAACAAAATACATTGGTGGGTATACAAATATAAATGACAAAAAAAACTTTTTTTAACTATTATTTCTAAGTTATACAAAACATATTACACTAATTAAAATATATATATATATAAACATTATACATTTTTGATTTTTGTTAAACTAAATTGTTTTTTTTTTATGAATCTGATCACTAAATGTATAAGAAACAATATACATATCACAATATTAAATTCGTTGTTTTTTCATATCATTTTGTTACCATAACTATTTTTTATTTTATAAAAATAATTAAAAATTATAGACTTACACAACAATTAAATAGTGTAAGTAAAGTGTTTATGATATATCTTTATCTCACTGGTTACTTATAAAAAGAATAATAATATACATATAAAAATATCTTAATCTAAAATGTTACAAAACATTTATTTAAAAAATATATTATAGAATAACATATACTACAGTTAGCTTAATTGTTTTTTTTTATTAGGAAGACTATTTGTGCTGTTAAAAACTAAAAAGGAACAATTTATTATATTATATAAAAATATTTAGCAGTTATGTGAAATTGTAAAAGAGACAATGTTTAAAGGAAATTATACACAACCATATTCATACCAGTTTGAATCTTCATTTGTACGCAGTGGTTTATTCGGTCGCATTGGCTGATTGCTCTTAGTTTCATTGAATTCTCTATCTACTAAACTAGACGGTCTTCACACAAATAAAATATTTTTAATTTTTTTAAATTATTGTTATACAGTTAATATTTTTAAGAAGATCATTTTACTTGTTTTCGTTTTTATAAGTAGAAGTAAGTGGACTTTCGGACAATGAGTGACTGGCTACAACAGGTCCATCATCACAATCCTTAAAAAAAATGTAAGCAAATCAAAACTTAGCCTAGGCAAATAAGACATGCATAAACTATTTACAAGATATTTTTTGTTAGCTAATTTAGGCCATAACTGCTTTTTTTGATTGAGGTAACTTAACTGTGCTTCGTAAAGGTCGTTAAGTCAGTAAATTAAAGTGCCAGTTTTGAATTGGGGACATGATTTAATTACTGCCACCCTATGATCTCGCCCATACATCCCTCATTACAATATAGAGTATACATTTTTAATAAAATAAGCATGGATGTTGTTTTTAATATTGGTATACAAAATATGTATTTTTAACTTACGTTTTCTTCTCCTGAAAGATAGAGGGTTTGCCGTGTTCCAGGTGTACCTAAGCTGCTCAAGTTGTCTGAAAACTCTATAATTACACAAATAAATGTAAACATATTATTATAGGTAATTAAGAATTAGTTCTATTAAATTATATTATTCCATGTTATACTATGCTTACCATGAATATTTGATTGAGTGTCTTCTAAATCTAGGCTCGTATCTGAATCAATTCCTCTTCTGGCCATATCTTCATGCCAGGATGTACGACTCTAAATAAAATTACTGTTATATAGTATAAATATAGGCTAGGGATTACTTATTAAAAATCATTTTTTTACGTAATTAACATTCACATAGTGTAAAAGGGGAATTTTATAAAATGATTGTTCATTTCATGAACTTTGATCGTATTAGGTATGTTTTTAGTTTATGTGATGGACATAAATTCTGTCTAATTAGTGAAATAGAAACTACACTTTTCAAACACCTTTACACCTAATGAAATAACTTTAAACTATTAACTGGATAATAATTTGTGTGTCATGGACACAGCAAAAACACTTTCTTCAAAAAATCACATTTTTAAAAATGTACCCCTCTCCCACAAAAAGCAGAATTAGTGCGAAGAGCTTTCGGGGTCACATATAAATATTTAGTGAATATCATTAATCAGTATAGTGTAAATGCATAGTACATACTATTCGGTCAGTAAAAAGCAAAAATGTTTTATATTATTGTTTGTATAATTTTTTTGTTTACTACAGTAATACTTTAATTATAAACAATAACTCTTCAAATGTGTAAGACCACTAAGCATATAATTTTTAAATGTTAACTCTTTCAACTGTACAATGTATATTATTAATATTATACTTCAGTAGGAAGGGCAAAGGTAACTGTTTATAGTGTTACAGGACTCAGAATAATGAAATTTAGATATAATATACTGTATAATGTGCAAGGGGGAAAAACATAACGCTAATAAAGAGATTATTAAATGTTTTAACGGGATGAACAAAATATAACTTGCTTTGACCGTACCGTGACTACGTTGTACCGACACTATCGACACGCCTTGCAGTTACTCCCATTTGGATATCTTGACTGATTCGCCAACGTCTACGGGAGAACGCGGTACGAGCAACATCGAACTAGAGCCCTGAAGATGGAACATGCAAGTGTTTCGAAACGTTGACGAACCAGTTAAATTATCCAAATAGGAGTAATCGCAAGGCGTGTAAATAGTGTGAATATAATACCCCATTTAAGTTTTAATAATTTTTTTATGTTGATCCTTCACACAACATATACTGACTTGGGTTACAGTGCACCAGAACCAGTGGCGTTGGTCCCCCGGTGATGGAGAGGTGGTGTGTTCACTTTTTTCAATATATATCATAATTAAAACATCTTTATTTAATATTGTGTAAAAAATAACAATACTTATATAAAAAAGTTTTGAATTAAATTTAGCACAAGAGCCTCTTGTGGAAAATAAAAACTTTAAAATCTTATGACGGTTTTCCGTTTAGTGGAAAACCGCCATTACTTCCAAAGACTTTCAAAAAGTGAAATTGACCCATTTAAACCAAGGTCCAGTTTAAATTTACTATACTTATGTTTGCTATTCTAATATATAATCATACATCAACATCACTCCTCCCCTCTCTTCTACATCAAATCCTAATTATTCCACTGATGTTTATTACATAATTAATGTTTTGTTATTCATGTTATACATACTATTTTCCTGAATTATTAATAAATGTAGGATTATTAAAAGCAGTACCTTATTTATCAGTTCTGTTCCAGCTTTTTTAACTTTTCTTATCCAAGTAGAACCAAAAGTTTTCCTAAAAAAATATCATACAGATCAAATAATTAAAATTAATATTTTACAGCACTGTATTCCGTAAGTAATCTGAGCAGAATATAAATAAACCCCAACCAACATAAAAATTACATTTTTTTTAAATTTTTACATTAATTAACTACTCAACTATACATTTTTTATTATAAATATTTTTTTATAAAAAAAAAGTAAAACATTATAGTTTTGTTTAAAGTTACTTTTTGTTAATGCTGCAACTGTTAAGTTTTCTATAATGATCCATAATTTTTTCTTCAAGTTTTTCTTTTTGTCGAGACAAATGATTTAATTTGTCACTAAAATATTTCCAATTTAACACATAAATACTAAGCAAAATTAAAGATAATTATGTATTATTATTATTATTGGAGTACTAACGCATTATTTTTTTCTTCTAAATGATATTGTTCTTTATCCTCTAATGATTGCGTCAAAAGTTCATGGTATTGAGTAATTAGCATAGTTACATGTTCCATTAGAGATCTTCTGTCCTCTCCAAAAGAACTTGTCATTTGTTGTAGTACCTTAAAATTATTAAAAACTAGCTAGATTAAGCCATTATTTATTTATTTTTAATTAAAATATATTTTTACTGTATATCGAGCATTAGCATCAGTGAGTTTAGATTTAAGAGATTCTATTTCTTTTAAATGTGTGTCAACTAACTCTCCAGTATCAAAACTGTTTCTTAAATCTGTTTTCAGTTTTTCATTTATAGTAAACAAAGCTCTGAAGTCATCCTATGTATAAAATAAGGCAATTTAAAATACATCTGATGTTAATTAATGTTTTTTAAAAACTTGTATAAAATACTTTTAATTTAGCATGTTCAGCTGGTAAATGTTTCAATGCAGCAATTTCTGCCTTTAACTGTTCGTTTTCACGTTTTAACTTTGATTCAACACTTCTTAATTGAGTTAATTTTTCTTTTAATGCTAATCTTGCATCTTTTAAATCACTTTTTAAGGAATCCTTCTGTTTAATTTGTTCTTCATACTCACTTGTTAATTGGTTGTGCAGTGACTGTAACTTAGTGAAAGCAGTTTTTATCACATCCAATTCTTTTTGGGTCTAAAATAAAAGAATATAATAAATGATACGAAGTTGTATTAAGTTAAATAATCTTATTACATCTTCCTTTTCTGCGACTAACTGAGAATTTGCTAATTGTAACGCAGTGTGTTGGGTGTTAAGAGATTGTACTTTGGATTTTAATGTTGTTAATTCAACTTCCATTTGAGCAACATTATCATTTTTTATTTCATGGCTTAAACTTGTACTAAATTTTTCTCTAACTGCTTTGACTACTTCAGGACTTGAAACAATCCTAAAAGTAAAATTATACAAATTATTCAACTTTTTTTAAAAAAATTTAATGAATAATTTTCAAAAATATGATAAACCTTTTCTATGATAAATTCTATAATTTTAATTTAAAATAAAAATAGAGTGATTTTAACTAATAGTTCTTAATTGGGCCAAAATACTTCAGTAAATGTACCCTAATAATGTTAATACCTAGTAGGGTTTCGCACAAGATTTCAATGTTATTTTACTCTCTACGGTAATATAAATCAAAAGCCAATTCCCAGTAAAAAATCGTTAAAAAAAAGAAACATTTGAATAAATCTTCTTCAGTACTTTAAGCTAATTAAAAATTATTAGTTAGAATACTCAATGTTTATATAAAGTTATTTTAAGAGAAAAAAATAATTTCATATTTTTGAGATTTAATTAAACCTCATATGTAAAACATAGCCCTTATTTTATCATGTATATAAAATTATTGTAAAATGTATGGCTACTGACCCAAGATGCGAGGCCTTATTATAATAAAAAAATTACTAATAAAAACAAATTATACCTCATCTTATCAGGAAAACAATTTGTTAAATTTAAAAATTTAGATTCCAATGAAACAGTATTCATTAAATTTATGATCATAATCACCGTTTTTACAAATAATATAAAAATTGAGGATTACTAGTTTCCAAAAAAAAAAGAGGTTGAAATTTGCACAATCTAATTAACATTAGTTAACTGTCAACATTTTAAAAAGCTTTCTGTTTCTTTTTTCTAGATTAATTTTTAAAAAACTAATTCTGAAACAGGTATCAGAATTCATACAATGTAAAACAGAAATAATTGCAAATACGTGATGCAGTTTTACAAAAACAAGTTATTTATAATAATTTAGATTATTTTAAATTTTTTAGCAAACTATTATGGAGTAGAAAAACGTACTGAGCTAGAACATTTTCAGGTTCTGCTGACTGGTCCAGTGCTAAGCCTAATCTGTCTAAATTTTCCATTATCTGTTGAGATCTACGTTTTTCTGTCACCAAGTCATCCTGAACCGCTTTAGTAGCTGCCACTTCAACTGCATATTTACTTTCCAATTCGTGGAACTCATTTTGAATAGCACGTAATTTAGTTATTTGTTTATCATTATCATCCAAGTTAATACAAAACTGTTTGTTTTCTTTTTTCAATATTTCAATTTCACTTGTTAAGTTATCAATGGTTTCCAACTTATTCTAAATATTTCAATAAACAAATAAATAATAATCAGATAATAAAATATGTGTCAGTTTTTAAATGAATAAAATCTGGATTTCTTGAACTGCTTCAATTTAATATTTGATTCAAAGAGGAGAAGATATATTTTTTTTTTAATACATTTTTACAAAAAATGTATTTCAGATACAAATTTATTTATACATTTTATTTATATTGAGTATTTATTATACTTAAAATGTATTCAATACATTTTTCTTTAATCCAGATTTTCCGGGTCTTATTGCTATACTTACATCTAATATTGATTTTAACTTGGCTACATCCTTTTCTAAATTACTGTTCTTAAGTTCCAAACCTTGAACTAAGTCAGATTTTTCATTACTATGTAGTACTTGATTCTCTTCTAATTGGTTTTTAATTTTTTTTAATTCTCTTTTGGCACTTTCCAAATCTTCAGTTTTTATCTAAAAACAATTATGTTAGTTTAATCACTTTTGGGAATATTATGTTATAAGTTAAACAAGCATTTCATATTAAACAAATTACATTTCTAATGATGTTTGCACAAAAAATACTGAAATTTAACTATAGTTAATCTTGTGTTTTAGTTTTATTAAAATACCCTTAAAGTAAAACAATAGGAGAACTAATATTTACCTCAATTTGTAATTTAAGTAACTCATTAGCTTCAGATAGTTTTTTTAACTCATTTTTAATTGTGTACAATTCATTTTCTAATAAAGAACTGTGTTGTTGTAAACGGTTTTTGATATTTTCCGTTTCTTCAAGCTGTAAAATTAAGAAGAAAAAATTGTCCTTTTAGAGAAATATAGATATTACCACTAAAGCTATTGATACCCGAGCACCTAAGCATTACTATTACTATTCATAGTTATAGTTTTTATTGAGGTAATTAGGAAAATGATTACCTGTAATGATAACAACTTTTTATCCTTTTCCAACTCCAATATCATTTCATTATTTTGATGCCTCATGTTTTCTTGTAATGATTCAATAGTTGATGTAAGTTTTTTATTTTCTAATTCAAGTTTAAGAGCATGTGACTGAGCACTGGTACTTAGCTGCTCACATAAACTATTATCCTTTGATCCTACAAAATAATCACAATAATTTATTATGAGATGTATTTTGACTTTCGATAAATTCTATGATAATAATATTTAATTAAGCAAATTAATAAATAATATATTAGTATTTTTACACTCTGCTAAATTTATCCAAGGTAGGCTATATTGTTGTTTAAAATAAAAATATTAAATCTAATTATTGTATAAATACATTTTATTATGGCCTTTTTTTAATGTGTTTTTCACAGTATGATTTTTCACTTAATTATTATTATTGTAAGACTTTTTTGACTAGAAGTAGGCTTAAAAAGGCCTAAGTTTGGTTGCCTGAGAGGAGGATGGAAGTTTCTTTCTATAGACAGTCTTCACCCAGAGAGAGAGAGAGAGACCCATATGACTAAGACTGGCGACAGTGAACACAAATGATTAACATGACATAAACCAGGGCAAGAACTTGATTAGGTGTTAACATAACTATGAGTCCCAAAGTTAAACTGGAAACAACAAAGGGGAATCACTATCCATTTATCTAATAGAATTTACATAATTATATAAACATCATTGGAATTTAAGATAAGAGTTATCAAGTTCAAAAATCAGTAAATGTGTTGGCTTTGGGTAATTTTACATCAATTATTGATTTAATTTATAAATGTATTCAATAAATTAAACTTTGTCACTGCATTGATAATGCTTTCAAGTATTTATTATTATAAAGCATTCGTGTAATATGTTAAACTACTTCCTTTTTTCTGATCAATGTGTTAGTGTGCTTACTCACATTAATTTTGATTAAAATAGATTATTTTAAATGAACACTTGCCAAAATTATCAATAAAACTATCATTATCATTGTTGCCTCGGGAGAAACTTTCATTATATTGATGCGATTTGTTCATCAAATCAAGTTGTGCATTTTCATATATTAATTCATCAATTTTTCTTAAGTGTGCATCACGCTCTAATGTCATTGTGTTAATTGTTTGCTTAAAGTGTAATAACTGAGATTCCATGTCTTGCATTTGGGAAACTCGTCTTCTAAATTTAAGTAGTTGCTCCTCAAGGGTCTCTCTAGTTTCTTGTAGTAAAAGGTTGTTTTGAGTAAGTTCTTCTTCTCTTGTTTTGTAATAATTCAAATCTCCAAGTTTTTCTTTATATTTTTTTATTTCCGTTTCAAGATGTTCGCAGTTTGCTGCTTTTTCTCTTAATGCATCTACTTCATCTCGATAAGCTTTAGCTGATCTTGCATCAACTTTGATCTGTTGAATCTAAAAAAAGAAAAAGTCAAATAAAGTATACATGCATAAATATTTTAGTAGGAAATCTGTACTTCCGTAAAATCATTAAAATACTGCTAGGCTAAATGTTATTTACTATCCCACCAAAAATGCTGTTTGTAGATAGTGAGTGTAAGTTACAAATTAGATTATGTATTATAAAAACCTAAAAATTATAATACCTCTTCTTTTAGTTTAGCTACTGTGTGATTTGTTTGTTCAAGTTCTTCCTTAGTTTCAGCTAAAGCTTCAGTTTTTTCTTCTCTATAAAATAATAAAACACAAATCAAAGCATTTATATACGACAATTTTTATTACAAAGATCCCAGTCAAATTTATATTTAATTAAAAACTTGTTTATCTTAAAATCTAATTTTAAAATAAATAATAATACAAAAACATTAATATATATTTATATATAATATTATAAGAATTTTATCAAAGCCTTTAATTTAAAAAAGCTTATATTTTAGGGGGTGTTAATTTGGATCTTGGAAGTGCTTAGATCTCTTCAGATTGCTCCAATTGCAAATATGTATACAAATATATAGGGTCCTTAAAGAAGTCATATGTTGACTTAGAATAGTAGGCAAAAACCCATCCAATCCTAGTCCAAGTACATACCAAATGAAAAACTTTTTGAAATAACAGTATGACATGTATATGCATAACATGTATTGTTATGCTATGAGTGCATTGTTCATAAAAATTTGAGCACAACAATGAGGAAGTGAAGAGAGGGGTCAAATACCTTAACAGGCCTTATGGTTAATTTTTCATCTTCTTAACAAATTTAACATTAACCTTAATAAAGTATAAATACACTACTATCCTATAGACATAGTGAAATGTGTTTTGTCTAACTGAAACCTAAATGTTTGGGTGGGAGGGGAAATAATTTTTTTTTAACTGCAGGTTGTTAATCCTGGCCCCTGGGTATGATGAGGTGGATAAATTTGTTGGATTATTTTAGTAAATATCTTGCTTGTTTTGTTTTTTTTAAGTGATTAGTGCTGCATTATAATTGTATTTGAATGATTCATATATGAATGAATACATATTAATTTAATGTATTTGAGGTGTGTATGATTTTGATTTGATAGAAGAAAACTTGAAGCCTCGAAGTCCCTTTAATTAATTTAACTGTTGTGCTAAGGTAAATTATTATCCTCATAACCAATATAAATCAAAAGAAAATGTGAAATATCTATCAAATATCAAATAATATCAATTGTTTCATTTATTTATTTTCATTTAACCATAATAATTATTGTTAGACTTAAGTAATTAAGAAAAATATTCTAAAAAAATAAATGTGATAGCACATTTCTGACAAATGAATACGTCTTCTCTAAATATAAATTTGGGACACTAATATCTATAAGACACTCGTGGTTTAAGTCTAAAGCAAAACATTTCTTAACACACCAGTGTAATTTAAAATAGTAATTTTAAATACATAAAGTGGTTACTTACAGCTCATGTCTCAATTTCCGGAGTTTAGCTTTCCAATCTGCAAGTTCTAAAGCATAGTTTTGATTATCACCGCTGGAACCAATAGATGTAATTATGGTTGATCCAATAGGTTTGGAAATATTATTTCGTTTTTCTTCCAATTCTGTCAACGTCTAGTTTAAATTTGGTCCATAGTAATTTGAAAAATGTATTTATTTGAAATATACGGTATATAAAGGGGTAGTCAGGATTTTTAAAAAATACATTTTTTTTTTTAGCATTTTCTTAAAGTATTGTCTCGAAAATATTATCTGAAAATTTCAAGTCAATCTAAGGAATAGATGAATCGATTTAAGTAATTAAATAATTAGTATTTCTATACAAAAATCGAGTATAAAACTTTTTAAATGAGTTTTTTTCTAAACTAAGTTTTCAAAGTAGGAGACCACTGTAAATTAAAAACCACTTGACAGATTTATATGAAATTTATACAGCTTATTAAAAGCACATAAAAATAGAGCCTCATCAAAGGATTTTTTTTTATTAAAAATTTTATTTTTTATAAACAATAAACTAGTGCTTTTTTCCTTGAAAATCTTTGAGTAAATGATCAAAGGTTGCCATTTTGTTTATTTTCAAAAAAAAAAGATTAGATCAGGCACTAGATTAACTATTAAACTAATGATTTTTTTAGGTTTGATTGATTTTAAATGAATTAGTAAAATTGTATGTAAGTCACTGCAAAACACGACTTGTGAGACGGGGTCCAACAAATATAGCAATAACTTGGTCTACAATAATTTTTTTTTTTTTAATTCTTGTCAAATAAAGTTAAAACATAATATAATAACTTGGTATTAGTAATTTGTTTTATAAAATAAATTATACTACTGTCAAAAAAAAAATTATTTGAAATAATAATTTTTTCACCCCGCTGACTACCCCTAACCCCTTAAGGAACTTTAAAAGACAAACGACTAAGGAACTCAGAACAATCAATATTATTATGAATAACATGGTAAAAAAACATAAATCAAATTTAATTATCCATAATTCAAGGAAGTCGAAAGCAAGAATAGACAAAATTGGACCATAGGAAGTATGAGAATTATGTTTTTACACTCAAAGAAAGAGCATTTTGTTTATACCGTTTTTAAGTGCGTTTTAATCAAATTTAAAAAGAGCAGCACCATCTAATGGTTTTAAGATCATTAGCAAATTTGAATTTGACAAAGAAATATTGTTATTATAAATAAGTAATGAATAGGTGCCAAACGGGAACTTTAAAGTACACCATTAGTTTGTTGAAATAAAGAAAAATAATATTTCTACTTGACTAGTTACGAACCATTAGAAAAATATGAAGAAATCAATGATAGGAATAATGTATTACAAATGCCGAAAGATGATAGTTCCTTTTAGCTTTGATGCGATATCTGAGGAAGTATTAGTATTTTTTAGAATAACATGACTACAGCAGTATCAAAGTCTTTAGAAAAGTTAGAGTTTAGAGAAAAAATCATTTTTTTGGAATAAGGAAATGAGGTCATGATTAATTACATTGAATAGATTGGAACCTTTATAGATAGGAAATACTTAAATCGATTTCTAGAAATCAGAAATAACACAAATGAAAGGGAAAAGTAAAATAGATAATGAAAAATAGGTTAGGGAAATGTATGGAAGAAATATTAATTTTATTAAATAATTATTCTATAGTTACTTGTAGATACTGATCTCGTTCTTTAACTAGTTGCCGAATATGAGATATCATGAGATCTGTTGTCAAATGCTCTGCATTTTCTTGTGTAATAACTAGTTGTTGACTTTCAGTTATCTATGTATCATACAATTTTTGTTATTAATATTAACATTTCATTCATAATTAAAGTTAATTAATATCATTTTGGTATTAATGTATTTATTGTAATAAATTTGTGTTTTTTTTTAAATATTCTGTTATTTATACTGAAACAAAATTAAAATTTGTGGTACCTAATGTGAAGTTTTAGAGTTATAGATATAAAACTTAATTTATTTTAAAATACAATAACTTTTTTAATATTCATAGCGTTAACAATCACATATTCCACTGTCTTGTAATGTCTAGTCCATTTGATTGCATTATGATAATGTAAGTAAATCAAAAGTTTATATTTAACAAAATGTAATATGTTTATTAATTTTATAGGTGTACTCATATCTTATTTTGAAGTATAATTTTTATAAATAAAATTTAATTTCAAAATATGTATTTTTTTACCTAACATAATGTCGATGAGTAAAACCCCAAAACCTAGTCATATTATTTTTGTTTAGCGAAACAAGCATGCCAATGTGGATGTAATTACTAAAAATGGTTTAGGTAGAAAAAAAAATGATAGTTTTGTTTTATGGTACATACTTTTAAATCATCAAAACAGTGAAATTAATTTAAAAATTCACAAAAATAATATTAATAGATGATGTACCTAATTCAAAAACTGTTAATTATTGCTTATTTTGATACTATTAATAAACAAGAAAATATTATTTTAAATAAAGTACATTGTGTGATTGATAGATTTGTTTCATTATTTTACCTGTTTAATGTAATGTACGAGAGCATGCTGAGATTCAATGGGCAAGGTTTTAATTCGCTCAATGAATTTCTCCTTATTAGGACATTGGACTGCACAACCAAGTAACAGTAATAATAATAGTTTCATATCTTCAAAACTACCTTTAGAGTATGGTTCTCTTCCAAGTCGTAAACAGTCTGGCATTGTTAAGACCACTTGACCTAATTCTTCCTATATCATATAGATGTAATATTATTTTATTAAATAAAGTTTGTTATAAAAATAATTTATAAGAATATAGTATAGCTCCCAAACAATTTTTTCTATTAAAAAATGTGTATTTTTTTTAACTGAAGATGAGGGTTTTTCAGATTTTTCTAGTCATACTTAGTTTTTGAAGTATAGCCAAAAATCAAATTAAAGTATAAATGCATGTACGCCGACTGTTCCTTATCCCCCCCACCATAGGATCATTAAACATTTCAGTTACTTTTAAACTAACTATAGATATTATATTTAATAAGCACTGTGGATATAAATATGTTTTGCCCAGTTTAAACTGATTAGGAAAACAATCATCACAATAATAGTATTAGATTAGCTCCAACAAGTTTTTTTTTTATCTTTAAAAGGGTAGAGTAGATTTGTTAGGACCTCGCTTGCAGGTCACCTCTTTTAGTCCCTTTAGATGAGCTAATTTTTCATCTGAGGATTTGGGGAATGAGCCCCTATCTGAATGAGAGTACAGCAGTGGTTTGATCTTATAGTTTGTAAGCTTAGGGAATCCCTTATACTGAAGTAGCCTGCCCATGCTCCTAACACATCACCAACTGCAGTACATTGTAGTGAGTGAATAGACAAACAAAATTACTCATTACAATGTTTACATAAAAAGTTTTTTGACTATAATGCAAAAACTATGTGTGACTAGAGAAATTTGAAAACACCATTGTCATCAACGTAAAAACAACATATATAAAAAAAAAATCAAAGAATTGCTTGGGAGCTAAATTAGATTTGTCTCAAATGATTACCTCATACAACATTTTTATATTTTTTAAAATACAATTTAAATTTTGTACTCTTAAGGCTGGATCGTCTTGGCCAGAAATAACAGCATGGTATAAAGGTTCAGGATCTCTATGAAATAAAATATAAATTAGATGATAATATCAATAAAATTAATATAACAAACATACATTAGAAGTAGGACTTCATAGATCAATGTACCATCAATTAAATCATCATAAATAGTTAGTTTGTCAGGTTGATCCAAACAAGATTGTAGCTAAAAATTATTATAAATATGTTATATGTTATTGTATATTATGTGACAGAAATAAGCAAATATTTTATTACCCAAACCACAAGATGTTCTTGCATGAATTCTTCCTTCTCCATTAGAGTTATATCCATGGTACAACATTAAATATTTAAAAACAAGGGAAATACACAACTATTTCTACATACAAAATCTTACTGCTGAAATGCAATTTAGTTAAGTAATCATCATACCACACAAATATATTAGTTTATTTCATTGCTATACAAAATACCCTGTTTATTTTGTTATGATAATATGTTTAAACATTTTTTTTAGCATACTTATTAATTAATATATTCTAAAAATAAAACAAATTACAATTTATAAGCAGAGCAAAATAAACAAATTATTTAATTCTTTAAATGATAATAAAAAAGTAAAAGTAATAATTGCAAATCAATTGATAAAGACAGGATGGTACCAACAGCCATGGCTAATTATATCAGGTTATTGCATTTGTACCCCTCTCCGTTGACATTTTCGATGATAAAAATAAAATGGGAGCCAATCAAATTAATTTATTTTATAAAGATATTTTGTTTATTTTTATTAAAAACATTGATATCCTCTTCCGCCGCATTTTGGGAATTGATAATATAATAAAGTGGGGATATTCAATAACCTGGTATATTTAAGTCATGGCAACATCTATACTATCTATATATTATTATAGGTAAATAGATATATTCTACAGTAAATAAACAAATAGAAATAGGTACAATGGATAAACTCGTTATTAATTAAATATAATAATAGTTTTATTATTTGTTAGGTTAGGGTCAAGTTTATTAGTTCGTTATCAAAGATAATGTAACATCTATAGATAAATGATTATTCAATAAAGCCTTGATAATAGGCCTAAGAGGCTAAGCAGCTGACTTCTGAGCTTCAGAAGCTGTGAGGTGAATCTGTGATTTCAATCTTAAATTTAAACGAGTAATTATCATCATTCATGAAGTTTATTATCATTTATCATGCTTCGTATCCTAATAGATGAACCGTATATTATATGTTTACATGATAAATGTATTCTATAATTCATGGCCTTCTTGAAAGACTAGTGGTCGAGTTTAAAACTACTATTTACATCTTAGTCTATACAATTTTCTTTGTTTATAATTTATATTTTCGTCATACATAACATTATTAGCAATAAAATATTTTTTATTTAGTTTATTTAGTTTACTATAAATTACAGAAAAATGTCGTTGTTAATGCCATCACGAGAAATCACAAGAGTTTTAAATGTGATTGGTGAACTATTTCAGGAAGAAGGTATACAGATTTGTGTTAAAGAATCATTCAAAGGTGGTCTTATAACTGGAATTTCAACCATAATAGGCGGTCTACTTGGTGGTAAAACTGGATTATTAGCCGGTAAGAAGTTTTAATGTTACATTAGTATAAAATATATATTAGTTGTTATTATGGATTAGTTAAAAATATAATTGCTGTATGGGTAAATCATATTATATTAGTATATTAAAATAAGTTGGATACATTAATTTGGTTTTTAAAAATTATAATAGTTATTCAACTGTGAAATTTTGGTATGTATACAAAATAGTGATGTGATTTTTAACTATTTATTAATTCTGAAAATGTATTTATTAAACGGATAAGCGATGATAATTTTTTACTGTAATAGTGTACCTTATTTTAGCTATTAAAACTTTGAATCCTGAATTAATTATTATACATTGTCATTATTTTTATCATTGTATATAATATATAGATATTTGTTGTTCTTAGTTATCTTATTTTATTTTATTAAATTTGTTCAATTTATAATGTCAGTATTGAATATTGATTTAACAGTATGCTGTGCCAATCAAGGCAACTAGAACTCTTTTGATGTATTATACCAGGAATAGAAAATATTTTTCAAAATAATAATTAAACTGTATTTCTCTAAAACTGAAATACCACATTAATTTTTGAGATAAAATGTACTTGGTTGATCACCTCTAAAGCCATAGGCTGTGCTGTTGGGGAAAATTCCAATTACTGAAAAATATGATTAATAAAAATGTTACTTATGTACTATTTTGAGTACAATTAATTTTTTTTTTTTTAACATCTATATATTACTAGCTGTTTGTGTACTCAGATTCATAAATACAATTGCAACATCATTAATGTAATAACAGCAGTGAGGTGCAAAAATTCACTTCTGTGGTAACTCAAGTAGAAGTGTAGTAGAAAGTGCAGCTCCTTTGGACACGTCAGAGTTCAAATCTCATCTGAGCTGTTAGTCTTTTACCTTTTATTTTTGGCTTAGTGTATTGGTTGCATCCCTCGTTACTCGATTCCCAATAGATGACCATTGCAATCCATACCATATTCCTACCCAAGCTTTTCAACTTACAGGCAACTTTCCAACAGTTAAAAGTCTAACTTAAAAACCCCAACCAAATAACAAGCGGTCCGAGTTGCCAAAGTTTGAATAAAATGTATAATTATAAAATTACATTCAGATTTTTTAACCTTCTTCCAATATATATGTAACTTGCTTCTTTCTACATGCTTATTGTCCATATTCATGTGTTGAAATAATGTTTAAGCAGGAGTTTAAAAATAATTTTTTAAACATTTTACTATTAGAAAGTAAAATGGTTTTATGTGATTCCCGCATTATATCTTTAAAAGATTATTCTGCGAGCAGTTTTTTATTTTTTTATTTTTAAAAATAAATTTAACACACAATAAATATATATTATTATATGTAATCGGGTTTAAAATTAGGTTGCCAACAAATCAAACATGGTTTATCTGTCCGGATACAAATGTTTTTTCTAGACCAATTCTAAAATGTATAATGGAATTGATTCCTAAGTCCTATGTTCAAAACCATATAATAGTTATATGTTGTGTTACCTACTTGTTATTATTAAATTATTGGATACTTGTGATCAAAATTAGAGCTAATTAGCTTAGACTAAGTCTAAAACAATTTTTTATTATCATAATATTAATTATTTACTTCTATATAATAAATCATTTTTATACATATAGGTGGACTTGTGGGTACAGTTGCTGCCGTAAGTATGGCTCCAAACTACAAATCTCTCTTAGAAGTCATTCATGAATTGGATTATGAAACTCAAAGAAAAATGTTTGATGCTATTCAAAATGCTGTACAATCTGTTGATTTAAAAGACGTGGTGAACTTAACAATAACATTAGCTGCCAGTCAATCTATTAAACAAATTGTAATAAGGGAAACAATGAACTTTATACAAAATGAGTTACAGATGGCAATCGCTTCCAGTTAAATTAGTTATTTTAATGTACAAATATTGACTGTCATAATATCAGTTTAATAATGTAAAAATAAAACATAATTATTCTTATTGTTTTTCTGAAATTATATATTATATAAAAAATTATAAAATTATAAAGGATTTTTAAAATTTAACCAACTTATTCAGACATTCTTTCTTCAACATCGTCTTTTCTTGTTAAAATATCTAAGTCTTCATCATCAAAGGTTTCATACGACATATCTTCACTTAATGAACCGTTGTCATCCAAACTATCAGTAAGATCATTTAGTGTTGACATCAGCACGTGCATTTGTTTTTTTCTTTTATCTAATTTTTGATTTAACTCGTATCTGGTCATCTGAAATTCAACATCAGTTATCATTAAAACTATAAAAAATAATTACCAAATAATTTACTTTTAATGCTTGAAGCTCGTCTTTTAAGTCGTCTAATCTTTTAGCGGTTTCAGTTCTAGGTGGGTGTTGAATAATAAGTTTGGCAAGTACATCATATTCCATTCGGTTTCGTCTAATAGTCTTAGCTTTTTTTAACTCTTCTTTGGCACACTCAATCTCAAGTTTTGTATTATCAATATTATGATCAATCTCGCTTGACATATCATCATATATTAACATTTCTTGAGCATTCATTTGCGATATTGCTTGGGATTTTTTCATTGCGTGTTCACACAAATTTAGATGAACAAACATTTTTTCCATTACTTTATGACTAAACAAAAATGTAATTTCAATATAAATAATAAAAAAATAAAGTTGGTGATTAAGTACAATAACTCTAGATTGAGAATTTATCGGTAAAAAACCTGTATTACAATGGTCTGTGGCGTTATTTGTGGGATGTCAAGATAGCATTATATCTGTTCTCTTTGGTAAATGTTAGATAATATCTGATCGAGTATGAGCTTTATTGCAAGTTAAATTATTTATCAGGCCATCCTAGACTTTTTTTCATCTATATATTAAGAAATTGAAGGGAATATCTTATTTGTTTTTCAATATACCTACACAGTATTTGACATAATAGTACTGTTGTTAAAAATTCATTTTTAATTTTTTTTAACAGTTTCTAGAAAATATTTGTAAAAACATATTATTAGACAAGTAACCTTTCCAAAAATTCGTTTAGAAAGTATTTTTAATCTATTGCAATTTGACTATACTCTGTTTCAATAGAAAATAACCAGTGTAGAAACTAAAATGCTTTAATTTTGGTTGTGTCAGTGCAGTCAATAGTAATGCGTTTTAATTTCATCGCTGGTTATTCTTCTTTGAAACAAGGTATAGTTCTTTTTCAAGAAAAGAACTAACCCTTGGGCACCCATGCCTTCTCCCGGATACCCCCCATCAATATTTAGAAAAAAACAAGTTCAGAGTTTCAAAATGTTTGATAAAAGTGTTAATAAATATTTTGATTATTTTTGGGATAAATTTGATAACATAATTAAATTTAACATAGTATTATAGTTCTAAAATATTATTTATAATTATAATATATAAATGTAAATAAAGTTCTTTGTAATCTTATAATAAAACAGACAAGTCTGAGCATTATACAGTTAGTTTAAATTAATAAATGACACTTAGTACCTTTCAATAGGATCATTGTATTTTGTATTACACCATTTTAAATATGACTTCAACAATATATTCAACCGTCTATCGTCACCAATTCCATCACCATCAATCAGTAATTTACGCCAAATAACTTCTTCTGCAATATTAACATATTATTAATTATTTTTAATTTACATATAAAAAATACGGATCTTAAGACCAACAAAACTTAAATACTGGCCATCACATAATAACAGACGTTTAGTCATACTAGAGTTTGTTTATAATCCTCTTAAATCTATCTCATCTATCAACACACCTTTATTATTAACTCTAAAGAACAACGAACAAGAACACAAATTGTCTTACAATTACTCCTAGTAATTATAATAAAGAGCAATTCAGGTCTATAGTTAAAAGCCATATCTTGCTCAATATATTTTTTGAAAACAACTACATGACTCTGTTGTGTAAACAACATATCACAAACATACATTAAAAATCCCATTTTAGATAGCAAAGCATTAGCCAAGTGACAAGATTTTTTTTCTAAATAACTAGGTATTTAGAATCTATTATCTATACATGTACATAATAAATAGATAATAACAAAACTCTATAGATTTAAAGTGTTATATTACTAAAATAACCTACATAAAAACACTATTATACTTATTAAATTTTAGACAAGCCACTTCAAAATATCATTATAGGCCTTTCAGTTTGTTGCCATCAGAAAATGTTTTCTTTAGGATTTACTTGCATTTTAGCCCAACTAATGGGGATGCAAATAATGCATCTGGAGAGCTAAAATCCCACATTTACTTTATTATTATTTTGAGATTTTATGTTAGATATAGAAATGGGTTTTCACTAGGAAAGTTATAATTTAACTGACCTACTCCATTTGAACGAGACAAATTTAAAAAATACACATAAAATATTGATGAAAGATTTTAAGTGAGATATAAAATAAACCTATATTTGTATTATAAATATTATTGTAAAACACTAGTCAGTAACAAAATTATACATACCGTCATTCATTATAAAAAATATTGAGTTAACCAATGAACAAAATACTGTGTACAGTTTTCGAGTTCTGTTAAATGCGCTGATAATTTAAATTAAACAAATTTAATTCCCTCCACAATACATTTCTTAAATAAAGCAGTTGTTTTATTTCTCTTAAAATTTAAATGAACTCAATGCTCATTTCCTAATCATACGAAAGCCGAAAGAGATTAAATATAGTTATAATCACAAACACGGCCATAGATCTTATCATAGATCATGCAAGTATACACTGCGGTATAAACAAGCCATTGAGTATTTTTTTTATACCTCGGTTCTTCAGTTTGAAAAGATAAAAAAAAAATTGTTTTAATAAAAATATATTTTTACAACCTGCTTCCATAATTTACATATTATAATAAGCACAATCTTATTTGCGTAGTTGTGTTTATTCTGTGGTCGTGTAGGTATCTGGTTTAATATAATACATATAATATACCTGTGTGAATAATACCATTGGTATTATCATCATAGACTATGATAAATGATAATAATTAATAATCATAATATTATATTTTAAAGTTAAAAATAATGTGTGGCAATTGTCGGTAGAGACTATATTATAATTTAGTAGATTTAAAGCTTTATTATTTGTCGAAACAAGTAAGTGAAGATTTTATTGTATTCCTATAGACAAGTTTTTTAGGAAGTTTAATAAAAACCATTGTGAAAAAATGTATTAAATACTTTTTATTATTACCACTGAATCTGACTATTAACACTTATTTATTATTAATTATTTTAATTTTTTTGTTTTAGAAAGTAAAATGTCTGAGAGAAAAGTATTAAATAAATATTATCCACCAGATTTTGATCCTTCAAAAATACCACGTATGAAACTTCCAAAAAATCGTCAATATACTGTACGTTTGATGGCACCATTCAATATGAGATGTAAAACTTGTGGTGAATATATTTACAAAGGTAAAAAGTTTAATGCGCGAAAAGAAGATGCAGAAAATGAAGATTATTTGGGTATTCGTATTTATCGTTTCTATATCAAATGCACCCGTTGTCTACAAGAAATTTCATTTAAAACTGATCCTCGCAACACTGACTATGAAATTGAAGAGGGTGCTACACGTAATTTCATGGCATTAAAACTTGCTCAAGAACAAGAAAAAAGAGAAGAAGATGCAGAAAAAGAGGATGAAGCCACCAACCCAATGAAATTGTTAGAAAATCGTACACAACAATCTAAACAAGAAATTGAACTTATGGAATCATTAGAAGAGCTAAGAGATTTAAATAGACGTCAGGGAAATGTTGATTATGACTCTATGTTATTGAAATATAATCCAGCTGAGTTAAAGGAACAAATAAAAATAATGCAACAAGAAGAAGATGAAAAAACTGTACAATCATTAATAGAAAAAAAACGTAAGGCTCAAGCAGATATTAATGAAGAAAAAAGTGAAAGTGTTATAACTACTACATTATCCCAGCCAGTTGCAAAAAAAAAAGTTACTAAATTAAACAGCTTAAATTTAGTTAAAGTTAACAATACTGAAAATAAGCCTAAACAAGTATCTAATTCATTATCACTAATTGGTAACTATTCTAGTAGTGATGATTCAAATTAATTCCTTCTAGTATCGATTAATTTAATTATAAATACGGCAATACAAAATAATTATATTTTATGATTATGTAAAAAGATCGTCACCACTTTACTGCTACAATATTGATAAAATCAAATGACAAATATACAGAATTCAAACTAATGCATGTTTTATAAAGAACTTAAGATTCATTATCTATTGATCAGTATAAATTAAAAAAATTGTGTTACTTTTTTAATTTTTGTAAACGTTTATAATACATATAACTATATCATACATTTTTCTTTTAAATTAACTTTAATTAATTTTAACATGATAATTTGAATAACTTATGTGTAGCATAAAAAAAAAGTTTCAGTTTAATACATATTTATGAAGTAATTTATAAGTATTGATGTACATATGAAACGAAATGGCATAGTGACTGTAAGTGGTAATAAACATAATATTACTGTACATTTTTATCAATGAATTATAAAGTGTAAGAATTGATAATTAATTTAAATTGTTTTTTTAATGTTAGTTTATTTATTAGAGGAGCGCTGAAAATTTTAATGACTAACCTTTTACTTTTTTTCACAAAATTCTGTTTCTATTTTTTTCTAAACATTTGTCCACTTCTTAGTCTAATGTCTACTTTTACTCTAACATCAGCCTATTATCTCATTTCTTTTTCTTGTTATGTTACGATTCCCAAAACATCTCTAGCATTCTTATTCCTAATGCAATTCATTTTTTACTTTTAATAATATTAATTCCCATTTTTCTATTTTTTTTTTTTTACCTTTTAGATTAAACGACTGGTTGGTATACCAACCATTAGTATACTAATGAGTAATAATATGCTAGACAGTTTGTTTTTTGTTTATCCTATGGCTTACCATTTTACCCTGTTCATGTAAGAAATCTCAAATCCCCTACAATCTCAGATGACTAGCTCAACTTTTTAGTACATCTTCATGCACTTTTTTTGCATTTGATTAACCTTGGAAAATTCAAATTTTTTATTTAAAAAATTTTACTTAACTAATCTAAGTTTAAAAATATGAACTAATGTTAATCAAAACATTAAAATAATTAAATGATAGTTTACTAATTTTGAACTTTTAGGTATCTTAGCTTAGGCTCATGTTATAAGTAATGTCTTTTGCATGATATAATATAATTATTTTGTTCCAAATGAAGTTAAAAATAAGTTAACAGAATTTCATATTTTTCATAATTTTGTGGTAGTAACAATAAATAATTATATGTTGGCTTTGATAAAACCACTTTCAAATTTCAATTGAAAATATAAAAATGGTTAAAACCTAAAATTTAATTCTTTGATGCGAATCTAGAAAATAACCTATTAAACATGTTACTTTTTTTCTAAGAAAATAATAATAGTTATAAATTGGTTAAAGTTTGTATAGGGTACACTGTAAAAAAAATGTAAATATTTTACAGTCTAGTTACACGATACACCTACATTGAGTATCATAATGTATATTTTGCAATTGGCTAAGCCAATAATTTGTAAATGTAGGTGTAACCGTAAGTATTTAAAATAATAGTAATTTTGTGGTTTTTGTTTCTCAAATACATTTTTGTTAAAATAAAATACTATTTAAAACCCTTAACCATAAAAAATTATATACTCTCCGCGTATACGCTGTATTTTGGTTACAATGTTGTTATCTTCAGCGCAAACGTCAGACTAACATTTTTATTATTTTTCTTCAATATGAATTTTTTTTGAGATTAAAATTTTTAAGTTTAGAATAGTTAACTGAAAATTTTGTTTCGCCAATGAACTCTGTCAATATTAAACATTTATACATATATATGTATATTTTTTTTTATTTTTATGGTCTGGCTTTGTAAATAAAAAAAAATGTGCTGAAACAGTAAGAAAAGTGACAGTTGCAGCACACTCTCATCAGTTTGTCAGACTTTTATTTTTTGTTAAAAAGTGAGCCTGATGTATTAGGTTGGTATCAGCAATCATAGCCAACTAAACGGGGTAATTCGGTAAATAATTTTTACATTTTACAATCTACAGTTTTCTTTGAAGCATTTATTAGAATTAAGTGCTTTATGGCACTCCCCGCTGCTTTATATTTTCTGTGCTGGCAAGGAGTAAATACAGAGAAAACGTTTTAACGTTTTGGTTAGTTGGACCAGAGTGGGGTTCAAATCCATTTTCCAAAAACTACTTTTATTCAATGCCCGTCAAATAATTAACATAATCAAATGAAACCATATGGCAAGAGACTTTATAATTATCTACTTATACCTTCTAATTACCAGGAGACCTAGGACTTTTTTTTTTTAAACAGTTTTTTTTTAGTCATTTTGATCACTAATTAATAATTATTATTTTTTATGACTAAACCTAAAGTTATTTATATTAATATAATTAAACAATATTTTTTGTCAAATTATTGATTTATTTTTTAATAAAATATAATGAAACAAATTATGAATTAGCATTTGGTCCTCTCCTGCGTCCAAATGTTTGAACAACATTGACAAAACGTCTGTTGTATTGAATACGTCTTTTAGATCGTCCAGTTTTCTTCTTCTTCTTTTTCTCAACTTTTTCAACCTTAGGCGTTTGTCCCTTAACTTTACCAGCACGTGCTAGAGAACCATGGACCTTACCTAAATAACACATGCAAGTATTAATAAAAAAATTAAGAATAACATAAAACAGAAATAAATTTAAATTTACCTCCAAGTAATGGAACAATAAGATCAACATTGAAATTGTTTAACTCTCCAACAACTTGATAGTCATTAAGTGGTTCACCTTGGCAGTATAAAGAAATTACGTTTTCATCAACATCTTCCAAGAGTGCTAATTTAGCCTAGAACATCAATGAAAACATTAATTTTAAGTTTTTAACTAATATTAGTTTAACAACATTAATTTAAATAAGGCCTGGTTAAACAATAGTATTTCACTGACTGTTTAACTAATTTAACTAGCAGATATAATAAACTTCTTATTAATCATTTATCAGAAATAGAATAAATACTAACTGACAAATAAACTAAAAATGATTTAACCTTATCAGACCCAGCAACATTTTGTGTTAATTTTTTTTCAATTTTATGTTTTATTGTAATCTATATAAAGCGTACAAAATATTTTTAAAATTTTTTTACAATTATCTTGTAAAATTCTTGCTAGTACACTATAGTGTACCCTAGGTCTAAATGGATGTTACTATGGATTAATAAATTCATTTATTTAAAGTCGGTACACTATAGTGACCCGGGGGTCTGATAAGGTTAAACAAAACGTCTTACAAATAAAAATGTATTGATATTTGAATATATTTAAATAATGAATAAGAAAAAATTTCATTACGTTTTAAATGTAATACAAAAAAATATATATATAATAAAATAAACATTTGAAGGGCTGGAGAGAAAAAAGACCAATGTCACTTTTCTTTCATTCTGAGAAAAACATGTTTTTAATTTCAAAACGTAATACATTTTGCCTGTATGCCTAAACTTCCAGCGGTCATTACTCTAGACTAATCCGTTTTTTTTCCTGGTTCGAGCGCATAAAAGATACAATAAGTCAATACAAATAATTTGATACCAAAATCTCATTTTCAAAAAAAAAATTAAAATTGATCTTTTTTCCCCGCAGCCCTCATAAGTAATAAAAGATTTCGGAACAAATGCACTTTACCACCCCACGCCCGAATTTCGTTTTTTTTTCTTCAATTGATTCGTTTTTCAATTCTGAAAACGATGGAGCAAAAAAAAATTTGCGGAAACGCTTAGTTTTAAAATTACAGACGTTTAAAGATCGCCGATATCGACATACGCGCGCGCCCAGCGCTGCACGTCTACCAGCGGCCGCCGGGTACTTCATTCGACGATCGCCGCTCTTGACATAGCGGGCGTTCGTTATACTATTTACGAGCGACTCCCTTGTCTACTTGCCTCCCACCCGTCGTAATCTTTTTTTTTTTGTATTTAGTATAAGTAAACATTAGTTTTGAAATTACAGCTATATTCAGGTTAGACAGGTCAATTAAGTTTTAATTAAAAAAACTCATAATTAAATAAAGCAACTCCCTACACCTACCGGCTTCGGGAGCCCACTCGAGGCTCTTTGGGACTCTTCGTTAGGATGGGGGGGTTCACGACCCCAACCCCCCAGAGGGAAAAATAGCTCACCTAAAGGGAATAAAAAAACTAACCTGAAACTGCCCTGAAAGCGGTCAGCGACCTAACAAGACAAAACCTAGCCCAGTGTCCCGCTATGTCGAGAGCGGCGATCGTAGAATGATGTACCCGGCGGTCGCGGGTAGACGTGCGGCGCTGGGCACAAGCGTATGTTGATATCGGCGATCTTTAAACGTCTGTAACTTCAAAACTAAGCATTTCCACAAATTTTTTTTTTGCACCATCATTTTTAGAAAAAAAAAACAAAATTCGGGCATAGTGTGGTTAAGTGCATTTAAGCCAGGATTTCAAATAATTTATTTAGTATACAGTAAACAAAACAGCCAACATCCACTAATGACAATGCATTATGACGGTAGCAACTTTCTTTTTAAAAGTATAATATGACTAACACTTTAAATAAACTTCATATTATAACTGATATCAGGTGAAAACCGGTATAAAAAAAAATTATCACAAAAGTCAAAAGAATAAAGACTGCTGCATGTATTTATACTTTTAAACTTGCGCAATAGTAATTGCCAAAATTAAAGTAGCTATAACTTGATATAGAAGAGTGCATAAGTCACGTTTAAAACAATATTAAAAAGATAAAACACTGGTACATTAAGAGCTTCGAACCTATATGTAATATTTTAGACTGTTTTAATTGCTACGTGCAAATATAGCATATATAAACGAAAAAAACAAAATACATTTACATGAGCTGTATAACAAATTTGTTAAAACTGTGTAAAGACAATAATCATTTTACCTTAATTAGTGAAATGTTTTCAGCACCTTCGCACTCCAAGGCATGGGTATTCTGGCCTCTTATGAACAACTGCATTTTTGAAATACTGAAAAATTAATATTTTATGCAATTAAAGAATTTTAAAATACTAGTGCATACGATGTTTATTATAATTTTTGAGGTTAACAATAAGAGTGCTATAGAAAACTAGGCCTGTAGTTAATGTTTTCATACTAGAATTTAAACGTATTAACGACATTCTAAAAATTACTTACCTAATTTGAATATATTTGTAAAAAATACAATTATTCTAATAGTTTTAACTCGAGAAATTGGATTATTGTGAATGCCAAATGGACGGCCTAAAATATTTATAATATCAGATCACCGAAAGCATTAGGTGAAAACGTTTTGCCAAAGAGAATTATGATTACTCGAAAACGAGGTAGATACATAATATATGATTGCCAACATCTATACAGTGCTGCCTACTTAAATGAGTAGACTGGAGTAACATGAACATATTATAAAATATTGTATTCGCATAAAATAGATAAATCAGAATGGACAGAGATAAGAAAAATTGTATTATACTATTATCCACCATTGACCATAGGCAAGCGGCGAAAAATAGTGTTGTGTTTACTATGCAATAATTGTCCAGAAACTATTTATTATTAACACATAATAAACCAACGACTATATATTTTGTTAAAAATTATAGTTTACACATTACAATATAATTGTGTACCTTCACTTTCACCAAAAAAAAAAATTTACAGACTAACCCACACTTCATGATTAGTAAAAAAAAATAGTTTCTAGGATAAACATTTAAAAAGTTATCGAGTTTTTTAAATTGGTTTATCAAAAGTTTAAAAAATATGAGATTTGATTGACCCAACTCTCAAGGTACAAATGCAAATCATCAATTTTTTATTGATTGCAAATAACAAACTCTTATTGAATAAAATTATAAATTAAATACATTTTATAAATACTAATTCAATTATTACTAAGAACAAGTATATTTTATTAATTTAAACGTGTACATCAATGGAATATTTGCAATAAATTAAAATTGGTAAAATAATATATCATCCATTTAAATTAATAATTTTATGTTATCTTGCCTGTATCATAATATATTTGCAGGAACAAAATAATAATCACGATTTTTTGAAATTTAAAAAGTTTTAATGAATAAACTTAATAAATTATAACTAATAATTTAGTACATAACTATTACAAAAAATTATATCAGAAAAAATATTTTTATCTTGTAATGTGTATAAGAAAACAGCAGCTTAATGGTTTTACATTTATCGAGTCAAAAATCATATTTACATAACAATACTGGTTTTTTGTAAGTTAAATGTAGTATTTTTTTTTACAACAGTTACTCATATATATTATATAACAAAGAAACAAATACACACATATATATATATATAATAAAAAAAATGAAGCAAATGGGTTGTAAAAATACAAGAATACATTTTTAGAGTAAAAAAATTCTTGTCAACGACAATCAGGGCAATACCAATTACCTTTCGGAGCAATTGTGATGCCAACACAATCAAAATGAAACCATTCCACCCGACAATTTGGATTATCACATGCAATCATCTCTGATACCTCGTCATAAGGACATCTACAGTGACAATATAACCTTTCAGTACTTTGTATAGCTTTCTGCTCAGCGAATTTTGGGAGTTCTATAACTAAATTTCCAGAATCACTGTCGGTGTCATTGACAACAGGTGGTAGAACAGATTTACTAATTCGAACATCTACAATAGGCCTTGATTGTTGTACTGCTGATATATTAGACAAATTAAGTATTTCATGAGGAATTTCAGACTTGGATTTCCGTTTCTTTTTGGGTGGTAACGTGTGTTGAAGGTGTGGAGTTTCAATCAAAAATGAATTTCCGTTTGCAATTTTATCTTCATCACTGTCATAACCAAAAAATTTTCTTTTTTTTGGTTGTCGCTTTGATTGACGAGTGTCATTAGATGACATACTATGATTGGATGTGTTTATAGCATTTGTAGAATATAAAGAAGAATTTACTGAAAGTGGAGAAGAAGTATATGGCAATAAATTTGTTTTTGATATTTGTAAAGAGTTTTTAGATTTTTGAATCATCTTTGGTTTAGATTGACGCTTTGTAGGTCGTTTTTTGCGTAACGATAAATTTAGTTGTTCAATTGTACTCGAACATGATGAAAAAAAAGAATTGTGAAGTTCATACTGATTATTTGTGCTTGTGTCACATTTATTATTAACATCATTAATGCCATTTTTGCCATTACACAATTCTGTAGAAATTTGGGTAAAATTGTTTTCAACAGATTGCTTACTTAAATGAGGTACATTAGTACTATTAAATAAAGATAAGTTGTCATGTTTCTTGGGATCAGCTGTAGATTTATACTCGTAATGGTACAAATCACTTGATTCGCCATTTTCTAGTATTCGAGGCTCTAATTCAATATATTGGCTTGAAGAATGAGATAATTTCAATATGCTATCATTAGATAACAATACCGGAAGTGTTGATTCATTCTCAATATGAAACGGTTCACTCCTTTTATCCTGTTCTGCATTTATTTGCTGTGGAGATTCTATTACTGGCACACTTATATCTGGACGTAAAGGTACTGGATTAATATCATAATAATCTTCATTATCGGTATTTGAAAATTCACTCTCTAAATCAGATTCCACAGCACATAAATTAAAGTTTGCTATTTTTTTTTCACTTAATACTTTAATTTTCTTAACCTTTTTTTTCTTTTTGTGTTTTTTTGGACTTTCTACAACAAATTTCTTATCTTCAGCATCAGAATCACACGAAGATGAACAAGATGATGAACATGAACAATTGGATCCACACGAGCTAGACGAAGAGGATGATGATTTACAGTGTGATGAACATGAAGATCTTCTACAAGATGAATTATTGAAAGAATTGTTTAAAATATGTTCACTTTCGTGGACTGTAGTAGTTGCTTCTTGACAATGAGGAGACTGGAGGCGGTCAGCTTGACTAGTCGATAACAATGTGTAATCATGATCTAATAAGGCTATGTGAACAAGTTCCTTTTTCTGTTTACTGACATAGTCCCAATAGTTTGTAACAGAGGGACTCGGAGACTCGGCAGTTTTATCAGATTTATACCTAGGTGTTTTGTCGGTTTCACTGTCAGACGAAAGATTCAAAGGGGGCAAATTGTAGTTATCCCCCCTTTTCTTCTTCTTTTTCTTTTTTCTTTTAATTGGAGAAATTAGTTCCTTGTGAATAATTTCATGTTTAGCAAGCAATTTTTTTGTAATAAATTTGTTGTGGCAAATATTACATTCATATGGAATATTACCAGAGTGCCATCTTTCATGTACTCTTAATGATAATGCATTCGAAAATGTTCTTTTACATTCATCACACGTAAATATTGCTGGTGGTACACAAAAATGATATGTATACGGCCATTTTTTTGTTAAACATAATTTACATTCTTTACTGTCTCTATTGTGTTTCCAAAACATATGTTCAAAAATATCTTTTTTACTTAGATAAGCTATGTTACATTTTAAACACATGTGTCTCATCTTATGTTTATTTACATGTAGCGCTAAAGTTTGTTGATTAGGGAATATGTCCAAACAATAGTCACAAGCATTATGAGCCTTTCTCATATGTACCATGCATCTAAAAGCAGATGGAATTTTACCTTGACCGCAGAATAAACATCGAAATGATAAATTTTGCCAAACACCAAGATCAGCACCAGGACATAAATGACAATTAAGTTCACCATAATTAGAAAAAGTTATTTTACACATAATACAGTCATAAGTTTTTCTTGAATGAATACTACGTTTATGGGAATTAACTTCCTTCATATGTTTAGAAGTAAACTGACAGTTGAAACAAAAAAAAGTGTTGTCAAACGGCACATAACATGATTCATCAGTTGAATCAAAATTTTCTGAATTAAAGTAAACATTCTCTAATAAATTTAAGTTAGTTTTTAATATATTAACAACATCATCAGAAGATTCGTTTTTTACTGTCATAAAACGATGTTTATTTATCATGTGTAGTGCAAGCTCCTTGGCATTAACAGCAATGCAGGTTGAGTTATGACAGTAAACGCAGGTTAAACAAGATGTTCTGATACATTCTTTTAGTATTAAATTTAAATTAATATCCGTTAGCTTTTGGTCCAGCGTTAAAGCCATGACAGGAAGTTCATCTTTATTTTGTTTATATGTGACAACACTCTGTGATGTATCTGGTCCGTTAATCCAAGGATTTTTTTCTGATAAAACCGTAGATATACTTTTGATTCCCAATTTAAATTCTTCTTCAACACAGTTTAATGATTTACAGTTTATAGTATCTTGACTTTGTACAGTATCACTGTTAGAAGTTAAATTTTGCAATGCAACATTATTATTTATATTCATTATACTATTTTGTAGTAGTGGAATAGAATTGGATTGATGGGTATCTAATAGTTTCACAGTTTTATTGTCAGTCTCATCTGTAATAGAAATATCTGAACAACTTAAGTCTTGTAAAGTGCTTTCAGTTAAGTTTTCAGCTTTAATTTCTTTAATGGCTTCATTAATAATGTTATTAACAATTTCAGCAATTACTATTTCTAGAGACTGTTCAGACGTTTTACTACCTAAAACTACATCTAAAACATCAAAATTATCTAAAAGTAATTCGTCATCATCAGAACTACTTTGAGAAAATTGAGAAAATGTTGACGATGGTATTGGAAGTCGAGACATGGACACCGGTTGTGCAAAATATCTTTTATTCACACACTCTCCAAATGCATCTTGAGCTTTATGAATATCATCTGAAGCCACCAGCTGATGAATATCTTGTAAATGACTAATCAAATCTTTATGAATTTTAAATCTAGCTCTACAAACTATACAAAAGTATTGATGGTGAGATTCTTTAATGTGTTCAAACAATTTCATCGTTTGGAAATGTTTTCCACATAAGTCACACTTACTGGTACTATTACACAGTGAAATTTGTCCGTATTTACCGTTGGGTCTTTTTACTTGTTTATAATTACTTGCCCTTATGCTGTTATTTAAATTATTTCTCATGGCCATTTTTAAAGATTAAACATGGATATTAAGAATCTTTTCTGTGAATAATGTGTCTAAAAAATCATATAACAGTATTAGTGAGAAATAAACATATGCACATACAAAAAATTACCTGCGTTATCAAGCAGTATCTTGTTATTCCAATAAAAAAATTCAATAGGCTTCAAAAAACTGAAACAAACAAACAAATTAAATTATATAGTAATACAATTTTTTATAATAAATATTTATATACAGTTAAGAAAAAGCGAGTAACTATCAACATCAATACAATAAAAGTAAAATAAGAGGCATGGTGAAGAACAGTGGTTACTTCAGATGACACTGGTCACCTGAAAATGAATTTTCTATTGTTGAGTAACCACTCAGAATTTTGAGCGGCAACTCATATAGTATATTTTAATATTATGTCTATTAGTGAAATAGTTTCCTAACAGTTTTATAATTTGATTTTATTGGTTTCTTATCATATTACATATATACGGCTTTCAAAAACTTTTCCATTAAAATGTAGTAAATCGACTTAGTGCATTTTTTATTTACAGCCAGAATTTTAGTAGCACAACTAGGAGTAGTGGCACCATTTTATAAGAAGGGGCTATTCTAAAAACAGTATTTTATTTCCCATTTATAAATATGTATATAAGTATCTATGTGTATACTGAAGTGTGTTCATACATATGAAAAACGTGTACTAAAAAAAAAAATTAACATTTAAATTCATTAGTTAAATAAATGATTTGAAAAACTATGTATTTTATTAAAGCCAACTTAATTCTTTTTTTCAGTTAATATAATATATTGTACTTATTACAAGTTAACTTTTAAAGTTTAAATTTAGGTTCTTCTTATAAAATATTTTTTTTTTTTTTAGAAAAATATACAATCTGTACAGTTAAAAACTTAGTTAAATAATATATGGTATTACAATAAGAAAGTCATATTTGCTGTGTATGGTGTGTTTAATGATACTATCCAATGATGGAACTCCTATGGCTGGAAGAGACAACAAATTTTGACGAAAATGATATAGGATGTTTTATTAAGAACGTCGAATAGCCTAAAGCAAAAATCGTCATAACTTCTAAAATGTTTGTGCTAGAGAGCCCAAGTTTTTGTCGAATGATCCTAGAACGCCTGGAATCATCTGACAAAGATGTCTCCCTAGCACAACAATTTTAGAGGTCATGACGATTTTTGTTACTGGCTACCCGGCATTCTTAATGAAACACCCTATAGTATAATATTCTAAAAGTTAACCTAATTTTTTACTTGTAAAATAAAAACAATTAAAGGGATTAAAATAATAAGGTTCATTTTTTTTTAATGATAAAAACATTTTGTTCCAAAAATAATGTATTAAAATGTTCTAAAAGGCATAAATTAACTTTATAATGTTTTTAATTGACTTTTTTTTACCAAGCTTAAAAACAGTTTAGCTTGCAGAACAACATACTTGTAATCATATTAATCCACAACGCGGGGTAAGAAATACCCCAGTCTCACTGTAACTCAGATAACAAATGTACGCAGGCCAAACTTTATTAGAATGAGATAAAAAATTGTGCAACTAACGATAGGTTAATATCAATTTGTTGTATTAACAAAAAAAAGGAAATATTGGCTTGGTAACACTTTTTATCCTTGCTTGTATAATAATATACAATAAAATCAAATTGCATTCAAAAACATGCAACTTTTAAGTTTAGTTTTATAAAAATATTTTGTAGTGTTATTGAATTGTTTATAGTTTTAACCTTTAGTTCAGGGTGTATGTCAACACAAGTGGAAAAACTGCTCAAGATGTGTGGCTAATATAGATTGAAAGGGTAAAACATTTATTTTGCCTAGGGCAATTTTTTAGACATTCAAGTTAACTAATCCGTTTATCTTTAACATACCATGCACCATAGAGATTTGCCTTACAGATTTGTATGATTTGTAAAATTTTTAAAAATAAAGTGTAATGAAATAAAGAATCTGTGTTAAGTACAACTAGAAATGTTTCTAAACGGTCAAAAAGAATGAATAATAAAATAAAAACAATTTTAATATGCTTTTTAAATTTTTAATAGAAAAAAATTACAACTTTTTTTTGTGTAAATGATGTTAATATAGACAATTATTATTTGTTGATTAGTTTTAAAAGATAAAATGTAAATTGTATGATCAATTTAGAAGCTCCTGTGAGAAAGTGCCTACATTAAGATGAATTTGGACTTACTCTCTACGGAGGAATACCTAGATGAGCATTTTAAGAATTTTTTTAATAAACTAATTGTTTTTTAGTTTCTCTGTAAAATTGGTATTTTGGATGGGAGCTTCTCAATTTAATTTAATACAAATAAAATCTGTATAACAGCATATAACTAATTCATTAGAATAAACAAGATTTAAATGGAATCATGATGGCCATTAATTAGCAAAGATCTACAACACAAAAGATCATATTTTTATACAAAAACACTAAATTAATCAAAATTTGAAGTATATGTGTCTTAAGACCAAGAAGTAAAATAATATAAGCAACAATAGAAAACATACTGCTTGTTTTCTAAACTTAATTTGTACGATGCTAATAACGATAGAAGAATTTACATATTATCAACGTTATAAGTTATAACAATAACAGCTACGACAAGATAAAATATTCACAACAAAATGAACTACTCACAATATTTAAGTTTTAAAACGATCAAATAATTTGTTTCCTATATAATAATAATTGGCAATTGCCTGGTGATAAATTATCATATAATAACTACAATCTACAAACGATTGATGACTAATTGTACGAGTTCTTAAGGCAAAAATATCTACCTGAGCATGACGAAGATTATATTGAAGATTGAAAACAGTTGAATTTTACATTAATTCAATAAAATAATTCTTCGGAACAGAAACTAACAAATATGAGAATTTTTGTTAACAAACCCGTTGTGTTATTCCAAGCAATAGATATCCCTGTTCTGTCTCGAAAATGGCGTCGGTTGACAACATTTGAATAAACACGACTTATCAAGAGCCACTGTTGTTTATTCAAGTTCACGAACGTCACTTTTTCGTTTTAACGTATAGCAACTTATCTTTCACATCTACAGCTTTAAGATGATACGAATTTAATTAAAAGGCAAAAAAAAGTATGTATAATTTTCGTCGATACTTAGTCAGGCGCTACCTCGTGCCTGGCCTCTTTTTTCCAATTTTTTATTATTCGTTGGAAAATTTTAAGGGTCTTTTGAAGTTATCAAGATCGTTTATCATCACAATTTTGATTTTTCAATTTTATTATGATACTCATTTATTATTTAGTTAATATTTTGCAAAAGTTTCTTTTGTTTTACGGGGAGAATGTTTTGAGGTTATGATATTTTACAGAATAAAGGGAAGGTGCATAAGGGAAGAGAGGTTACAGGTTTGGTAAATGGTTACTCTTGATAAAACGTTGTGGTTGACAAGCGTGTGGTTAGTAACATATACGGCATACCATGGTTACCAATTTACAGAGAGTCGCCTATTAACTTGATAATATATTTTTGTGGTAGAGGCGTAGGACGAATCGGGGGCAGTTCTTCCAAAAAATGATAAGTGTTCTTCCAAAAGATAACACAATTTTTATTTTATCAGCGTGACCAACCCCGAAACACCAAAATATAAAATCACATTCTACCAGAATAAAAGTAACTAAAATATAACCAACGTCTATACATACACTATGTTGTACTAATTTGTGTGACAATATTATTACATCCTATTTGAATAAAACTATTAATACAAGTAAATTATGTTTTACAGTATAATGGTAGTCGTCTGAAATCATAAAAAAACCTTATCAGTATGCCGGGTCCACACAGCGCGAACAATATTAAAAAAAAAAATACACGTTGTTTTTTGACAATTTCCAAACAATTTTGGTTTTTTCAACAAAATGTTCTGTTTTTTAAGAACAAAACCGTGTCCCATTCGTGGTGGGAAATTTTAAAGATGTTTTACATTTCTATATATTTTATACTATTTGCCAGATTATTTGATGTGTCTTAAACTATTACATTTATTATTTCTATTATTACTATTTATTATTTATTTAAAATGACTTATCAAACTTTATGAATTGTACTTTATAAACTATACAATTAGTCTGACATGTATACTGTGTTACTGTATTACTGTTGTTAACTATAGGCAGCTTGTTAGACAGAAGTCTATATTGTTTTTTAGAAATAAAAGTTGTTTTTTCTTTGTTAGCTAAATTATATAATGTGATTCACCAATTTTGTCTCATAATAATTTCGATTAGGTAAAATTATTTTTTAAAACATTTTTGTTTGTGTTTTTTTACAACTGAAAACATGTTTAATAACCACTTACTTTTTTGATAATTTTATACTAAATAACATTTAATTATGATAAAGATTCAAAGCTTATTTAGTATATTGTATATATTTTTTTATAATTTTATTATTTAGAAATGCATTCATTTTTAAATGTAGTTTTTGACACAATAAAGTAAAAGTAAACCAAATGTATTTTTTCTAAATCTATTCTCATAGACACGTTTACTCTCGATAGCGAGTGATTTGTATCTGTATATTGTGTTAAGTGATATTATATAATGTGTTCAAATGAAGGATGTTTAACATAATATTGATAATCTCACCAACATGTAAGCAAGTTTGCATCAATTTACATTATACGTTTATTAAGTATGATGTTTATACAATTACGACCCTAATTTGATCTTTTTATTAATATAACAGAATTGTTTAATCTAGTTTACAATAATTTTATATCATGTCATATTCTTATTTATTTAGCTATTATCCTATGCAAAAAAGTACAACAATTTGTTTTCTCTTCACAAGTCTTTATCCGGCAGAAGGTTGAACCTATTAGGTTCACTTTAGACTATATACTTATAATGTATATATTGATTGGTGTGGAAACTTGAAACTTAAATATATGTTTTATTCTAGTTATTTGTGTTATTTAAACTACAAGTATCATATGTTCCGTTTTCCTTGCTCTAATATATCCTTTAGATACCAAATTTTGTTAATAATATATCTTTTAAGAGATAAGATTGAAGATAAAGCTCATAAGCTTCTACCTGTATTTTTTAACTACAGAATACATATGTAAGATGTGGTAAAACTTATTTATACTTGACAGCCAAATTCTGAAATCATTAACTAATTTGGGTAAAAAGTAAAAAAAAATGTTTTATTTAAATAGTAATATAAATAGTTTGGGAGAAATTTCAATAAAATTATTAATATTTTTTACCAAATAATATTAAATTATAATATATACTTATAAGTTAAGTATATACTATATTATAATGTAATTTATTATAGATTTTACATTATATAATTTTACATGTATAGTGTATACGATTTTAATTAGTGAATTGATAAAGATCTAACTACAATTTGCAATAAAGATAAGAACCTAACTAAAGGCAATGTTTTTGATATTAAAATACGACATTTCTCTTTGGTGAATGGTGTGGTATAATACTATAAAATAAAAATACTATTTGATAACAATGATGAATAATAATAGAAACAAGTATGTAATACAATTAAATAACATAAGTACTTTAATGAGTTATTTAACTCTTTAAAATCCCAGAATTTATACAAGATATTATTTGGATGATGAAGGAGAATACAAATTAATGAAAGACTTACTTGATCTCACATCAGAGTAAATTGTAAAAGGAAGTAGAAATTAGTAGGTTAAAATAAGAGTTCAAAAAATGAATAATAATAATAATAACGGCTAATCTTTCTAGATTTTTATCTGAATTATTAAATACAAAGATTTCTTAAATATTATTTATTAATAGTAACCTTAAGAAAAATACTTTATACATAAGTAGTTTTTGTTTTAATGTCCGATTATACATTACAATAGTCTGTGATTTTTTTTAAATGCCCAAACAGTTAAAGCTATACTTTAATTCTCAAGCAAACATTTCTGCCCAGTATTGTTCTCTCATCAAAAAGAATAGAGTGGATTCATAGATATTTACAATTTTTAGAATTTGGTGTGAAGCAATTAACTAAGCCAAATTAAATGTAATATTTTCTATTTTTAATTAATTAGTCAGTCTTGATTTATATTCTTCTTTGTTTACAATCATTTGTATTAATTCCTTTGTAAGAATTACTGGTAATTCAAGAGTTCTTATATCTTCTTTAGCTTTTATAATATTCACTAACTTCAATAGACATAACAGTCGTAACTCCATAGCTCCAGGCATTTTTATTATTACCATTGTTCTTAAGGGAATACTAATTGGGTGGTCAAATGCAAGGCGTCTATGTTCTTCTACCCATGGTATTGCCATAAATACTTCTTGACCATTAGCTACCATTCTACTTTTCGATATACATTCTCTAAGGAAAAACAAAGAAATCAAATTTATTATATACTTTAAATTTAATAATGTTAAGTATAACAAACCTAAATATCCATGGATGTGTAGCATATGTATTGACATCTAAAAATTGACCTGGAGGCAATATACAATATGGTTTTTCCTTCTTATGAAAATTAATCCATACAACTTCTACATCATAATGTGTATCATTTTTAAACCGTATGTATGCAGGTTGTCTGTTATAACGTAATTGATCATCCATTAAAGCCATCATTACCAAAACTTCTGTTCAAAACTGCATACTATAAAATAATTTTTTTTTACAATTTTTAAAATCGTAATATTATTAAAAGGGTATTGGCTATTTTGATAATTAAAAATAATTTGCGAAAAATCTAACTATAGGATATAACATATAATGATTTCTGTGTACGGACAATCAGTAATAATGGTTCATTTTAAGAAATATAATAAATAATAATTAATACCTAGACAAGTATAATATTATGAAAACATAATAATAATTATTGAATTGAAACGCTTTATCAAACCTTACCACTTTTATCACATATTAAATTATTCTGGGGATAGCACCACTTCTCCCAAATTCCAAGAACCATTTTTACCAATGACCGGTTTCTTATCAGATTTTTTTAACTTCACTTAAAACATGTAACCTTCTTCTAGCTAGTTTGCAAACCTAGAATATTTTTGGTTTAGCGGAGTACCGAGTGAATGGATAACGCCGAGCGAGTACCCAACTCTCGGTGACTCAAGATTAACCCTTAACAGGTATCACTTTTTTTTTCACACATATGTGGTATCGTGGGGTCTTAACAAACCCCCGTTTTCTTTCACGGATTTATAAAAATAACAATTTTTTTTTAACTTCAACTTTTTGATTTTTCAACGTTTATTTATATACTAAACATAAATGCATTAACAACTTTAAACAAATTAAATAACATGTTAATTTTTTTTTTAATGGTTTTGCGTAAAGCACATATTACATGAATTTTCGGGTTGCTACAGTTACCACGAATGTTGCATGCCACGACTCGTAGTTACTCCGACATTGCTTTATCAGTCATTTGCCACGAATATAATCTACTTCGAATATACAATTACTACGATTAGACGGTTAGCCCGAATTTAACATACCCGACATCGTAAAGTAATTAAATGAATCATACAACAGTTAACCCGATATTGTGATACCACGAATGTATTTAACTTCGACTATACATGATAAGAATACTTGACCACCGGGCATAATGAATTTAATATGTTATATTACATTATATTAAATTCATTAATTACGTTTTATAGTATATTCTTTATTATCAATTGCACATTTTAATATACAATATTTTTTTTAATTATTGGGTAAAACCCTTTGGCAACAAAGGCCATTGTAAGGGTTTTATTAAAATAGTTGATATACATAATTGAATACAGTAGACTATACATTTAAAATAGAAAAGTTAGACAAATAAGATAAGAATTTTATAACTATTTTTTTAATAAATAATTATATAAATCTGATTGTAATATAATATAATTTAGAAGGTAGGTGATTGCTTCAAATTGAGGCCCAAGGGTTTCAGATAGATTTTCGAATATATTATTGTTAATTCGTTGTGACTGGTATTATAAACAATTATTTTTAGGTTTTAGAGTCACTTAAAATGGACAATAACTTACAATATTATAAAATAATTGTAACAATATAAAAGTTAGTTTTTAATTACGATTAATATGTGAAAACAAATTGGTATTATAAAAAAGTAATAATATTGAACCAGTGTTTCAATTTTAAATCAACTGTATGTCTGTGTAGAGTATAGATTATACCTTTTTTAATGACATTTTTTATATGCATATTCATTAAAACAGAGGTATTTAAAAAACTAAATATTACTTAATTTTATCTTATCATATTATTTTTAAGTTGTAAATTAAAAACATTTATATTATGCTGTTAAATTTCTTGACTTTTGGAGATATGTTTTTGTTTATCAAAGGTGATACAAACAATAGAACTATTTCTTGTTGCTTTCATCTTCTACTACATCAATGTTGTATATCAAACATTTGTTTAACACCTCTCTAAACATTTTTTGTAGAATCGTCTCAGATATTATTAAAATTTTTATTTTGTGTTTCTATTAACTTTTGGCTTCAGTGTTTGTAAAAATAAATAAATATAAACTAGGCACTATATAGCAACGTAATGGATTAAGGGACACCAGAAAGGACCATGGCCCATAAGACATGAAAATGTCAAAAAAGAAATGGGGTTGAAGATGAGGTGGGTATGGGAAAGGGGTGGAATTAGCTATGGCAAATAACCGAAAAAAAGCGTAACGAAAAAAGCGTTACCAAACGGTTAGGTTAGGTGGAGGGGTGGGTTGGAGGTGGAAATAGGGGTAGGAGATAAGGGGTGGGGATTGGGGTTGGGGGCAGGAGATATGGGTGGGAGATAGGGGTGAGTCATAGGGACGGGTAAGATATCGGAGCTATGTTGTACGTTCAACGTTCAAATTAGAACTAAATAATAAAGTCAAAACAGTTTAATTCTCTATGTTAAGTTATTTTTGGCCAGATAATAAACACTACAATTTTAGCCAGAAACATGATTGTACATATTTTTTTAATCTCCTTGGCTTATGCTGTAACTGGAAGCTCCATGTAATTTTTTTTTTTTAATTATAATTCCACAACTAATCTAAATTTATTCGGTACTTCAACGAGCCATGAAAATGCTCTTTCGTGGTTGCAGACTCAGCTGAAAAACTTTTTTCGGTTATTTGCCAGGGTTATGTGCCAGAGCTAAGACATGAAAATGTCAAAAAATTGTTATAAACATTGTAACAAAAATGAATCATGGACGTACAGTTAAAATATTATTAAATTGTTAATATTTTAAAATTTATTATTATAATATTCATTATTGAAAAATAATAAGTATCAGTAAAATGTTATCATCTACAATCATTTATTTTGTAAATAACAAATTATTATAAAGAATATGCGTGTCCGTGGAGATGCATTTTAATTTTATATTATTTTGTCTTTTGTAAAACTTACAAAATATTACTTGGTATTGTTTTTTTTAACGCTCATACCAATTTTAATGGTGAGTCCCCTACCCCTAACAACCTAACGTGAGCCCCACTCCTCCATAAAACCGGCCCTGTGTTAAAATGTTAACAACACAAAATGCATAAATCACATTAAATCTACTAAAATTTGGTTAGGTCAGTCCTTGAATATGCTTTTATTTTAAATTATAACATAGTCTCCTTATCAATTTTGTAAAATCGATCCAGAAACGATTCCTATATTTTTTACTTTTTAAAGTTTAAAGAAAATAAAGCCAATAATTGTTGAATCGTCTGTAAAATACTATGTTGACAGAATTTAAAAAATTACATTTTTTGCGTGTAAAAGGAATTTAAACGATATATTTTTAAATACATCATATAAATAAATAACTATATCGTATATTATATAAATATAAGACTTTTCTGAAAAATGATGATTGGATTCATTTAATGTACTAAATATTAATATACTTTTTTATACGCAATTTTACGTTTCTACACAACGACAAATGTATCTCGCTCCAGTAAACCGAATTATAATTCGTGTAATTCAATTCAAAATGTTGGCTTTTTGAGTGCTCTCAATAAGCAATTTTAACTTAGCTTATTTATTATTTACATTTTTTATTTATAGTCCTCTATTAACTCTACAAGTTTTTTATACTTAATTTATTTTTCTCTATAATTGTAGTTGTAATTGGTAAATATTTTGTTAAGTTTAATGCATATTGTTGTACATATTTAAATAAATTATTGTAAAACTTGATGTAAACAAATTGTAAATTGCCTCATTAGCGTAAATTTATTACTTTTATAAATACATTATTGTTATTATTATTAAAAAACATTAATTTTCAATATAGTGTTAAGGACAACTTTATCATTCGGCGGTTAAAATGTCGTTTATCTAATCTCGGTTTAAGATTAATCGGAGATTAAAATAATTCTGAATTTATCAATCATATTTAATCCTAGCTTAAGTAAACTGGGTTTTACAAATAGAAGATTTATTTATTACTAATCTAATATATAAAATGTCAATTCAAATAGCCGACTCCCGCCAGTCGCCTAATTGTCTCTTCCATGGGATTCATATAATACATCTCGCTCATAGACAAGCATCTGAGGCGGCTTATGCAGCGCGTGGCGTTGGCGCGCGTTTTTATCATGTCACAACGTTATCGTATCAAATAATAACGATGACGGCGTGTGTTGTTTTTTTTGCCGAGTTTGTACTTTCCTTAAATTAAATTAAACGTAAAATTATTATTATTATTATTAATTACACTGTTGTTCATTGTCATACGTGGTTTTTTATTCAATAGTGTTTCCCGGTGTGTCAAACGTTATCATATATATAATAATAAAAATTAAAAACGGCGAACGGCGTGTTTTGTTTTTTTGGTGAATTTTTGTCTTTGTAGTTTGTTATATTATATACGTACAATTATATATTAAACGTATAATAGTTATTATTAATTACATATTTGTCCGTAATTCGCTCACGGTTTTCGTTCAAGAGAAATCGACGTGTTTCCCGGTGTGCAAACATTACCTATTAATATGCGTCGTTGGATGTTGGTACGTTTTTTAGATTTAGAATATATATAATAATATATAGTATATATATTACCTAACCTAACCTATAGTAGTATATTACATTTTGCTTAAACCAAATTATCAAATTAATTAGATGTACAAAATTCTTATCTTTTTCAAACCGCTGTGTGTGGTAATAACGATACATTTCATATTTTTTGTTGAAAAATTTGTTGACGTATATATCTACTGTTTATTTTCAATTAAATAACTTACTGACTTATTTTATATATATATGTAAATTATTTGTTTTAGGCCAATACTATAGTGAAATCATAACCGACGCGTGTCCGTTTAGAAGATTGATTGCTACTTCTATCTACTCTGTCTTTAATTAATACAATAAGTAGTTATTATTGTTACCATTGGTTACAGACTGTTATCCTATGCCGTCACCGATTAATTTGCCTGCGGCCAACAGAAAACTTACACCGTAGAAGTTCATTTTTTGTAATTTATGAAGTAATTTTTAATAATTAGTGCCTATCTAATCTCTATACTCAACCCTAATTTAAATTGACAGTTTTTTTTTTCATTATACAGTGTCTTAACCGACTTCTCTTAACGCTTTAGTTTCTTAACGTGCACACACATACGATACTGATGTACAAATAATTAAGATATTAATTATTTCAAATTTTTTTGTTTAAGCTGTACAATTGTGATCACTACATAGAATAAAAATTATTTTAGTTTTTTTATATATATTTTTTTTAATGATATATTATTTCACGTTAAATTGGCATTATTTGAATATATTTTAATTATTTCATTTAATAGGATGATTTACCTATATAAATATGTATGATCACTATCGAGTACTATCACTAACCGTTTGGGGTTTT